TGCACACAATGACTATAAAGCTTTAGAAGAAGGAATAAAAAACAAACAGAAAGATCAGAAAAAATGGCAAAATCCCTGCAAAAATAATTTACCTGATTCCGGTGTTAGTCAAGCTTCTACCCCTTACTAACAATGTTGTTTCTTCACCGGCTACAACAGCCAAAGGCGACACCGTGATCAGCTCTGGTGAACTCAAAGTTCTCCAAGATTTGCTCAGACGAATTTTACCTGTAAATTGCATAGAAACGACCAACTTATTAGACCATACACAGCAACGGGCAAAGAAGTAGCAGCTTATGAGCACTCACCATGTTTGTATGACGCGAGCTGTCTGCCTGTATTGACCAAAAATCTTGTGTTGCTCCAAAATTCTGAATCTTGAACCAAAGTACTAACCCGCTGCAGCAAATTTTCCTCTAGCTGAAAAAAAAGAAGAAGACAAAACATCAGTCCTTCGGATGCTTAGAGAAAATTCGTATAGTGTTGACCATTCAGAAAATTCACTCACTTGTTCCCAAGCAGAAGCTGACATTGCCACGTAGACAGATAGAATAACACAGCCAGACCTGATATAACTTTCCATTTCTGATGGAATGCTAGAAAGCCAGCTATAAATCTGAAATTATGAGATGGCCAGTGTTAGGACTTAACGGAGAGCATCCAATAATTTTCTTTAACATTTCAAGAAGGTTAGATCACCTCGGTTCGCAATGTCCCAGGGAGTTGACTAGGATTTTTTTCCAAGTAGTTTGAAAACTATCTTTCCGGTGCAGTCCTGTTTGAAAACAGATGAAAGAAGCTTTAGACCTGCTTAGCTAAGACGTTGATTTTGGTTTACTATGGGGAATATGGCTAGCTGCATACCTGAGCATCAGAGTTTAAGCTGGGAGGAGAATAATTCGAACCAGACGAAGCATACTCAGATTGATGCCTGGAATGGTTGAAATTAGGATTTGTAACAGCTCCTCTGTCTGATGCACCAAAGAGCTCTAAGGGCAAACAACTAGTCCTGGGACTGGGACTAGAGTTTTTGCTATTGTTAGACCTCATGGTTTCAGGAGATGTCTGCAACGGGAACAACTCCTGCATGACCGGAGATGATGATGGCGACCTATCCTCAACAGGGTTACTGCTCGCAGAAGAATAATACTTTCTTGAAGATGCAACCGTTGGTTGACTCTCATCTTCTGGTGACGAGGTGAATAGTTGTAGAGACAGGCTAGATCTAGTGTCCTGAGCGTGTGAATCAGAATCCTGAGACGGAGACGGGTTACTGCTACTGCTTCTCTCCCCTCCCCCAAAAGAAGGAAACTCCAAGGCTCTCTTTTCTAAATTGGTTGTAGTGGCATGGTCACAAGAAGTTAACTTAGTCTTATCCTCGCTTTCTTTGGTGCCAAACTCTCCTTGAGACAACAAAGCTATGGCCTCGGGCGCAGATGAACCTAATGTTGTGGAGAGAACAGCAAGTAAGTCCATGGTAGATGGAGAAGAAGCTCCATCCATATCCTTTTGTGGGTTCATCCCTGAAGGTTGATCCAGATTTTTCCTGGCTAAAATTCCGATATTGTTCAGCTTTGAGACAAGATCCATAGGCAAAGGTAACGCATTGATCTTGTTAAGTATCTGAAGAAGCTGTTCTCTTTGAGGCACTGCTGGAGACCCATTAGGTTTGGCATCGTTCTTGCCTGCAAAACGCAGACCGAGAATTTGTTACTTGAAAACATAATTACCAGAGAGGAGAATGATACAGAGCCTACGTAAAAGGTGTTCCTCTTCTTGTACCCCTGAATCCACGTACCTTGTGCACAAGCTAAAGCTGTTAAGAGAGCCATAATATCCAGATTTGCGTTACTAGAGGTATGATCACAATTCCCAGGAGCTAGAACCCGAGAAGTAATCTCCTCGGGCTGAGTTTTCCTCCTCCGCCTGTTATGGCCAGCCAATCTACGCCTACAACTTCTCTTTCCCTCATCAAACTCAGAAAGAAGATGAAACCTACAAGCCAAAATTTCCAATCTTTTTAATAACAAGGAGACAAAAAAAGATTGATAATGAAGAAAGTCAGAATATTTCACCTGCTACACTGTTGGCAAAACCTCTGCATCTGTTTCCCAACAAGAGCTTTGGTAGCTTTGCTATGAAGCTCGCACACTTTATGCCTTCTGTGATAATCCTGATAGATCTTCCTTACAATTATCTACCTGACACTTGGGGTAGTTTCCGCCGCCACTTCCCGGAGATCCCGACCTTACCTTCTTGTTTGGTCTGGTGACGACAGGGGTGTCTTCCACGGCGGTGCTCAGATTCAAATCAAGGCCTCTTTCTTCTCCCTCGTAGCTCAAACCGCCATTGTTATTGTTACTGTTACTCCTCGCATTGACGTCAAACTGCGTGCCGTTTCCGTCCACTGGTTTAGCTTCAAAACGTTGGCTGTCCCATTCCCACATCTTGGGATTCCAGTCATTCCTCGGCTGCGATGGCACCAGCCAGTGCGGCTGCTGATAAAGATCGCGTTTTCTTCCTATCGAATGGTGAATTGAAATCGGACCAGCGACTTGAGGACCTACCTCCTCCATTTCTCTCTCTCTCCCTCTCAGACACACACACAACTAACTGGAAATCAACAGATTCAACACACTTATCTAAAAAATATTTCTTTTTTAGAAAACTTCTCCAAATAGAAGAGAGTGAGACCAAACGGAAGATTCATTCGCTAAAACTTCCACTTGTATATCTTCCACTAGAATAGCTTCCGTACCCAAAAAATAAAAAATTGGGAGACGAATCGGAATCGTAGTACCTTAGCACAACTCCGAGCTACTACATGAATTCCGATACAGAATCCCAGCTTCAAGCATAAACCCCTTTCTCAATCCAACAAAAAAGCTCGAGACAAAATCGAATCGAACAATCAGAGGCTTGTTAAGATTTGAGCAACTCCAAAATCCGAACCTCGATTTCCAAAATCGACCCAGGAACGAGAGGGAATCAAGGGTTTTTTTCTCTGCCTTGTTTTCCCTCTCAATTTTGTTGTTTCTCTTTGTTCGTCTTCTTCTTTTTGAGCCTTTCTTTCTGTGTTCTGTGTTTTGTTCGGTGATGGCATAAAATGTAAATTCAGAAAGAAGAAGGGTGTTTTCTGTAATATGTCAGGCCTCTCAAGTCCCATCTCAGAGAAAGATCGAAGGATCCAAGATACTTCACTTCGAAAAAAAAAAACAGCACTCCCTCTGTGAAGTACTCCATGAAAATCTATTTTGTTTGACCAAAAAAAAGAAAAAGGAAAATATATTTACAGTTGCTTTTTACCTTTTTTTTTTCCTTTTTGACGTAAGCAACGATTTACTTTTTCCGGAGGAAGATGTATGTGTGAATGTTGGTGAATCAGGTACCTTACCTGAGAAGCAAGCAAGAAGAGAACCAATGTTGATTTACAGACCACAAGTGAAGCCTAAAAAGCAAGACTTGAAAGAGGACGCACCAAACTCAAAAATTGTGGATAATCTGAACGTAACAGCTCCAAGGACATCAAAAAGAGAGACAGCCTCTTCAAGACTTAAGGAAGAACTAAAAGACTTAATATGCATATCTCCTGCACATTTTAGAGATTTCTCTAAAGTTTCTGTCTGTATTATGTGTTTGGGAAACCTGTCTTGCGTTAGCACTACTGTTAAGTCTAAAATGTAAAAACCTTCCACAGTTTACAGAAGCAGCTTCTAGATTTGCTTCGTTCTTCCGTGTCGTGTCTTGTCATTTTCGTAGCTCGTTGGTCACTAAAAGAAAAGGTAAAACGAAGTTGCTTATGGCTGAAAAAAAATTTGGACAGAGTTTGTTTTTGTATTCGTGTGGTGGATCGAAACATTTCAGATGTTATGGCTGAACAAAGTGTTTCTGTTTCCGGTTTCAGTTGTCTCAGTATACTTACATTTTTTATCAATCGTTGTGTAATTATCAAGTCGCCATGTTAAGGTTACTTCAAGGTTAGAGAGAAACTAAAAGTTTAGGAAAAAAACTAAAACTTCAAGGAAAAGAACGGTTCCGATTCGATCCTGCTAGAAAAAAAAAAACCGGTTCCGATTTAACGTCGATTGACTTAGGTTTGGTCAATTGCTTTTTCTTTTGATTCGATAGGGTTTGGTTAACGATCGATTCGATTAGAATTGGGTTAAGGTTACGGTTCAATCCTAATCAAAAGGAAAGGATTTGCTTTTAGAATTTCATTGTAGTTCTGTCTTAGGGTTTGTTTTTTTTTAAAAAAATTTTGTTCCTATTTTGAGTCTAAGACTTTGTCTCTTTCCTTATTACTCAGGACATCAATGGCGGCGGACGAGCAGAGAGGGAGACTGTAGCACAATCTCTCGTAATGTTTAGTCAAAATCCAAGGTTGGAATTTCTCGTCCTTCCTACTGAAAATCGAACGCCGGCTCAGTTCGCCGTGCACTCGAGCTATAGGTACACATGCGCCTTACTTGGATGTTTTTTACGCATTTCGATACAGAACAACCCAAACACCCACTATTGTTGTGAGGGTCACGAGTCTTTGAGCAAGACATGGTCTTTGGTTGACGATAGAGCATATGTTGTGTACTATGGTTTTCCGTCTCGTGAAAAAAACATCGAAATGGAACATGTCTGCTTCAATTCCTTGCTCCTGAATGCAAACAATATCAGAATGTTGATTCAGATGTCTTTCCTTTTGTCACAACCATCCGGTTTATTCCCCTTCGGTGCAGAAAATACAAGTTTGTTGTGGGATAAAATGAATGCGAAATAACTTTGTTATTTGAGCCAGTGGTTTCAAAATCTTATATATCAAGACAACTTCAATGCTCTCTGTAGCATCAGATATGTGGAATTCCAACTAGTTGAGACATTTAAAATTAGATTGACATCCTTCAGACATTTAAAACTATATCACCAATTACCGCCCAAACAGTGTGCACCGAAGGGGAATAAACCGGATGACACAATGCACTGAAGGGGAAGAAAGATGTGCAGCAGCCCAAACTACCACCCAAACCAGATGGTGGAGACGAAGACCACATGATAGGCAAGAAACTGGTTGGTGGAGAGGAAGATGATGAGAAAGGCAAAAAACCGGATGGTGGTGACAAAGGGAAATGAATACTAAAATGGGTCAGGAGAGGCCAAATAACCAGTACAAAGAATAAAGTTTGCTCATGTGCTCCTACATGGCTTTTCAATCTATCTTTTAAAAAGCTAACTTTCTGGTTTATCGAGTATCAAAACATAGCAAGTATTTTCATGTTTACTTTGTGCGATGCAGTAAGTTCATGGACTGCTCAAGGAGGGTGTAAATATCTTTACGAAGCTGTCACCTTGGTCATCTGCCTTGTTTGAGTTTTTGCCTCCATTCATTAAGAAACACGTGCTAATTCTATGGCAAGGGAATTTTCTTTATTTTCCTGACATGTGAACGAGTATGAATGCTTATGACATTGTCGTCTCTCTTGCTGCTGCAGCTAGCTACTTTTGCATCCCGAGTCTGATGATTCTGCTCAGCTATCCCAGGTAAGAAGAATGAAAATGATGGGTAATTGACACTAATGATAACTAGTTGATAACGTAATGCAGGTTCTTGGATATATATGTTACCACATCCTAGCAGCTGGTTTGAACGGTTACATGGCAACTGTGACTAACCTGAAGAGTCCTGTAAACAAATGGAAATGTGGTGCTGCACCTATTACAGTTAAGTTTTTGTGTCCCTACGTATTAAGATGAATCTAGTTTAGTGTTAGGCTCTTTCTTTCTGGCTTGCTACAAGTTTAAGTATTACTTACCTAAGTCTCTTTTGACTGTCAAACCTTTAGGCAATGATGACAGTTAAGCGTTGGTCCCAAAATTCTGGTTCAACGTCAATTGGTAGGCCTGTGATTCATCCAGCTACGGTGGACTTGAAAGAGAAAGCATACGAGTAAATTGCAAAAACCTCTCTCAGATACAACAAGAGCATTAGAAGGAAAGAGATGGTTTGATTGATGATTAAAATGATATATATTGCAGGCTATTGAGAGACAAAACGCGCAGAGATTCTTGATGGAAGATATGTACATAAACCCAGGACCGGTTCAGTATGATGGGCCAGGTGCAGATGCAAAGGCTGTAAGTCTGTGTGTAGAAGACCAGGATTACATGGGGAGAATTTAGAAGCTGCAGGATTATCTCGATCAGGTACCCCATTTTTCCATCCTTTTTTATTTTTTTGCTTTTATAGGCAAGGACAGTGTTGAGTGTTGTGTTATGGCAGAGAGCAGTGAAATAGAACGTAAAGCAGGCATAAAATGCACCAGTAATATAATAACAATCACACAACAAGAGTAAAATCTGTATCGCTTAAAGAACATTTGGTATCAAACATATTCACGCATTCTCTTTTTGACATATGTACATAAGTCATCTGTAAAGCGTAGCAAGCAGATTGTTATGTAATGGATCGGAGACATGGTCAACAAGATTTTGTACAGGACCTTTGCCTGTGAAAGCAGCCTGTGCATAGAATCCAAGCCACGCGACCATCGCTAATCTCCCGTTTTTAATCTCTTTAACTTTAAGATCTTCAAAAGCTACCGGGTCCTGGGAGAGGTTCAAAGGATCAAAAAGTGTCCCTCCTGGATAGTTTATGTCTCCTGGCAAGTATATTCCCAGTGGCTCTAAGGCCTCTATGCCACAGTATCTTGCGTATTCCGGCCCTACCTGTATATGAAAAAAAAGGGTTTATGTTAAGAGAAATCTATGAGATGGATGAAGCAAGTGTGTGTATTTGATGTCTTAAAGGTATTATTATTACCATCAAGAGTGCTTGGCAAATGGCAATTACAATGACACCTTGGCTTCCAGCTACATGAAGCCCTGGAATGCCGAGATAGTCCAACGTCTCTCCCTGTTGAAAAAAAGGCTTACACGATCAAGATACTAGATGGCAAGAGATGTTTGAAAACAAAAAGAGAAGAGAGTGATGAACCAAAACCTGAAGCTTCGAGTAACCGACTCGCCACCATACAGGTTCAGCAAAATGAAAAGCTCCAGTGAGATCAAATACTTCTGGGACTAGAGCACCCAGCGCTGCAAGCATGGCCCAACGAGCATGAAGTATTTCAAAGCTGCAAAACAAGTGGTAAGACTAAACTAGTATTTAAGGGGGAAAAAAACATGGTAGACTGTCTAAACAGGGTGGAAGAAGGAATGTGAATTCCACGATGTTTCACAATTCTCTCATAAATTGGTTGAAAGAAGAAACAAGTAAGCATGATGAGGACAATTACACCTAGCTGGAGGAATCAGGATAGTAGCAGGACACTAGCTACAGAAGAAAATTGAAAAGAGAAGACTAACTTGAAGTACTTATCAAAGGTCAAACGATCCTTGCCAAGTCCTGCAATGTCGAATCCATAATCCCCAGGGAGTTCTCCAGTAAGGTATGGAGGATAATCATATGGGACTGGACCAAACCAAAGGGGACGTTCTTCTCCATACCACTTGCTGCACACTTACAAAAACAAACCAAGGACTTGTGTGACCCATGATGTTACAGTACAACAACACTTTCATATCATGAATCTATCAAATCATGGTTGCGTACAAGACTGAATTCATTAACCATCACTTTATGTGTCGAAGACTTAATTCAATTTAGATACAAAATTGCTATACAACTAAAGGGGCTAGTTAACGCTGATCTCCCACATTTTTATTTTATTTTTTACTTCACTTATCTAACAATAGTACCATACTACAATGACTTTGAAAGGATCCAGAAAATTCAAAATTTGTTTGGTCGATAAAACCATTCAAATTCAAAGTATCTTAATTACCTGTCGCTTCGAGCCTTTTGAGCTTTAGCCTTGAATCTGGAAGCATTCTCCACAGCCTCTGTCTTCTTCTCCTCCAATCTCCGCCGCAGAGATTCTCCCAACGAGCTATTCGCTATTGCTTTAACCGCCGTGAACGGAATCGCCGAGAAAACCAACACTCCGGCTAGCTAAAACAACGGCAGCGAAAGTTTCTTAAAGAAAAAAAAAACTGATTTTCGCATGAACATTCAGTCTAAAATTCAACAAACCTCTTGCCACGAAGCTCTGCAAATTGAACGAGACTTTGTCACGGTGATTCTACGGCGAGGCTCGGGCGCGAGTCTCTTCGGAAGAGAATGGAAAGACGAACACTTTGAGAAAAGTAACAGCTTCTCCTGAAACAGAGCCATGGTTTTTGGCTCTCCGTGGAATCTTGATTTGGTTTTTTAGTATCACTGAATGCCCGTTGGGAGAGAGAGATTCATGAAGTGAGGGTGAAGAAGAAGAAATTAGCGGTCACAAATTTCCACATTAATTACATTTAACAAGTTTTTTCATGTTATTACAGATCAGTCGACGTGTCCTCATATTAGCCAGATCTTTAAAACCCGGAACAGTGGGCTAGTGTCGTTGACTGAACAATGATGATGTTTCAATAGATGATTGAGATTTTAAACATATGTTTCAGGTCCTCTGTAATTTTACTGATTTAGCTACAGAAGACAGCTGATTGTTTCTTAGTAATAACCTTTCTAATGCCTAAAAATAAGATTTGATTTCTACGAAAAGGGAACGTACAATCATTAAAACTCTCGAGATTTCATTCTCAATCTTCGTAGATTCGACACTCGTCGGTTTCAGGATTCTCCTGGCAGAAACTCTCGAGCGGATCCTGGTTAAGCAGCTTGAGCTTGATCCTTAGATCTGCTTTCGCCTGGCTAACCTCTTCAACTTCGTCCCACGCCACTCTACACTCCTCCGATCTCTCGTCTCCTTCGCAAACCTCCGTTGCTTCCTTCACTTTCTTCTCTATCATCTCCGATAACTTCTCCTCCCTCATCTTCGTCCCCTTGTACTTCGCCGTCGCCGCCGTTGTAAGCCTGAATCGCCTCGGCACTGTTTGTCTTAGGCGTAGAACCGTCGATCCCGTTGAGATCGACGGTCCCGGCAGTGACGGAAGCAGCACTCGCCCGTGGCTCGCCGTCGCCGAAATCATCTATGTGAATCTTGTGTCTCGTTTTCTTTCTCAAAGTTTTTGTTCGTTTTACGAAATAATTGATTTGGGCCTTGGGTTATTAAACTACAAAGAGGCCCTAGAACATTCGTTGTTCTATTTGCCATCATTTATTATTAAACAGTTGGGTTTGCTTTTTTTTTCCTTCTTTTTTCTTCTTTTTTCTTCCTTCTGGTAAGGTAGTTGAGATAAGCACAAAGATGAAGTTGACCCCTTTACCTACCCCTTTTGTTTTAGGTGCTCACCAAATTTGATATCGTGTTTACATACATATCACAATGTTTATGTTATTATTATATACTCTCAAAATTAGGCCAAAATGAGCATCCTTGTGTCAATGTTTCATTTTACCATTTTTAGTGGTATACATGTATTTACAAAATGTGCTATTATCAGATGTAAATATCAATATTATAACAAATAATGGATGAGCCCAATTTTGGAAGCCATGTGCATAATACTTACTTCTATATTCACGATTCATATGGCTATACATTATATTTCTATGGGTATGGCAATACTTGAGGAGGAGGGAACTGAGAGTCGTTTCCTTGTATCTATGCCATTCTTTTTTCTAGTAATTACAGTAGTACCATGAGGGCATATTCCCGTATTAAATGCTATATATATATTCTCCTGTATTTCCTTTTTCTATTTGCCTCTCGTTATTTTCGTATTTACCCTTCACCTATCCTTTTGTGGTTCACTCACTTTCCTTTCTTTACCATCATCACCCCATTGAATTTATAATTTCTTCTTATGAAATTTCTTCTTAATTAATAGGTGGAATTTCCTCAACTAAAAACTAAACCAAAAGTCAGCCCAAGAAAAAAAGAGAAAAACTAAACCAAAAACTGAACCGCATCTAAGTTCAAAATAAAATTACTTTTGGTTTAGCTAAGTTCAAATATCTCTGATCTAAACCAATAAAAAACAACAATGAGTACAAACCATACACAATTCGGGCATTATACACACACCAAACCAAACCTTTTTATGTCCAGTGGCAGTCTCGTAATAACCAGGGAAATTTAGGCGTGGACTAAAACTGACATAATGGAGACCAAATTTTGGCTATTTCGTTGATCGTATCGCCAAGTCCCCGCACACTATATAAATACTTTTGACGGACATAAGGAAAAAAAAAAAAGAGAAGAAACTGAATTCTCCGAGTCATTGACACTCTCACCAACCTAAAATCTCTGGAAAAAAACCTAAAAAGATATCGCCCATGGATTCAGATTTCGGAATCCCCAGAGAACTCTCCCCTCTTCAGCAACTCCGATCTCAGTACCACCCCGAGCTTCCTCCTTGTCTCCAGGTTCTTCTTCTTATTCGTCTCCTCCTTAGATCTCTTGCTTCACCGTAGCTACTGTCTCCAATGTTTTGGATCTCTCTGTTTTCCGATGACATCGTTTGTTCGTTTTTTTCATATTCTCACAATTTCGTTATTTCACGAATATTGCTTTATCCCTTTGAATCGTTTACTGTGATTGAGGAACCTGCAGTACCGGTGCAGTTCATGCAGATCTATTTAAACGACGGTTGTTATCGCGAGCTATGGTTTATGATCCCCTTTGCATAAACAGTCTGATTTAGTGTTTCAGCTTAAGAGGTTTCAGTTTAGTGGGGGTTAGGCTGAATTACATGTCAACGTGAACTACCGTAATGTAGAGATAGTATTGGGGCTTGTTGTGGATTGTGGTTCAATGTGATTTTCTGGAATAGTGTTTTTAGAATCTTTTGTAATCGTAGTTGAATTTTTTCTTGATCGATGTTCGTTTCAGGGCACTACTGTCCGTGTGGAACTTGGTGACGGAACCACTGTGGCAAAGGCCGGTGATGCCCATATCATTGCCCGTGCCTTCCCGCATACTCTGGGCCAGCCTTTAGCTCACTTCCTCAGGGCTACTGCCAAAGTTCCTGATGCTCAGATCATTACCGAGCATCCAGCGATTAGGTGTGCATGTATCTGTATATTATGCTCTCTGTAATTTTTGCTCTGCAGTTATGTTTTTGGTTTCAGGTAGTTGTTTTCTATTGTAGGGTGGGAATCGTGTTTTCTGGAAGGCAGGCTCCTGGTGGTCACAATGTAATTTGGGGTCTTTACGAGGCTCTCAAAGTGCACAACGCCAAGAACACTTTGCTAGGATTTTTGGGTCAGTCCTGGTTTTTATCCGCTGCTTGGTTTTCCTATATCATTGTTTGCTTATAATCACATCTTACTTCCGTATTGATGTGTGCCTGCTCATTAATCAGAGACTTTTGTTACTTGTCAACAGGTGGTTCTGAAGGTCTATTTGCCCAAAAGACCCTGGAGATAACTGATAATGTCCTCCAAACCTACAAAAACCAAGGTTGGATTCATAATTTTATCTCTAGTTCGTGAGTGTTTTCTGACAGAGTGGCATTTACATGTATGGCGTATCAGGTGGCTTTGATTTGCTTGGAAGAACCAAGGATCAGATTAGAACAACTGAGCAGGTTAATGCTGCACTAAAAGCTTGCACGGATTTGAAATTAAATGGTCTTGTTATCATTGGAGGTATCTAATGTTTTAAATTTTGTAAATCTGGTTGTTGATGTTTATCGCATTTTTTAAATAAGAATCAATACTTTTTATTGGCTAGGTGTAACATCAAACACAGATGCTGCTCATCTTGCTGAATTTTTTGCTGAAGCAAAATGCCCAACAAAGGTCCTAGTTTTCCCCAGTTTCCTTTTTTATTTTTTAACTCAGATCATGAGTTCATGAAACAATTTAGTGATACCGTTGCACCTCTCAACTGAAGAATTCGTTAATAGCAGAAATTACCCAAATATTTCAGGTAGTTGGTGTTCCGGTCACTATTAATGGAGATCTCAAGAATCAGTTTGTGGAGGCAAACGTTGGTTTCGACACTATATGCAAGGTAACTGAAATTTAGCTCCTGGTCTTGTTTTTTCATCCTTTGAAGGTATTGTAGCCAACATTTTTTTTCCTTGCCCTCGCGAGTCCTTTCAGAATAATAGACGTTTATCTCGTTATTTAGGCTAATGTTGTTCTACCGTGTACAGGTGAATTCTCAGCTCATTAGCAATGTCTGCACCGATGCCCTTTCAGCAGAGAAGGTAAATGTTATTTCTGGCGTTATTATGTTTTAAAAAGTTTGCTAGGGCACTCATAACCATTAAACTGTTCAGTCTAGCTGCATCTTTCAAACTTTTCTATTCATATTGGTATAGTTTTTTGGATAATAATGTGGAACTCATTATGGTGTGATAATTGTAAAGCTGGGTTCCTTACGATTCTGTTATCAAGTTTTCTGTATAATAATAAATTTTCCTTTGTATTGCCAGTATTATTACTTCGTCCGTCTCATGGGTCGGAAGCATTCCCATGTTGCCCTTGAATGTACACTTCAGTCTCATCCAAACATGGTATTCTTATAAAACATATACGATCGACGCTGTAGGCAATGCTGTCTCTTGTTTTTCATTTGCATGTGATCCGATTGTCTCAGGTGATACTGGGTGAGGAGATTACAGCATCTAAGCTCACAATATTTGACATCACAAAACAAATTTGTGATGCTGTTCAAGCAAGAGCAGGACAAGGTCTCATAACTAAAACGAGTTTTGTGCAATGGTGCCAGTGAATGTCTTTTGTTTGTTCACTAACTTTAGTGATTTACCGTTTATTTGTATCAGACAAAAATCATGGAGTCATCCTAATTCCTGAAGGGATCGTAGAGAGTATTCCTGAACTCTATGCTCTGTTGAAGGTAGTAATTCAGTACTGGCAAGCTAATTTTCTGGTTTCTGGAGTACGAAAACATAGTAAATATTTACATGTTGACGTTGTGCGTTGCAGGAAATTCATGGACTGCTCAAGGAGGGTGTGCATGCTGATAAGATCTCTACGCAGCTGTCACCTTGGTCATCTGCTTTGTTTGAGTTTTTGCCTCCATTCATTAAGAAACAGGTTCTAATTTTTTGGCAAGGGACTTTTCTTTGTTTTCCTGACATGTTAACGAGTATGAATACTTATGAAATTGTCGTCCCTCTTGCTGCAGCTACTTCTGCATCCCGAGTCTGATGATTCAGCTCAGCTATCCCAGGTAAGAAGAATGAAAGTGATGGATACTGTGCTATAAAAAGTTGGAATCCTAATTGCTCATTTGCTTTCTTCCCTAGATTGAGACAGAGAAACTTCTAGCTTATCTCGTGGAGACTGAAATGAACAAGCGCTTGGTATGCTGCACGTTGTTTTTCTCGCTTATCGCATTCCAAATTACCAATAATCTTTTTTAATAACCTTGCCTGAATGTTCAGTTTGTAAAATCTAACACAATCTTGCCCCTAACATAATTTTTGAAAATAACAGAAAGAAGGGACATACATAGGGAAGAAATTCAACGCAATCTGCCACTTTTTTGGTTACCAAGCTCGTGGATCTCTACCATCAAAATTCGACTGTGACTATGCCTATGTATGTGACCGCTAACTGCACTAGAATGCTATCGCAGCTTTAAAATTATGGATATTGACACTAACAATCAGTTGATAACGTAATGCAGGTTCTTGGGCATATATGTTACCACATCCTCGCAGCTGGTTTGAATGGTTACATGGCAACTGTGACTAACCTGAAGAGTCCTGTAAACAAATGGAAATGTGGTGCTGCACCCATTACAGTTAAGTTTTGTGTCCCTAGTGTAGGCTCTCTCTTTCTGACTTGCTAAAAGTTTCAGTATTACTTAACTAAGTCTCTTTTGACTGTCAACCTTTAGGCAATGATGACAGTTAAGCGTTGGTCCCAAAACTCTGGTTCAACGTCAATTGGTAGACCTGTAATTCATCCAGCTACGGTGGACTTGAAAGGGAAAGCATACGAGTAAGTTGCTAAAACCTCTGTCATATATACAACAAGAGCATTAGAAGGAAAGAGATGGTTTGATATTTCAAATTGATTTTGCAGGCTATTGAGACAGAACGCGCAGAAGTTCTTGATGGAAGATATGTACAGAAACCCAGGACCGGTTCAGTATGATGGTCCAGGTGCAGATGCAAAGGCTGTAAGTCTGTGTGTAGAAGATCAGGATTACATGGGAAGAATCAAGAAGCTGCAGGAGTATCTCGATCAGGTACCGCATTTTTTTCCTCCTCTCTCTTTTTGTTTTTACAGGCAAAGGACAGTGTTTATATAATCTTACATGTTGTTGTTATTGTCAGGTGAGGACGATAGTGAAACCGGGTTGCTCTCAAGATGTATTGAAAGCTGCATTGAGTGTTATGGCTTCGGTGACTGATGTTCTCTCCACAATCTCATCTTCTTCCACCAGCGGTCAACAATTTGCTTAAGATTTTTCCCCAACTTTTTTTTTAAAAATTTTTATTTCGTCGTTCTTCACTTGACCATACCGTTCAGGATTCTCTCTCTCTGTCTCTCTGCGTAGACTCTGGAGTCCATTTTGAAATACGTCAACTCTTTTTTTTTCAAAGTTGAGTTTAGGAAAAGAATAATTAAAGTTGTGGATTGGGTACTGCTTTTAATGGGGAGATTAAAGAGCAATGTATGTAAGTTTACCGAAACCAAGTTATTAACAGACCAAAATTAAACTAGCCACAGATAATTCACATATCACTGCTGACGCAAATTATAAAATGTAAGTAACCTGTACAGATCAAGGCGTATAATCTTAAAGAGTAATCATGGCCCTTTATAAAATAAAATAAAATTGAAACGCAAATAATAAAAGTAGGCGCCTCTTGTTTGAATTTCGAAATAATCTGTCCGTTGTCGAAAGGGGATCTATCATTTCATCCCCATTTTATAATATAAACCGATCAACACTCTTTTTCTCCTTCACAAGACGAAGAAGAATTACAGAGAGAAAGCGATGGACAAGGAAGTTATCGCTGTTTCCGCCATGGACGCTTTCGAGAAGCTTGAGAAAGTTGGTGAAGGGACCTACGGGAAAGTTTACAGAGCCAGAGAGAAAGCTACCGGGAAGATCGTCGCTCTCAAGAAGACGCGTCTCCATGAGGACGAAGAAGGCGTTCCTTCCACTACCCTCCGCGAGGTCTCCATCTTGCGCATGCTCGCTCGCGATCCTCACATCGTCAGGTTCTAGATTTAACCACTGATTGCTTGTCATTTCTCTCGATTGTTGTGTCTCTCATTTTTCCTTTGCGGTTAGGGTTAGTCGAATCCTCAATCTCTCGATTTTTTCCCAATGTGGGATCTCAATTTCAATTCCTAGTAATCTGTTTCTAAGAGTTTACTAAATGTTAAACGATTCATCTCTGAGGATTTGTTGATAGATGTTTCCTAGAGTTTGATCTAGTGTAGGTTTTTCGTTCGGGATCCCAGTTTCAGTCAATTTCCCAGTGATTGCAAAATCAAATATCCCTTGCTTGCTTTTACCCAGACCTGATTGTCATCTTCTTCAGGTTGATGGACGTTAAGCAAGGACTGAGCAAAGATGGAAAAACTGTACTATACCTGGTTTTTGAGTACATGGACACTGATGTTAAGAAATACATCAGAAGTTTCCGTCAAACTGGAGCCAACATTCCACCCCAAACTATCAAGGTTTCAACCACTGGAGCTTCTTCTTCTTGTTGTTGTTACTGTCATCTTTCTCTCTTTGCATTTGTGCTCACTTGATACTTAGTCCATTCAACATTCTGTAATTTTATTCTCAGAGCTTGATGTACCAACTATGCAAAGGAATGGCATTCTGCCATGGCCACGGGGTGTTGCACAGGTAAATTGATCTCTGGTTTTCCCCTGTTTCAATTGAGAATGATTTGAGAGAACAAGAGATCTCCGGTCTTATCTAAGACTTCTCTTTCTGTCATTACAGGGATCTTAAGCCTCACAATCTCTTGATGGATCCAAAGACAATGAGGCTCAAAATAGCAGATCTTGGTTTAGCCAGAGCCTTCACTCTGCCAATGAAGAAGTATACCCATGAGGTAATCTATCTATATGTTGATGAAACACAAAATCCGCTGTTTCTTGTATAGTCCTTGCATCCTATCCCAATTTCTCTCATCTCAATGTATTGTCTGAGCCTATAACTTGTGGTTTTTGATCGATTCTCCTCCTCTGCGACAGATATTAACTCTATGGTATAGAGCTCCAGAAGTTCTTCTTGGTGCTACTCATTACTCTACAGCAGTAGATATGTGGTCTGTTGGCTGCATATTTGGTACAATTTTCTCCGTGTATTGTTCACGTCAATATCAATCTTCGGTTATAAAACTACAACAACTAACAACATTGTTTCTTTACGATTAATAGCTGAGCTTGTGACCAACCAAGCAATCTTTGCTGGGGATTCTGAGCTCCAACAGCTCCTCCATATTTTCAGGTTAGCCTTTGTCCTTGTTTCTTCACCCCTTCTTAGTTGAAAACCCTTTTAAATTGTGTTGCTATACTCAGGTTGCTCGGGACACCCAATGAAGAAAGGTGGCCAGGAGTGAGCACACTCAAGAACTGGCACGAATACCCACAGTGGAAACCGTTGAGTCTCTCCTCATCTGTTCCAAACCTCGATGAGGCTGGACTTGATCTTCTATCTGTAAGTCCAAAGCGCTTTAATCAGATATCAAAACACACTTCAACAGACGAACTAATTGCCTTGTTATTTTCCTGGAACAGAAAATGCTACAGTACGAGCCAGCCAAAAGGATCTCAGCAAAGATGGCTATGGAGCACCCTTACTTTGATGATCTGCCGGAAAAGTCTTCTCTCTGAGGATTTAAAAGTCTTCAGTTAGTATATTTCCCAATCTTACTTTTGTGCTTCTTTCAAGCATATCTCTAGTGTGCTTCCCCCACTCTGTGAACACTCCTTTCCCTTTAGCATATTATCACCTCTGATTGTACTTCTTTGTGTTCTCAAATATGTAACAAAGGCTTTTTTAGCTTTCAACCTTTTTAAGGAAATATATCTACGTATTCTCTAATGATTGTGTTCAATACATGATTCAATCATCAGACGAAGAACAGTTCTTGAATAAATGGAACAAGATGATGCATGCAACAAGATCGGTGTGGGTATTTAAGCCACAAGAAGAATGTGGGCCAAACAGTGAGTGGAATCGAAGCCGAAGCGTTCCCTTGTATCGTCGATTTACATAAGTATAGTAATTATAAGCCCAATTAGTAAAAGGCCGAATAAGTAAAAGGCGGGGTTTTTTTTCTTTTTTAATACTGTATAAGAATAAGAATTCTTGTGTTCAATTTTTGTTTCCTCCTCATCGATTTAAACCCCAATCCTTATGATTAGATGCCTTCGCCAATAAGAATTTTCTCTCCGTTCAGTTGATTTTTCTCCGCCGGCGTCCTTCAATTTCTCCGGCTGTTAACATACCCTAACCCTACACCATCGTCCTCGCGTTTTCTTCCGGGTAACTATTTCTGGTTTTATGAACTCCAAGCATTCAGCTTTAAGATTTTTTTTTTTTTTCAGTAGATTTGAGAATTTGTTGGGGCTATTATTCTGCTAATAATTTAGTTCAAATCTGATTTTCTTACGTTTCTTCTTCTTCTGTAGAAAAAGATGAGTGAACCACCCCTAAGTATGAGGATGATGATTGAGAAGAGGGATTGAAATTGGAGGAGACGCTCCTGATCTGTGCGATTGAAAGAAGCCCTTTTTTGGAGAGCTCTGATCCTTATCACGCCTTTTATCTGAAAAAACGTGATGAATACGTTGCTCATTACAAAGATGGAACTCTTGATATCCGATTCCCTGCTGTTAACGATTCTGAGCCTCCTCCCGATAGGAACAAGCAGGTTTTTTCATTTCCTCCAGGGATCACACTCATGGAGCTTGGTATTATTAAGCTCACTGCACAGTTTGTGGCGCGGTACGGGAGAGATTTTTGGTTGGCTTTGTTAGAGGTAGTGATTCTGAACCCTCATTTTAGCTTTATGAAATGAACAGACAGCAAGAACAACTTTTACAAAGGCCTTGTTGTTGTGTATCAACGAGTCTTAAGGCCTCGCAATGTTTTTCCTGCAAATACCGTTCTGGAGGGCTTTTTCCACTGTCTTCAGTTGGAGAAGCTGGACGAGAAACTGATTGAGTTGCATGCTTTTGTGGGTGGTCTTGACTTTTTTACTCACATGGACGATGCTGACTTTTCTGCTACCATGCCACCACCTCAACCCCTTTCTGCTTTGATGACGGATCCTGATATGCCTCCACTAAGATATGAACTCCGTGCTCAGAATCAAGATGGAGCTGCTATCCAAGTACCTCATGTTCCAGATACTCGCGAGTGTGTAGGTGATGCAGAACCCGATCTTGGGCCTCTTTCCCCTCTAAGACCTGGCCGTTCTACATCTTCAATATTTCCTGCGAGGATCTCACTCAAGGAGCTTGGAATTATTAAGCTCACAGCGCAGTTTGTGGCGCGGTACGGAAAACGTTTTCGTCGGGCGCTGATGATGAGAGCGGTTATGAACCCTCACTGTGAGTTTATGTTTTTTCGTAGGGATCCATGGCCTCAGTTTCAGTTAATGGAGCCAGCTGAAATCAGGTTCCATATTTTCAGTGTGCTTGTTGATACGTATTCCAGCATATTAATGCCACCGTTCTTGAAGTTTTTTTCCTCCGTCTTCAACTTGAGAATGGAACGGACACGGCTATGATTGATTTGCATGCCCTTGTGGCTGGTGGTGACTATTTTGCTCACATGGATGATGCTGACTATTCTGCTATCATGGCACCACCTGAACGCCTTTCAGTTATGATTAACCGGCCAACAGGTACTATGCATCCCGGTATGCTTGTGCTGCTTCCACTGAGACCGAGACCTCAGCGTAGTGGCTACCAACATCCAAGGACTCCCTTTAGCCTCTTTGAAAATAGCCTCCTTGAAAATAAATTTCCTCCAAACATCACACGCGAGGAGTTTGGTATTATTAAGCTGACAGCGCAGTTTGTGGGGCGGTTATGGGACGTCTTTTAAGCTGGCTTTGATGGGCAGGGTGTCTATGGATCCTCGGTTTGAGTTTCTGAAGCTAACTGATAGCAAAAGACCTGTTTTTGATAAGTTCATTGAGGTGTATTTCGGAGTCTTAAAGCCTTCCGAAAAGGTGGACAAACTTGATTATTGTACTGCGATCGCTCTTGAGTTTTTTTCCGACTGTCTTCAATTGGAGAAGCTGGAAACGTCTGTGATTAATTGGCATGCATTTGTCAGTGGTGTTGACTATTTTGCTTACATGGATTATGGTGGTGGTGACTATTCTGCGAGCATGCCTCGACCTCAACGTCTTTAAGGGATGATGAACTGGCGGCATCCACACCGTGCTCAGAATGAAGATGGAGCTCAGCAGGATGATATCCAAGTACCTGATGCTCCAGATACTCATGAGTGTGTTGGTGATGCACAACCCGATCTTGAGCCTCCTCCCTTAGGGAAGCCAAGTCTCGGAGCTCGCTTATATCCTTTCCCTACATTATTTCCTTGGGTCGGAGAACAGGAGCTTGTTATTATTAAGCTCACAGCTCTTTTTGTGGCGCGGTATGGGATGCTCTTCTGTCGGAATTTGATGAAGAAAGTGGATATGAAACCTTAGTTTGAGCTGCTTAAGTTTATGCAGCCAACTGATAGAAGGTTCAGTTTTTATTGTCTGGTTGTTGATGCGTATTCCAAAGTATTAAGGACTTCCAGTGCTGCTTATACGGAGACCGTTCTTGAGGAATATTTCCAGTGGCTTCAGTGGGAGGAGCTGGAGCAGGAGGAAGAGGGAGCGCCGATGGCTCTTCTTGAGTTGCATGTTTTTGTGGAGAGTGTTGACTTTTTTGCTCAGATGGAGGATGACTTGTATTCTGATATCATGGGGAACCAGCTAACACGAATGCATCGTGATCTTTATGATCTGTATGCGTCCCCTTCAACGGGGATGATGCAACGTGCACCAACTATGCCTGGAATGTCTTCTCGTCTACCTGAGGAACCAGAGCCAAAGAGACAAAAGTTTGACGAGTCAGCTCGTGTTCTAGAAGACCAGTTAGTTGCTCCGGTAATTGTTTTCTTCTGGACTTGCTCTTCTCTTTCTGTTTGACTTGACTTGTATCTAATTAGCCGTCGCTACATTTTTAGGGTTCCCCTAGGATCAGGGTTTCTGTTCCAACACCGGATGGAAGACAAGTCGTTGACATCACAGTGAAGTCGTTATCGGAAAACGTGGCAAGTCTGAAGGAGATAATAGCTGGGGTGGTCCAAATTCCAGCAAAGCAAATCAAGTTAAGCGTAAAAGGATGCCTTTTGGAAGACAAAAAGTCACTTGTACAAAACAGTGTGGGAGCAGCAGAAGACATCCTAACACTGTCTTGGCGCATGTCAAGGTGGACGTAGGGAAATGCGCCAAGACATGTTTTACTTTATATGTGTGATTTCTATGAGAACAAGGAACTTATAAACTTACGTTTTGGAATGGCCTGTTGTTTAGGTGAGAACTCGTGATTTCTATGAGAACAAGGAATGTAAGTTTCATGCTTCAATATTGAGACCTCTTAAAATAATCATAAGTTTATCCGTTGTACATTGTTGTCTTAGCTTCTTTTTCCTGAAACTTCAGCTGAAGCTCTTAGCAAGCCGTCAAGATCAAAAGTAGTACAAACTTTATTTAAAGAAGACCAGCTTGCTCTTCTCTGACTTCGAGAGCCCTCTCCCAAACAGAGATATTTCCCCTGTTTTCAAGAGAGAATGATTTGAGAAAACTTCCAGCAATAAGCGATCTCTAATCTTACTACTTCTCCTGGTGTTATAACAGAGGTCTTAAGCCTCGCAATCTCTTAACGGATCCAAAGACAATGAGGCTCAAAATATCAGATCTCGGTTTAGCCAGAGCCTTCACTCTGCCAATGAAGAAAAGTATACCCATGAGGTAATTTATCTATGTTGTTAATGTAATGTTTAAGCCTAAAACTTCTGGTACCGTTGTGGTCTATGGTATAGAGCTCTAGAAGTTCTTCTTGGGGCCACTCATTACTCTACAGCTGTGGATATGTGGTTTGTCGGCTGCATATTTGATACATATTCTCTATTTACTCCGTGGATTCAGTTTAATATCAATCTTTAGTTATAAAATTACAATAACTGGCAGGCGTGAGCACGCTCAAAAACTGGCACGAATACCCAACCCATAGTGGAAGCCGTTGAGTCTCTCCTCATTAGCAAGTCCAAAGTTATCTTCCTGAAACAGAATATGTTGCAGTACCCACTCTGTGAACACTCCTTTCCCTTTAGCATATTATCACCTCTTGATTTTACTTCTTTCTGGTCTCAAATATGTATAGCTTTCAACTTTTTAAAGAAAATATATACATCTAGTCTCTAATGACGGTGTTCAGTAAATGATGATCCAATCACCTGGAAGTCCAGGGAGACAATTCTTGAATAAATGGAACAAAACAATAATACATGTAACAAACATTCTGAGTGTGGGGATTTAAGCCACAAGCCACATGAAGAATGTGGGCCAGACAGTGAGTGAAATCGAAGCCAAAGCATAAGTCCAGAGCAAAATCACTGAGCATTCATTTTCCCCGGCTCCAAATAACTGAGTTATTGTACCTGCAAAAGCAAGTGATTATTAAATCAGTTAAAATCTAATGGAGTAACCAATATTTCAGTTAAAAAAGAGTTGGTTTGAAGCAAAGAACCTAGACTCATTGCTGGTGGGACAACATACTGAATAAGAAGAACGAACTGGTACAAGGGCTCTGAGGTAATAAGATCCAACTTATAGGCTCCTCTTACGAGTAAAACACCACTTATAGGCAGGAAAATGTAACGTGCAACCAAGACGCCAATGATACTGGATTTTTTCATTCCTGAGCTCCTCATACCTTTGAGTAGGTTCCCTCCAATTATCAGTGTCGTAGCAGGAATGGCCCCATCTCTTCACCCCAAAAAAGAAACAAGAAAGCTCCATTAAGCTTTCGAGTAGTGAGTGAGTGAGTGAGAAGTTTTCTATATAATGGTTTCTACTTCTACTTCAATTACCCCACTAGAGTAACAGAGTCTTGAAGCACCCGGAGAGGAGCTACGTTGCCAATTATAAGCTTCCTAAAAGGAGTAACGAGCCCGACCACAAGCGCGATTATCTGAAAAAATAATAAACCAAAACAAGGTTAAGAAAGATTATGTAAGTATTGTTGAAAAAGATGCACTGATCGAATTACAAACCGCAGCAATAGTTGAAGGAGCAAATATTGTCCGCAAATTGACTTTCTCAGACAGTGAAACCCATCTCCGCTTGACTTTTTCCCACCTCCCAACCTGTCACACTCACACACACACAGTCACTACACATCCAAAAGGATCAACGCTTGGTGAATGAACAGTTAGTTATTGATCAAACTGATTGAGACCTTATGGTTGTCTTCTTCTTGTTTGGAAGAAATCAGTGGGACTTTGCAGCTGTCGTAGTTGGATTCAATAGAAGGTTGGGTTTCAATGGGAGAGTTTGATAGCACCCGCATAAGATTGTATACGTAAGTCCATATGTAAACTGATCCCATCTGATAACATTACTACTACAAGTATCAATCATATGATAATGATACTATAAAAAAACCTTGCAAAAGAAGAAGAAGAAGAAAAGAACTTACAGCCATGGAGAGTGCAGCATAACCCATTCCATATTTCTGGCAACTCTCAGGATCTCCAAAGGGACCTCCTTTTTCTTTACAAACGGCTGGGATTATGATCAAAGGCATATTCCCCAAATTCCCTGTTTTTGGGTTTTGTTAATATCATCATAATTAGTAGTAGGGGATAAAAAAACACAAAACAGATTGTGAATATTTCAGAGACATAATTAATCATGTTAAAGGTTTGTTGTACCAGCAGCACAGCAACCAAGAATGAGACCACGAAGATTCGAAGGAGGTTTAGTGATGACAATAACAATCCAGCCTAATAACGAACCAATGATGAATGTGAACAGAACATTAACCGGCATGAACCACCTGAACCAAAAAAAAACAAAAAAACACAAAATCATTTTTCACTAATTATATAACCAGAGAGCAAAGATCAAACTCCTAATGGAAAATCACAGGTGGTTGACTTACATTTTCACTAAGCTTTCATATGTAACACTATCAGCTAAACGGCTTCCAATAAGCGAAGGACTAAACACATAGAAGACAATCTATACATATGTATATATACCCAAAAAAAAAAAAAGAATAACAAACATAAATTAAAGTCGAAATTGTATTGATTTAATTAATATAGAAAGAGAGTAATTAGAAACGAACGCTGTTCAAATACTTGCGAGCATCTTGACCAAGAAGATTGACTCCATCTAGAGCCATGTAAAATCCAACTGATGTTATCAACAGAATCTCCACAACTGGTTTCGATGAAGTTATGAACAGATCCAAAAGCTTCATCATCTCTACTTCCAATTTTTTTTTTTCCAAAGCTAGATTATCTGCAAAACATAATCCATAATGATTTTGGTTTTTGCATATGAAGTGATGAGCAGAAGAAAACGATGAACTAATATATGGAGCTGCGAAAGAACAGAGCTCGAGAAGTACTCTAGTAAAACCGGACAAGTATTTTTTGATAACAATAAATCAATATATTTGGAATAACTACCGTTTTGGAGGGATTAAGAGAGAAAGAGAGAAAGAATCCGCCAGAGAATTCAGAAAATCAAAACCTTTCTTTCTCTCTCTCTCTCTATGAAAGAGAACGTCTCTAAATCTGCCGTTACATTTGCATGGCAGCCTCTCCACTCTATTTATTTATATCCGGATACAAGGATTCTTGTCTTCACAAAGAATTAAACAAATTTTTTTTTTCTAAATGGTAAGAAACTAACTAACTAGTCCCTTTCTAATTATAGTAAAATTATTATTCTATGCGGACACTATGTGAGAGTTTCATATTTTATTCTAGGGATATAAAATATGTTCAACTTTTTAAATTTAGATTAAATAGTAAAATGTTGTACAACTTGGTATCCGTATGAGTCGGGTCAGACTTGAACATCCTTTTTGAAACATTGTTTTGTTTTTGACGAAACAGATCAAAAGCTGGATCATAGATTCGCAGCTCTAATTTGTTTGACATATACATGTAATTAGAGTCTGTTTTGCCAAATAGTTCTATAGATGTAAGTCCTTACGATTTAGAACTTCTTGGTAAAAGTAATATATATAGTTCATACAAAATCGTGAGGATTGATTAGAATAGTCCCATTAACAGTTTTAAATACTAATCAATTATTGTCAGCATTGACAGGTAGGATAAAACTCTTATCAAAGGTCTCTATCAGACTATTACGTGAATCATTTGATCAACTCAAGGTAGTGAATTCCATTTTGTTAAAATAACTTCAATTGAATAACCTCTGCAGTGTGTTTCTATCCTTTTTTTTTCTCGCCTTTTAAACTCTGTTTTGTTCGCATAAATCAGAAATTGACTCAGAATTGCCGTATTATTAATTCCAGGTTACCATAAGATACACGAACTTATACATACATATATATATAATTTGTTTTTTCAAATATTTTCCTTGATTAGGGGAAAAATAAAATTTAATTTCCACGATTTTTGGGAAACTCATGCAATGCTTTGTTTGTTTCCTAGATGGTCGTATGTACATGAATGACTACGAAACATTTATATCGGACCGTCGTCATGCCTTTCGTCACAGCGACTGCGAAATGTCATCATGTTTATTCGTGGTTCTGGCCGAATATGTAGAGATATCGCTAAGTGTTTTTCCGCTGGAGAAATACAATAATCCATTATTTTGTTTTTTTTTTATGAGAAATTTTTTTTGTTGCCATCTGTCCATGATGAATCAAAATCGGTTACCGAAAAAATAATTTTTTGGTTAGTTGTTTTCATACATTAAAATGTTTCGAACACTACGAACTTATGCAAATATAATTATATATATATATATATATATATGTTGACACTAACTTATTATTTTTTCCGACTGTTTACACTAACTTATTTGGAACAGAAAATAATCATAAAACAACATTTATATTAGATAGAGAAAGTAATTGGGAATATATAATACTCTCTTAAAATTATTTAAATTAACAAAAGTTTGGTAAAACTTATAACTAAATTTTGGTAGATAACGAAAGTTGGATAGATGACCAAAACAGAAAATGCAGGCTAGCCATTTTAGGCTATTCATAAGAAATCCCTTACAGAACAGTGGATCTAACTTTAAAATATGTTAGATGACTTCTAATATATTTCTACGTCCGGATAATTCCATTGAATTCTACCCGCTTGATAATAATCAAATTGGTTGTATATTTATCGAGAAAATACTATATGCACACAAAAAATGTATTTACAAATATACTTCTTTTGGAAAGCATACAGAAAAGTCTAAAGAGACCATGTGGAAAGCATCCAGAAAAACCCCACAATAAATAATGACCTGTCTGTCTACATTAATTGCAAAAACCAACATTTATCGTAGACATTATCAAGCAATTAACTTGTCGTTAAAGTGGGATACACTGCTCTTTTTGTGACTCGAATCCTATAAACTCTTATCAGGAAAAGCACCAACCCTAACCGCAAGACTTGTGAAGTTTTATTTTTTAAAGAGCTTAATCATATTTTGGTATTCTATTGCAAATTGCACGCGATGAACGTGAACAAAAGATACGTCAAATCGAAATGGTCCACTCGTTTGATGTTCGTCATTGAAAACTACACACGTGACAAAAAAAATTGTATGTGGGGATTAAAATCTAGTCAAAAGAGTGGTCCGAAACCCGATAGATTTCAGACAAAAAAGTTGTTCTTCTGTACCATTCTGCTTTTAATGAATGCCCATATTTGGATCCACATCAATTCAATTATTTGCCTCTCTGATATAAGTACTAGTGAGTAGTGACAAGATCATCATCACCATCATCAATTCATTACAAGTATAAGTTTATGACTTTTTGGAAACTAAGGTATGACATGAATGGTGTAACGGTGAAAACAGGGGATGAAAATGCACGTGTGTTAGTGTTACTATTCATAATAAATATGAAAGTGAGCGAAGATGTGTTAATTTTTGAAATAAATAAGAAACCTTTGAAATTCTTTTGTTTTGCTGTGTCTAATTTTTTTCCGAAGATGTTTCAGCCCATATTTTTACGTAGCGGGCTTTTTATTTATGTGGGCCGTACGGGCCAACTTCCTTAAACATAAAACATCATATCTTCGTACCTTTTTCGAATATGTGTTATATAGTATGTATAAATAAACACGATTCTGTAATAATTTGTTTTTGAAAGTTATGTATGAATTTGTAATCTCAATTTAATATTATAAAATTGTTTTGTCATAAAAAAACACGAATGTAGTGTACATATTGTAATTTTTTTGGGGTATAGTGTTAAGAGACGTAACGTAACTTTACACTCCATATTCAATTTTATACATCCAATTTTATAAATGTATAAAATTAGTTATAGCATGTATAAGTTCGAGTATACCATGTGTTAATTTTATTTAGAAATAATAACTCGGGTATGGTATAGTATCTAACATGTACAAAACGACCATTTTTACGAACACGATTATATGGAATCTTTTAATGAAAAAGGAAAGAAAATATATTGTTGCGAATACGAATTATTTTATTAAATAAGAGCTCGTTTATGCAAACTCCGGCAATCGCAGCAGCATTGGAGTAAACTTTTTTCTTACGACATCTTGAAAACTCTCCCTAAAAAAATTTGAATGTAATTGGTATAAATGGAGGTCTTGGTGCTCACAAAAAAAAATATATATTCTGAAATGAGTAACACATATCCTTAAATAAATAAATTGTCGTCTAATTTTTTTTTTAAAAATAATTAATTAAATGGTCGACAAAAAAATAATAAATAAATAAATAATGTCCATTAAGCGTTGCCCTTCGTTAAAAATTAAGAACCATTAAGAAAAAGAAAAAAGAAAGGTTTAAGAGTTCTTGTGTTCAATTTCTGTTTTTTTTCGCATCGTTTTAATCTTTAAACCACCGATCCACATTTTCGATGTGCCTTTACCATAAGAATCCGTGAAATTGAATTTTCTCCGCCGGCGTCCTTCAATTTTCTCCGTCTTCTATCAAAACCCTAAACCGACCGCACCGTCCCCTGCGTTTTCTTCCGGCGTCGTCTTCGCTGCGAAACCGGTAACCGTTTCTGGTTTTTATGCACTCCTTCGTTTCGTGAAGCTCTGCCTTTTTCTTTGAATCAGAGCGATAGTGCGAGTTAGTGATGAGACACTAGAACTCGGAGTATTCTGCATCCCAATTGTTGATTACGTTTTTTTTTCAGGCCGAGAAGTATATGCACATGCTTTCCTTTGGTGTGTTTTTGCATTTTCTTGGGAATTATCGGATTCCTATGAATCCTAGATTGATTAAATTATGATTTCTTCGTCCTTATAGTTGTTATCTTGTTGTATCACAGAGAAGAAAGAAGCTTTTTGATGGCGGACACCGAAATGCAAGAGCAAGAATTGCCTTCTGCTCCCGTTGAGACCAAATGTGCAGATGAAGAGCCTTCCGAACCAGTGAAGGACCAAAACTCCATTGAAAGACCTCAGTCCCCTGTTCCCGAGGATAAGACTCTTACTTTGGAGACTGATGTTCATTTATCTGATGCTCCTCCCATTACTAATGAAAACATTACCAATGAAACTGAGGCTAGTGAAGAGGTAGGTGGTCAGAACAGTGTTGATGGGAATAATGGTGATGTTGATCAGTCTCAGAAGAAGGTTACGAGTGATGGAGGTCAAGAGGAGACAACACTGGGGGAACCATCGACTCCTCAAGCTGCTGGTGAAAGTGTTAAAAAGTGGAGGACGTGGTTGCTGAATGATTCTGAGGTAATGAAAGCTGGTTTCTGTCACATTTGAGACAACTAGCTTGCGTGCATCTGCGTTCATTATCGGATAAATTCTTTTTGTTATTTTGAGGGAATCGAGATTTGTGGTCATCGGGGGCACTATTTCATTACAAGTTCAACGTTTGCGTTACAGGTCAGGGAAGTTGATGAAACAGGAACGCCAGAGGATCAAGAGGCGTTTATTAAAGAAGTGGAGGCCTTCCACAAGGAGAATTTCCTGGAATTTAAAGCTCCCAAGTTTTATGGACAGCCCTTAAATTGTCTCAAGTGAGTTGCTGGAAAGTATTGCTTTCAAATCTTGCAAAATTCCATCTTTCTGGCTAATCCTTGTTTGACTGCTGCATGCTTTGCAATGTAGGCTATGGCGAGCCGTCATCAAGTTAGGTGGCTATGACGTGGTAATTATCCACTTTCGTTCTTTAGAAGATTTTATCTCATTTTTACAAAGATCTTATCCTTACTCTCCCCATTTACTCGGGTGAAAAATTTTTAGGTTTATTTTATACTATTCATTTGACATGATTTCCTGTTATGTTTTGGGTATAATAAGCTAGAAAGTTAGTTATGACAGCTAATGATCGAGAAGATTACCTATTACCGAGGAACAAGTTAAATGTAATCATATGTTAGTTATGTTAAGTATGTCTTTTGCCAACTGATTTAGTTTACGCCCATCTGCTATGTTTGAAGTTTGTACTCAAATCTACTCCTTGCTGGCTGAAATTCTATGTCACTGGTATTCAAATTTCCTGTGATTTTCATTTTCTTACAAAGGTCACCACATCTAAGCTATGGCGGCAAGTTGGAGAATCCTTCCATCCTCCAAAGTATGAGTCATTTTGTCCTTAAACTCCGCAATCTATCCGTCTTCGTATTAATTTCATTTCCGCTTCTTTTTGTTCATTTTTTTTTATTCAGGACATGCACTACAGTCTCCTGGACATTCCGCATTTTCTATGAGAAGGTGAATTATTATTTCTGTTCTGAAGCACCAGTTATGCATCGATATTAGCGAGCTTGTAGTTGCTCCGGTGAAATACATGTCCAATAAAGACAATAAATTTGTGCGTCTTTTCTGGTACGGTGTCTGAGACTAGCGAGTTTTGTTTTATGTCGTGGTTAAGTATTCTTCTAACTTTTTGTTTGCACTGTCAATTTTGGAACTTTGATTGATCTGGCTGATTTCTATCCTATCAAATCAAATAGCCGTAGATACTTCATGATTTGTATCCTTATTTTTCATATGCAGGCACTTTTAGAGTATGAAAAGTTTTTAAGGCAAAATGGTGAGCTTAACCTTCCTGGCTCAGCTTTTCTTCCATCTTCCGGCCTTGAAAAAGAGGTTAGAATTACCTATGATAATGTGTAAATTTATGCTTTTGGGTAGGTAAACTCTTGGGGAGGGGTCGACCTAAGGATAGTTATTCGCACCGTTAAGTTATCAGTGATATAGAATAGATGAAGTGAAAGCCCTGCAGTTCTTTCAAAAAATGAGGAGAAATTCGGGCATGCGTAATATCAGCTGAACAAGTTGAAGACTACTTACTATCTGCGATCTGATTGAATAAAGCCGTACCTTCTTTTGTATCAAATCCAAATGGGGAAGTCCATAAGAAATAATATAGATGACCCATGTAGTTACCCTTTAATTCCAGAATACAGAAATGTAAACTTTACATAGATCCCCTGTGTCTCTCATTGATATAAGGGCTCTTATGTAGGCAAGTAGCCATCAAGGTTCAGGGTCAGGCAGAGCACGAAGAGATGCTGCAGCTCGTGCTATGCAGGGTTGGCATTCTCAGCGCCTTCTTGGATCTGGGGAGGTTACTGAGCCTATTGTTAAGGTATCTATTTAGATATTACCACGCTTCATGATTCATCATGCACAAACTTGCGCAGCACCTTGATGCTGATTGTACTTCTTCGTTGTAGGATAAAGGCTTAAATTCAACCCCGAAGCAAAAGAACCTCAAAAATATTGGTAATAGTCTTAAAGAGCTGCTATCATTCTCTATAGTTTACATAAGGGTTACCTAATGCCACCCGTTTATATGTTTTTTTTTTCAGGTGTCCAGAAACAAAAAACACCAACTGGCGTGGACCTTGTTTTATCACATGAAACAGACAAACAGTTATGAAAGCTAACCAGCTCCTGTATATTTGTGTTTATTATGCTAGATCGCTTTACCATGTGCAATGACACATAGTCTTCTATCCACTGTGAAACCCTGTTTTATCGTATAATGTTTGCTGGATTGCAAGCATTGCTCTTGTGGATAGTAGTTATAAGAAACGACAATTCCAGATATAGTTCAGGATACTAAAAGGATTCAGAACATTTTGTGACCTCAACATGTTAAGATGACTCAATACCATGGTTTCTCTTTTTTCCTCGTGTATAATGAAAGTAAGAGATTAACAATATGGTTTTCGCTTGATAGGTCAAATGCCGAGGTTATTGATGTTGGACCCCCTGCGGACTGGGTGAAGATAAATGTCAGAGAAACTGTGAGTACCTCTGCCTCTTCCCCTCCCGTGTACCCAACTTTTGAAACTAGAAACATGAGAAGATGAAATAGTAAAAAACGAGACTGACTGAAGAAAGGGAGATAACTGCAATCTGGCTCTTTGTTTTGAATCTGAACTCTTACCAAATTTGTTCTGTTGTTTTTATCTACAGAAAGACTGCTTTGAGATATTTGCGCTGGTACCTGGACTTCTTCGCGAAGAGGTGAGCTTTTCTCCTTGGAACTCGTTTCCTAAGGGATTCTTGATCAGTGTTCGTCACTTGGGCATGCACAAATAGATGTATCTTTAGTGCATAGAGTCTTGGCCAGGGTCAGTAGGTACCGAAGCAGTTTATATTAGCTGTTTTATATAAATTAGGTGTAAGCAGCGGAAATGTTTGGAAGGTTTAAGTAGATATATACTGGATTCTAATCTGGACTACACCATTATTGTTAGCTAAAATCGACTTCATAGTAATATTTGTGTTATAGTACACGGATTTTAGTTTCTCGACATAAGTTGCTTTGGTTCTTTCTTTCAGGTCCGCGTTCAATCAGACCCTGCAGGGCGGCTAGTTATAGCAGGGCAACCTGAGCAGCTTGATAATCCTTGGGGAATCACACCTTTCAAAAAGGTTAGATTGTAACCCTCCGAACACAGCCATAATAGTCGTCTTTTGATTTTGGTTTTGATCTAGATTGTGGTTTTGGTTTTGGCAGGTTGTGAACTTTCCAGCAAGAATCGATCCGCTGCATACATCAGCGGTTGTGAGCCTCCACGGGCGACTGTTCGTGCGAGTCCCATTTGAGCAGTGACCTGACTCAACCCAAAGTTCTTTATTTGTTCCTTTGATGAATTCGAGGATCTAGGTTCTTTAGGAATTTGTCAGAACAAGAAAAGAAAAACGTTAGCAAATGTGATAGTTCGACTGTAACATTGATGTTCCACTGAAGTTAGTAGGAGGCTGCTCCTGATTCTCAAGTCAAGGATGCCACCGACAATAACAGTGTGGTATGAATTTGGAAGGTTATGATTTTCAAATGATGTGTTGCTTTTATAGATAAGATGTTCATATATGTAATACATGCATCTGATCTTTAGGTTATCAAATGAGAATTATTAAGGTGTTCTTATATTCTTTCACAAAGCTTCAAAATGTTTTTGTCGATGGTGAGTCACTCAACTAATCAACCAGATTAATTTCGGTCGTTTGATTTACAGGTGGTCAGTTTGAATTTTGGTTGAAGTAATGTAAGAACTAAATTAAATCTAATGTTGTTGGGTATGGTTCTGGTTTCGGAAAATGGGTCGGAAGATTATTTGGGCCGAGTTAAATGGGCTGAAAACCAGGCCTTACATGTGCCATGTTGCTTTCGTGATGATCCATAAATGTAAAAAGTATTACGGAGTTACTTAGTGAAGGAAAGTAAGAAATGTATTTTTTTTTGTTAAAGAAGTAAGTAAGAAATGTATTTACCAACACATATTGAGATTTTTTTTTTTTTAACTCAGAGTGTTGCTTTGAATTAATTGAAATACCAGGACAAGGTTCCAAAACCTAGAAAAGAGAGCAATGAAATCGAGATTTAGAAAAAACCACCAACTACGCAGAGGTTATTGGCTTTTCCGAGGCAAAAAGAGTTTTCAGCCACGAGTACATATCCCCTGCTCCGACATAAAACTGACGTCAATCTACGACTGTCACACTTCGAATTATAAGGAAATTAAATGCCGTTTTTCGCAGTCGGTGCTTCAAAATCTATTTCCTCAACAAATAGTGATCTGCATATATGTATACCGAGGAAAGAAAACTAGAAGTATTTTTTTTTTAAAAAAAAATACTACAATCAGCATTCCTACGTACTATATAGTAACATTTTTAAAACGTTTTTCTAATTTAATTTTTTTTCCTTTTGTAATATTTTATTACGTTGTATTCACCTTCTTCTGATTCCTTCTAAAAGGACATCATTTGGAGCATACAATGAGTTTGATCAACACAGTAGGTGGTCTTGATAAACTTAGATGGAGGCTGGAGTTTTTTTTCAATCTCCAAATCTCATAAACTATACTTTGGAGGAAGAGCTTGCATATGATGTTCAGCATTTTTTTCTTAATCCTGAGGTTCTTCTAACTCAATCAATAACATTCTGTAAGCAAAGGAGTTAGTACGTACCGGCTTACCCTTGGGGTTAAGGTTACCACCGGTGCTGATGATACTTAGGGTCCAATTTTTTTTTCTTAATTTATAAAAGTTTTATTTTCTTTAATATATATATATATATATACAAAATACAGTCAAATTTGACAAAATATATATATATATATATATATTTACCTCCCTAACCAAAGCTCAAAAAAAACATATGAAAGAGTCAAAAAGCATGTTATGTTAAAAAGATTTTTAAAACAAAAATAAAACAATAAAATTATTTTCGCTCAGACCTCCGACAAATTTTAAGCCGGTTCTAAGAGCATTCCAAACCTCCGAAGCATACAAACAACAACAAAAAAACAGGTGAGCTCTACTTTTTGGATTAGAAACTAAAAAAATTAACTCTTGTAGAGTTGTAGCTAACCTATCCCGCATCACAATCTAGAATAACTAAGTTTATTTTGGTATCCATACTGATTTGAACCGCAAAATGCAACCTTTACTATGTGAGAGAATTAGAAAATCAGACTAAAAATGTAAGTTCCTCGAGAGAAAGATGTCCCTTGAACTAAAGAAGTGTGAGGAGATTTGTGTGTAAACATATGAGATTTTTGATAAATTTCATTCTGGATAAAAAGTATGGTAGTAATTTAAAATATGATTTTATGATATTTTCTTATTATATATGACACCTATATAACGCTATATAACCCTGAGATTTTTGATCGAAATTTCTAGAACTTGTGTAAGAGTTTGCAGATATCATTTGTTATGCAGATAGACGTTTTCGGTAAATAACCGTAACTACAATTGCATTAGAAGAACTTAAGTCATGATTGTATCAAGCTTCATGCTTACATAGTGTAGACAACTAGTCCTAAGATCATCAAAAATTTATTTATTTTGTCCGAATCAATCCTATCATAGGCATACCTTTGCATTTATGGTTACTTATCTGCGTACGTAGACAAGACACACAAAAAGATTTCCATAGAATATATTCAATATACAAGATAAAAATCTTGATTATAATTTTTTTTAAAAATAAAATCCAATTTCTTGTTCTGGGTATTGTGTTGCTCAATTGCATGTAAGGCACATGACATGACCACATGGAAATCTTCAAAAGGTAAAGCCCCGAAAGTACAATACTCTTTAATTCTCTTTACTTGCTTTTACTTGCTTTAAGCCCTAAAAAAGCCATAATACATAATATATATATATATCTATATATATAAAGATAACTTTTTTCTCTTTCTGGTGCTGCCACCTCAGCAGCTACCTTAGCAGCCACTTATGCAATTATTTTTTTAAAAAATTTTTGCTTTCTCCGATTTCTCTAATTACGGCAAATGATGAAACACTTTAAATAAATCAAATATCACACTACCATAAACTAAAATTAAACAAATCATATGAACGACAACAATCACGGAATCACCATCAAAAGGAAATTGCATAAACAGATTTTTCGACGAAAGTGATATTTTCCAGAAGGAAAAAAACTCAACTCAGCTCAGCTTAACCATAAACGCTGGATTTTCTACCAATCCCAAAAAGGATCCATGAAATCCACGCCAAATTAGAGTCACCAATGACACACCCAAAAAACCAATTCCAAAGTTGAGAAACCGATCAGCTCCCCAATATGATGACAAATAGAGGTATATCTAAGAAATTATGGGGAGGGGTTAGACCGGCACCGATTCTTGGAAAAAAACACCGCAAGAGTGGAGGATACCGTCACTGAATCATCCAAGGAAGAAAGAGAAGGAAGATGAAAAAAATGACTCAATTAGAGACCAAAGTAATGGATATGAACAAAAGGTTGGTCCGACCAAAATTTCAATCACCCTCTTTCAAAGGAAGCACCCTCTATCATTAAACCAAAATTCCAACAATAAAATGGTTTTGCCAACATTTGAGAGAGCTACACGACTTTGTATAATCAAAATGGGATTTCATAAACATCGAACGAACAAAGAAATATAGCAGAAAAATGAGTTAATATAAAATAATACAAAAAATTAGAGACTAAAAAAAAAACTTTCACATTAACCATCCAAACCCGATTTCAATATAGACATATTGTACTTCCACTGACTCAAGGCCTTATACAAAATATACTAACGGAGAAAGTGTTTTCACAATTACAAATTAAAAAAACAAAGAAACAAATACTTCAGAAACAAAAATAAATTAATAAGAATAAACATAACACTTCCATAACATAAACAAAAAAATTATAAAAAAAACAACCCCGAATAACACCTTCTATAAGAGACATAAGTCCCCGAGATATAAAACTATAAAAAAAGGAAAAAACACGTGTATAATATAATAGAAAAGAATTATAACATAAAAACAATGGAAAAACGCTTGCGCGTAGCGCGGATCACACACTAGTATATATATATAATTTTGAATCTTTCATCTTAAATAACTGCATCCAACTTTCGTTCTCATCTTATAACAAGTAAACCCAAAACTGACCAAAATATATTCATTTAGTCCCAAAATATTAGTTGTCACTGTGTCACCACCCAAATTTAAACCTCTAAATTTACTCAATTTATTACATATACAAAAAACCTTATCCCCAGCTTGTTGGAGATATTTTACCAAAAAACTCTTTTGGACATGCATTGGTCATGTTAAAGCTTTTCGTTTCATATACAAATATACATTTGTATGAAACTTGAAAACTTAAGGGTATTGTCCTTGATATTTTCCGGACTTGATGCATTCCTCATTTTCACACATCTTGCTACTTCAAAACCCATTTGCTTATTTTGTCTCATTTTCTAATCATTTAAGGAGAAACTGATGAAACTTGGAGCCAAATGTTTTTCATGTTTTGGTTTTGGCAGGTCATGTAATGTTCTCGTGTTTTCGCCATTAATCTAGTCGTTGTAACCGTTAAAAAATCATCAGTTGTCGTATATGCTTGTATCGTATTGCTGTAACGGATAATAATTTTTTTTTTAAATGGTATCTTTTTATTATTGTAACCGCTATTTTAAAAACTTTTTCGTAAATTTTTAAATTATTATTTACTATCTTATAAATTTTAAAGCGTTACTTTCGTGATTGATGAATAAGACCAAAAAAATATATTTCTATCATTCTTATCGAAAAAATTACAAGTCCGTTGGTTAAATCATCTATAATCAAATCAAGATTCTATGCATAAACTTGCTTTGAAGTCCTTCAATATGTTCAAAGTTGTAGAAGGCTCTTTAGTTACATTCTTACATGAGTTTCGAAACACAACAAGATATACAACCTTGAGAATTTCGTATATTTGGTAACTAAATGAATGAAAAAGAACAAGATGTTCGATACGTACGTTAGTTGACATACATTGCAACATAGATTAAGGATTACCTTTCATACCTACCCAAAAGGGGTTTACACATACTAGTATGAGCCATATACATACGTGTGTGAACTCAATAACTTTTTTTTAATATACGAAGGTAAGTCATATAGTAAATGGGCTTCTAATATTTTGTTTTTGTGTGAAGTCAAGCATATAACAAATAATATAGGGTTCAGCACAGAGAAAATGTAGACGGAGAAGTATTCTAAAGACGAATTCAATCAAATATTCATATTATAGTAAACTAAATTCAAAAACAAAGTAAGCACAAATAATAAAGAAGATGTCATTATCACAAAATGATTTTTTATTTTCAAAAATTAAAATTTTTAGTTATAGCTATTTTACAAACATAGTTTTCGATTCTAAAACGGTGGTCTTGTAGCGGCTCCGGCTCCCCAACCAAGCAAATGAGGATCACCGGAAAACTGGTCATAACCACTCATATTACCTCTTAACTCTCCCTGACCGGTTCCTGACGGTGGTGATGCTGACGTGTCCGGCGGGGGACCTCCTCCTACTCCTCCTCCGACTTCTCCTGCGCCTTCTCCTCCTTCATCTTCAAGCGGAAGCCTTTCAAAAGTTGCGTTAGAGAACGATGCAGCCATTAGTATCACTGGACCCGAAGCCACAAGCGGAGCCATCACGTTTCCTCCGATCACCTGACCTTGGCCACCAGCAAGAAAGACTGACAGACCACCGGATCCCGGCGGCGCGGGCGGCGGAAGCACCGTACCAGTGAGGGAAAGAATGTCAAACCTTCCATGTAAAGTCACAACCCCTCCGGCTCCAGCTCCGGCTCCGGCTCCAATTCCACCATTATTCCCATGAGTCGTCACCGGCTGGCGAAGAACGACGTTAGCCACCGTGCCGTTACCACTGAGAACGGAGACACCTCTTCCCCTCCTGCGAGCGTAAGTGTTGACGCTCTCGACTATGTCGGCTCCAGATGAGACTTCAAGAACGTGAGATCTAAGCACGTTGGGGCTATCTCTTGTCACAATCACCGGTGGCTTCGGTTTGTTTTTAGATCCCGGAGGACGTCCACGTGGACGCTTCCCGGGAGTTGAGCCAGAGGTAACCGGGTCGGAATCGGGTCGACCCGGATCCTTGTTGGAGTCGGATTCATCATCTGACTGAGGCTGAGGCTGGAGTTGAAGATGAGGATGAGGCTGAGGCTGAGGCTGAGGCTGAGGCTGTGGTTGAAGCTGGTGGTGAAGCTCAGGCCTAAAGAGGTTGTGGAAGTATCTAGAAGCTCCTCCGGATTGATCGTAGCCACCGTCCATCACCGCCGCATCTACTGGTTCTTGTTCTTGTGGCTCATATATAATGATATTGTGAGAGTGAAGATTTCTTCATATAGGAGGTGAGATCCAGTGGAGAAGTCAAATTTCAGGGAGTGAGGAGCCAATAGCTTGAGTTGATCGGTTACACAAACCGACAAAAACAGAGCAAAGAGACACAAATCAAAAGGGTGCTACTTGTGTGTTAAACCCTAACTCGCTTTAGGGCAAGAGAGGAGCAGATTCTTCACTCGACACGGCGTCGTATTAAGTGATGTGAAATAGAAAATTTTGAGAAGCTTCAAATAATTTTATGTGATAGAGTGAGTGTCTCTGCAATACTTTTGTTGAACGATGAAAGCCAAAAAAAAGAAGAAGAAGCAATTGACACCGAGAATTTAGCTGAAAAATCATTCCTTTCACATTAAAATTTAAATCTAATATGAATAGTGCCATCCTTAAAAAGAAAATGAATATAGTGGCATATTATATACTATATATAAGCATAAGTATGGCATAATTGCATATTAATTGGGCTAGTGGTTCTTATTTGTTGAGGAGTTTTGCTGTTAATAGAGACTAATTTTTATTTTCGTTTTTTTTTGCTAGTATATAGCTTCAGAAAATTCCTTTCAGACAGCAAATTTAAAAGAGAAAATAATCTAAGAAAAATGTTGCCATTTAAAAGACGAAGATCATATATATGAACAGAATATTGAAAAAGCAACCTTATAGAGTTAAAACATATTTACCAAGTAGTTAGGAATTAACGAAGTGGTTTTAAAAATATTCTGAAGCGCTAATCCAATTTACGTTTTAAACACTAACTCAGGCATAAAAAAAATTATGAATCAAAGGCTCAGAAATGGTTGAAATTAACAAAACAAAGAAAAATTAAATTGAAATTTAAGGATTAGCGCTGAATCCAACCGATCGCCTTGAGGCGTGTGCATGCAACGCCTTTGATGTTCAATATCATCTACCGAAACCAAAACTACATCTATCAAAATATAGTTCTGGTCTCTGTACAGTAGATTGTGAGCTATATTTAGAATTAATAAGTGAAAAGAAAAAAACGTTTCGTTCTTTCAACTGATATGAATCACATTTAGTAAAATATAGTTATGCATAATTGCTTTTCAACGTTTCAGGATATATACTTATAATTGTTTAACTGTACTTTGTTGACTTATTAGGAAGATTTCATACTAATTTGCACGCATATTCCCTCTTCTATGCTGCTACTCAATCTTGGTGGTGCCAAGCTTACTGAAGAAACTGATTTCTTTCACAAAAGTTTCCCACTTGTTTTAAAGGTATAATTATATATCCACTTTTACTGCAATAGAAGGAGGGGGACGCGGGCATAACTAGAATAATTTATGGCTTAATAGCTAAGAACGAATAACTAATTATCTAGTTTCTTAATACTAAATGAATAGCATATTAAAACTTTCTGTCATAAATGATTAATAATATATACGTGCATATCTTAAAGCATTTGTGTGCACATGCAACACATTAACATACTCTATGAAAAAAACCCTGTTACTTAGTACTTTATATTCGCGAATCGATCTAAATTACTATGCAAAATAGTATTAGATCAAACGAACAAACAGAATTAATTTTGGTATCTAACATAATACTTTAATATACATCTAACACTATTTTCGTAACCTAAAATCGAAAATTGAAGACTATCTGGAAATTGGACCAAACATAATTACAATATCTTTTTTTTTGAACATCCTCATAATTACAATATCTATTAATGAAATTCTAAAAGAAAAACATAAAAGAGACGATAATCACACTGAAAATCGAAACTTGATAATAAAAATAATAATAACCGAGGTGAAATTACTTGTTTATACGTGGTGTTAGCCAATATCAACATAGATTTAAAGTCTAGTTTGTAAACTGAAAAATAAGAAACGAGGAGGGAAAACTAGGTAAGTGATGGTTTTGAGAGGAGTAGAAACAGAACTGTGGTTATACTTGTACACATCTAAATAGATTTTAACCATATAGCCAAATTCTCAAATTCTCTATTAGTTTATTAGGATACTATTAGTTTGATTATAGAATATTAGAACTTATAATGGAATGACGCATTAAATTTCTCAAAGGTATTGGCTACTTGTAGAAACGAAATGTGAATGTTGAGAAAAAAAATGATAAATTTTAAACTAGTAAGTAACGATGATGGCACATCAATTTGTGGAAAGCAAATGAGGCTCTCGATCACAATTCACAGCCGTTCATTAACATGACCGGAGCAATCGGACAGCTTGTGGTGTGGGGATGCAATCACACAGTCAGCTTGATCCACACGTGCACGGAGCAAAATCACGTGCGGTCAACATGTCAGAGCAGAAGCTGAGCTGTGTTACAACGTGGAGGTTTCTCTCGATCCATCTTACTACGCACATCTATTAAATATATACCTCGAGTCACGTTTTTTTTTTTATTTTATAAAAACTATTTTATCGAATTCGATATTTCGACCCTTGAACATTTAATTGCTTTCTGTTCTAAATAAAACTTCTTAAAGAAAAAAAAATGAAAAGATGCACTTAAATGATTGCATGTTTATAACATGATTATCTTACCCCCAAAAATTGTTTATAACATGATGCACGACATAGGATGCATTTTTTATTGCTATAGGACAAACACGAATTGAGTTTGAAGCCACAATACTGGTCAAAAATCTCCTAAACTGCAATAAATGATATATTATTTAACGCTACATACTTGCTTTCAAAAAGTGACATTCAGTTTTTTTATAAAAAAAAATTAGTGAGTGGTGTGCATAGTTTCCTACAAAACTATCATATCAAGTTAGGAACTGGAGTTGAACATTTGTGACAACATCATCTATACAAATATATTGTATTTAATTGTACATTTGAAACCAAACATGTGACATCCGAATGGATCGAATCTAGCTATTCAGTCTTCGTTGGACCTCATCTTGCATAATGCATTGCATCTATTATCGGCAATTAGAAAAGTACTAGGAATTTATTTAATACCCAATTACCCATACAAAATTGAATTCTTTTCCATATTGTCCTCGTGGCATATATCGACTGAATCGATTTTTGTTCTTTATTAATTGATCGGAGCCAATTGGGGGGATGAATCCAAAGCTTGGAGTGTATCAGTTTCACAGCTTATAAAATATATGCTTAGTAAATATTATATGGCTTTCAAAAAGAAAGTTATAGGGCTAAATTGATAAAGTAGTTCACTAATGTAATTATTTTCCATCAATCCAATGAAGCGATAGTACAATAACAAGGTAATAAACAAAAAAGGTAGTAAAAATGATCTTGACTAAGGATATAACTTTTGGAAAAGCAGATAGTAAAACAAGAAGATTACGGGAGAACATTTTTGACAATACACTTTCTCATTTCCATATAACTTTGCCGACTTGTGATCTGCCGCCACTAACCCAGTAACCCCATCCACCAATTATCATGTCTTTCTCATTATTATATAGTAGCTTTAATGCCAAAAAAGGTAACAAAACCAAAACTAAAGTCCATTCACATTTTAGTGCTTTTTCCAAAGGTCTTATATATGCGCATATCTTTGTTTTTTGATTTTTTTTTTTTGCCAAAATCAGTCAGATTTGAACAACAACCATGAAAGATGAAGTACACTGAAAAAAAAAAGGCATTGAATAGTGAACACAAAAATATAAATAGTTGAGATATTTAGTTTACCGGTATTCAGTATTCTTTCAATGAATTAACCTCATATGCCAATTATTACAAATAGTTGAATTTTTTTCCTAATTAAAATAAAAAAACGAACCGACTCATATTAGGTTAGTTGTTAGTAATTCTGCATAATGGAGAAAAAATAAACTCTTGTTCTACACTCTACTATAGATTCATCATTCATGAGTTAGTCTATGTTTAGGTTCAGAGCTCCTTTCGAAAAGAAGTAACATGCATCTACAAACTTCGATTTAGTATTTTTACATGGAGGAGAAGGATGAGCACAAATTACCAAATTGGCTCGAGCGAAAAATCATACATAGAGTCCCACATGCTCACCTAACCATTGTGGACTTTGTGAGTATGTCGAGGACTTGGGCCAAGTAAGAGAACCACTGCAGTCGTCTACCTGAACACGATGACGTGGCGAAAAATCGAGAGTCGTGAACGAAACAACATATTCGGCCCATGAAATCTGAAATCTCTATACCATGTGTAAGAGTGGCCCAATAACAAATGCCCTTCAGTTTCAATTTTTGATTTTTGCAGGCCCTTCAGTCTCAGACTCTCAATTTCATTATACGACTTTTGAATACTAATGATGGTCGACAAAAAATGATGTATATTTGAAACAAATCTAAAATTCAAAAACCAAACTATAGTTTTATTGAAAACTGTCAATCTCCAATATCAAATAAAGAGCCACACCAAAAGAAAAATGATACCCAATCGTAATTGAGTTTCGAGTGAGACCTCATGGCCGTGTAGAAAACTCTTCTTGTTCAAATTCAAGACCTATAGATAAAATATATATAATCTGAATACTAATGATGGAAGATAATATAAAAGCTATTGATCATTTGAGATAGTGGACCAAAAAGAAACTCTTTCTTTGTTCATTTTAAAAGGAGTGCTACAGGTAAGTGTCGACCCAAAGATGGGGAATATTATATAGGTGGAGTCTTCTGGAGGAAAGAAGATCCGTATCTTACCACTCGAGAGAGATGTCCCAACACACACGGAAAATTTTATATTTTTATATATATAGATATATTTATTAGATAAATGAAGAAACAAAAAATTCTCAGAGAGTGCACTCATTCATGTTCCCAAACGCAACTTCATAGATTTTTATCATATAGACACCACTTCCTAACAAACAAGACAAAGCTTTAGACAAGATCGAAGAGAACACGAATTATCCATGAGAGAGAGAAAGAGGAAAGAGGAAGAATCGAAAATCCCAAATCTCTCTCTCACCCTTAATCCCCAAAAAAAAAAGATTTAAGTCAAACAAAAACAAAAAATATAAGTTTTTATTGAACAAAAGAAAGGCAATGCACATGGCCTAATCTGTCCACCAGAGAGACTGTTGAGTGAATGAGTTGTAAAAGCCTGCCTTCTTTGGATTCTTGTCCTTCTTTGAGTTTTGGGCCAGAGAGATGATTCAGATTCAGATCATGTTGTTGTCGCTGTCGTTGCTCCAGAGATGTCTCGGCTGGATCTATTGTATTTCATGTGACTCCTCACAAGTTGTCCAGCTGCTATTGCTGACATTAGAGATAACTCTCCGGCCAAAACTGCTCCCGCCACTATCGTCGCTAGCCTCCTCGAGTTCATCCCCGGTGACTCTGTGCTCGCTCCTTTCACTCCGAGCAGGTTCAAACACGCTGATTGAGACGCAAGCTGTGTTCCTCCTCCCACTGTCCCCACCTGAAAATCCAAAATGTTCAAGTCTCTAAAATCCCAAAAAAAAAAACTTCAAAGTGGTCGAGCTTTAGACTTCGAGAGAGATTTGATCAATTACCTCAATAGATGGCATAGTGACAGAGATATGGATATCTTTCCCGTCGTTAATGGCTTCCATCATTGTGATGCATTGAGAGCTCTCCACGTTTTGAGCTGGATCTTGGCCAGTGGCTATGAATACAGCGGAGACTATGTTGCTGGCGTGAGCGTTGAATCCACCTAGAGAGCCTGCAACAGCAGAGCCCGTGAGGTTCTTGAGCATATTGAGCTCGACCAAAGCAGCCACGCTCGTTTTCAAGACCTTGTTCACGATTTCTCCTCTGATTACTGCCTCGCATACAACTGATTTGCCACGTCCCTCGATCCAGTTCACAGCAGCAGGTTTCTTGTCCGAACAGTAGTTACCTAAACAATTAAGATTAAAAAAAAGGTGAATACAAGAAAATAAGAAAGGGGAATTTCACAAGATACCAATAAATCTAGCGTCTTTAAGTCTCAAGAGGTTGTCACTAAGCTAAAAGGAAGGGTTTTTAAATCAAATCAGTCACAAGAAAAGAAGAAAAGGAACTCACCAGAGATTCCGATCACATCCATGTCGGGGAAATCATCGGTGAGGAACTCGAGAACATTCTGTACACCTTTGGATACCATATTCATCCCCATGGCATCACCAGTGCTACAACTGAACCTTACGTAAGCATTCTTCCCGGCGAGTGTGCACATAACACTTTGCAGCCTTGCGAATCTACTTGACCTGCATCCAAAAAACCACTTCTTCGTCAGTGGATCCCCTTTTTTAGAAAAAAATTTCAATCTTGAAATCAAATCAATCCGCAAACAGTTTCAACGCAATTTTCAACATCAAAATTTCTTTCAAAAGCTTCATGTTATATCTAAGAAGAATGGAACAAGTCTCATCACTGGGAAAACATCTAAAATTCATTCATACCAAGATAACATCCTGCAAACGCATTAAAAGTCAATCAAATCAAAATTATGAACCTGTTGAAAACGACGGCCAAAGTGTCGAAGTTCTCTGGACTCTCCAAGAAGAACTTAAGCTCCGCGGCTCGTCTTGCCGACGCAAACCGGACCACGGGTGCTCGGGTCATACCGTCCTTGAGAACCGTACTGGTTGCTCCGCCGGAGATGTACATGGCCTTGCATCCTCTGTTGGTGCTAGCGACCAAACATCCTTCGGTTGTAGCCATAGGAACCGAGTACTCAAAACCATCGAGCAACAATGGTCCAGCGATCCCCACCGGAATCTGCACGTACCCTACAGGCATCTCGCAGCATTGCCCCAATATCGATTCGTAATCAAATCCATCCAACGGTAATCCTTCAATCGATTTCCCCGTAATCCTCTGCAGAGCCTCCCGCCGGATCGACGCCGCTCTCTTGCAATCGCCGAGACGAGATTCGAGCGAGTAGGATGGGATCGCGCCGTCGAGTACCGATTTCACAATCTCTTCGTCTTCCTCGGGAAGCGATTCGGTGACGATAGGGTCCGGATTGGATAATTTAGCAACGGAAACGACAGGCGGAGGAGGAGAGCAAGTGACAAGACGGTGGTCGTCGTTGATTAGGAAATTCGTATCGGCATCGTTGGAGTCGGCGAGATCCCAGGCGTCACCGGAGGCGCGTGAGATGAATGATTGAACGAAATCGATGCCGAAAAACCCTAGGAGATAGATAAAAGAGGCGATGAGAGCGACAAGAGCGCCGAGCTCGGTGATGGTGACGACGTGGAGAGGCGTGTTGTAACGGATCTTGTCACGCCACCGGTGGAGGAGATAATAAGCGACGGAGAAGAAGAGCGTGAAGAAGACGGCGTTGGTGAGGTAGAGAGGAAGAGGGAGCGCATCGGAGGCTTTTGGGGGAGGAGCAATCGTGGTTCTGCGGCGATGATCGTCGGAGGAGGAAGGAGAGCGATCCTTTTGAAACCGGTAGGAACCGTCGGGGTTAACCGGCGGTTTAGGAGGCCTCCGTCGGATATCCATTGGGGAGGAATATCCAGCGAGAGGGAGGAAAATGGTGAGGTGGCGTGATAAGTGTGGGGAGGGAGAGAAAAACAAAAGGTTTTGCAGAGAGAGAGAGATAGATTTATTTGCCACTTTTATAGGCGTCCAACGCGCTTTTCTGTTTCGGACCACCAGAAGAAGATTCATCAATTTTTTTTTTTACTTCAATTTTTTTTTGTTGCAAATTTTACATTTTTCCTTATTCGTCTATTATTAGGCTTTTTCACGTTATTTTTTCCTACTCATGATGAATCAAATTCGTTGTTATACGAGGGGACTTAACTGGCTGGTATTATCACAAATGTGTAGAGAAATTACTCAATCGTGAAACAGCTGAGTCCATAGATTAAGAATAAATATTTAAGCTGAAAATTTTGATTTCTTTGTATTTTGTCAACAAACTTAAAATTTTCTTTTGAACACGAAAAGCTTATATATAGTAGCAGGAATATAAGAAAATTTAAATGACAGCAGCAGAGTCAGACACGAGAAAATTCTAAGAACATAAAATAAGGATATAGATGACTAGATATATTAAATTAAGTGTGTTTCGTACTAAACAGTGGAAGTCACATTGTCACGTTCTGGATCTTGGACCTTCTTACTTGAAGTAAGCCGACAAATTAAACCAACCCCCTAAGTAAATAAATACCGGTTGGTAGTCCTTGATTTGCTTCAATATAGATTTTAGATTTTTCAGATTCGTTGGCACAAACGTACAAATCCTTTCTTGTTTTAATATATATATAAAAAAAGAGAATAAAAAGGAGAATTACGAATTTACAACAACCTAACTAGAGGGTAAAGCTTTTTGTGGAAAACATAAAATTAAGGAAAGTTGGAAATTGAGAAGAGAAATTCGCGCAAATCCATGGTTATGTCGATGAGCTTCATTCTTTCAATAAATTTAGATAAAACGAAAACAAAAATAGCAATATTATCAATTTTATATTTCTCTCTTTATAACAAACACTTCTGATCAAACAACACTCTTCTCTTCCGTACTTTATTTTCAATGCAATAAATCTCAACTCACATGCTGGTCACGACATCAACATCGGTGAGTACGATGTGAACCGATGTATTGGAGATGTGTTGTTCTTTTTTTTTTTTTTTTTGTGCAACCGAGATGTGTTGTTCATTTTTAGATATACGGCGGACTAAATTAGAAGCAGCTCCTCCGTGGTGTAATTAGAGGTCTTCGTTGTTTATGCTTACTTTCGAAAATGCTTCGAAGTTCGGAAGTCGGAACGTCGGAGGAATCTTAGTGCCGGCGGTTTCTAAAGTGCCGGTGAACGGTGATTCTCGGTTAGGCGGTAAAGAAGACAAAGTGATACCACGTGTTTCATTGCTCATGCAGAGACGTGGTCGGCTATTATGGTTTCATCTTTTGTTTTCTTAGTTAAAATTTAAAAAGTTTGGCTTCTCTTGTTTAATATCTTACGGCTTTTTAATGTTTATAGTTTTATTAAAAAAAAAACATTTTATATATGGGGATTGTTTTGCTGGCAAAAAAAATATATATGGGGATTGTCTGCATCTAACTGTTGTATTAGTCGGATATTTTTCGCTGAGATTTACCTCTCATGATAACAGTAACATCTTTGATCGGTTAAATGGAATATATTGGATTAATTATGTAATTCTTTGTTACGTGAGTAGTCTAACTCTTATTTAGGAGTTTTATTTACTTCTTTTGTGAAGTTTAGATACCCTTTAGTGGGTGTTGACGTGTTGTATTTCTCATATGAGATGGTACGGACTCTCTCTATCTGTTTCTTACTGATTTTTGGGCTAATTTGCGACTATCTTACGTGTGTCAAATGTGGTCCTCTTTTGTCCAGAAGAATGTCTTCTTTTACGTAATTAGAGACATTTCAAGTTACTGGAAATCAGAATATTGCCATTTTAGTGATCTCTGATCTGTAAAACTATTCCAAAGAATTTGTTCTGTATCTTAAATTTGGGTTTGAAAATAATTGTCCATGTTAGCCGAAATCAACTGTTTCGCTTACTTGGGGATCCTACGATTTCAGGGTTTATAAGCTTGGAATCGGACAAGAGTCACTGTATTACTTACTGTTATGTCTTGTAGTCTTGGTAAATGGCTTGCCTTGTCTCGGCCACAAGAGCATGTTAGTGTTCTTGAAACTTCTCAATCTTTCATTTTTCACACTTGTTTCCACAGCCTAAGACTAACTTATGTGTTAATTATTACCACTTGATTTGTTGTTAGGTTTGATGTGAAAGCTTTTTATGTTGGGAAGGAACTGTGGAAACTTTGCCATTGCAATCAGGTTCTCGAGCTTACAAGTTAGAAGGACTTAAATCGAATTCTTGGTATGAAGTGAAGATATCATACCCTGCTTCTGTATGTAAAGCCTCCTTCTTTTTCTTTCTTTTTATCGACTTTCTTTGAATTGAATAGAAATCTGATATAGCTTTCGTTTTAATAGATACCTGTTCAATTTTCGCTGAAACTACTAAAGAACGGTGAAATGGAGTTGAAACTAAACCATATGAGGAGATTACTAAACACTGAGAAGTTGATCTTCAAAGCGGAAACACACCAAGAGGTTAAGTTATTTAAGTATAGCTTATGTTGATTCTTTCAACTTGAAAGAAAGAATTGTGAGCCTGAGATTTTTCTGTTTCAGGGTGCATTGTATGTTTTGGTGACCGCTGAACCTGAGGGGATCATGGCAATACCAAATTCCGAAGAAAGATCTTTCATCATCTACAACATAGGCAAGCTTACATTATCAGTCCATGTACCATGACTCTTTGCATCTCCGTGCCCTCTTCATAATCTAAAACTCTTGGTACCAAAACAGTTTGTGTAGAACAACTCATGAGCATACCTAACTCAAGCTGGTGAATGGTTATATTAGTAGTTTTTTTGTCTTGTGGTGGCATTCCTAGCTCCTTGGTTTCTACCGTCTTCTCTTCTTATAAAGAATCAAGCTACACGTTCTTTGCATCGCAGCCACAGAAAGGATCCATATGTCTAATCATCATTTTTCATCATCTCTAATGTTCTTTTGCTATGTTGTTTTTTTCTGTTAGGTTCAGGAGATTTCCGGTTTTACTACAAACTGACAAAGCTCTAGGTATCTAAATCCTCCTTATTTTGGATTCATTTTAATCAGTTTTTGTTGTGCTATAGACTGACAAAGCTTTAGGTTTCCATTTCCCTCATTTACTCCATTTACTCTTAATCAGTTATTAAACAATCCAAAATTGTCTTCTTCCCTTTACTCTGGAGACTTTTCTGCCCAAATAGTGTGAGAGAGAAAAGGTAAGCAGAGATCCACACTGCTAAAAGAATGTAATTTTCTGAGAAAGAGGTCAAATTTGGCTGTGGACTATGTGCTTGATAAAATGCAAAGTTTCTTTTTCCCTTTAGATGTTTCTTGAATAAAGTAAAAGTCGCATGTGAAAATGACTTAATGATGAGAAAGATAATATCAAATTAAGCTATGACTTTGGAAATGTGGATGATAAAATTCAAAGTCTTCTTTTCCCCTTTGTATTTTTCTTAACTAAAGAAAAAGCCACATGCAAAAAATGTTTTCCCCTCTCAGATATCTCCATTTTACTAAAATTGATATACAAAAACTTATTTCATTTTGAAAATTTCAATGTTTATAGATCTGAACCGCAATCTTTATCCTCCTTATAATTATAGGCTACTTAATTTAAAGATGCTACTTCAGGTAAAGATGATGAGTTTGGTAAAGTCAGATTTGACTTGTGTATAAATACTTGTGAACCAGTTTCCTCTTTCGTTCAATCCAAAGAGCATTCTAAAAGTTGATAAAGAGAGCGACGTCAATGGCCGAAAAGCAGAGGGTCTGTGTTACTGGTTCAGGAGGATATATTGCTTCCTGGCTCGTCAAGCCTCTTCTCTCCCGTGGCTACACTGTCCATGGAACCGTTCGAGATCCTTGTAAGTGGGAAGAAACCCAAAAATCTCATCTTTTTTGTCTTTTTGTTTTACTTTGAAAACTTTTGAATATTCTCTGTTTCTTGATGTGACATGCATTGATTGATTGTTCTTAGATGATGAAAAGAACGATCATTTGAAGAAATTGGATAATGCTGCAAAGAATCTGAAACTTTTCAAGGCAGATTTGTTTGATTACGAAGGCCTTTCTTCAGCCATTTCTGGTTGCTCTGGCGTTTTCCATATTGCTTGTCCTGTGCCTTATGAAGGAGTTCCTCTTACAGAAGCAAGTGCTTAAATTTTTCGTCTTCTTTTCTTTTGTTTCTCTCTTGAATCATTAAAAAAACAATGACTTTGAATGCAAAACATTCAGGAAGAACTGGTGAAACCGGCTCTCACTGGCACCAAAAACGTTCTAGAAGCATGCACAGAAGCTAAAGTGAAGAAAGTTGTGGTTGTATCATCAATTTCTGCAGTTGTTTACAACCCAAAATGGCCTAAAGATGTTGCTATGGACGAGGAATCTTGGTCAGATACTCAATTACTTCACTCACTTGAGGTATTGTTATCTATGTTTAGTCAGATGAATCTGTTTTTATTATATAAACCAAATACGGTTAAAGATTTGTGCTTTTCCCTGGTGCGAAATCTGAGGATCTCAGGGTTATTGGCCTTATTACTTTCTTGCCAAAACATTAATGGAACGTGAAGCTATAGAGTGGAGCAAGAAAAGCTTAGCTGATGTTGTTACGGTCTTGCCCTCTGTCACGGTAGGCCCTAGGCTCCAATCAACGCTTAACTCTAGTAGCTTGGGGCTTCTCAATTTTATAAAAGGTGAATGATGTTCTCTAGTTACATATCTTGGTTTAGTGCTTGAAAGTTTGATGAACTGGTGTGTCTCAGGAGGTACAAAGTCCTTGTTGAGCGACCAACTGTATCTTGTGGATGTGCGCGATGTGGCGGACGCGCTTTTGTTGGTGTATGAAAATCCAGGAGCAAAAGGAAGATATATATGTAATTCTCATTCACTTTACAACACTTCTCTTGTGGAGAAGCTGAAGAATATGTATCCTAACCGCAACTTTCCTGAAAGGTTAGAGTAGAAAACCGGTTTCTTTCAAACGTTGAGATTCCGGTCTGATCTGATCAAACGTTATAATGCGCAGTTTCACTGAGTTAAAAGAGAAGGGGGAGAATGGAGAGATGCTTCGGCTAAGTTCAGAGAAGTTACAGAATTTGGGGTGGAAGATTAGGCCATTAGAGGAAACCATTAATGATTCTGTTGTGAGCTTCGAAGTTGCTGGTGATCTTCCAAAGCCATAGCTATTAGCTAACGCACGATGAACGAAGAGAGGCTTCTTCAGTTGTTATTATTACTTTTGAAACAAAATGATCCCATGAAATGAAAATGGTCTTTTGAGAAATGAAAAAGTATTTGTTTTTAGTGAATTTAAATTCACTAGCCTGTGAAATGTTATTCCATGTTACGGGTATAGTCTCACTTTTATTTACTTTTTTTTGTGAGGTGCTGTGTACTCTTTAGCCGGTGTTGTAATCCTCGTATGAGGTGGTTGTAACTTGTAAACTCCTTTAATGGATTAATTCTCTAATAAAGTAACATTGGTCGAAAAGGAAAAAGAAGAATCGCGTTTTCCGGCCGGCAAAAAAAATAGCGTTTACCAACGCCGTCATTCTTTGTAAAAAACAAAAAAAAAATCACAGAAGAGATTCTTCTTCTATTTCTGTAAATTCGATATATCATTCGAGGCATGTCTATAATGTTCTTTTGCTCAAGTTTGCTCTTACTGGTAGGTTCAGGAGAAATCTCCATTTTTATTACAAACTGACAAAGTTCTAGGTATCTAAAATTGTGCTATAGACTGACAAAAGCTCTATGTTTCCATTTTCCTCATTTATTTACTCTGATACAGTTATTGTACAAACCAAGATTGTCTTCTTCTTATTCTGTTTCTTTAACATTTGGAGACTTCTCTGACCAATAGTGTGAGAGAAAATGTAAGCAGAGATCCACACTGCAAAAAGAGGTCAAATTTGGGTGTGGACTCTGTGCATGACAAAATGCAAAGTCTTTTTTCCCTTTAGATTTTTGTTAAATAAAGTAATAGTTGCCTTTGAGAATGACTGTGAATTATGAGAAATATATCAAATTAGGCTATGACTTGGAATATGTGCATGGATGGTAAAATTCACACTCTTTTTCTCCCCTTTGTCGTTTTCTTAACTTAAAGAAAATGCCACATGCAGAACATGTTTTCCACTCTTCAGATATTTGATTTTCAAGATTCTCTCATTTGTTAAAAATATCGATGAATTAATAGCTAAAAAAATATACAAACTTAAGAAATGCTTAACAAATTTTTAATTTTACTATTTTTAATAAAGTTATACTTTTGATGCAAAAATTATATTTCATTTGAATATGAACTGCAATCTTTATCCTCCTTAATTCCCTCATAGTGACGCTACTTCAGGTAAAGATGATGAGTTTGATAAAGTCAGATATCACTTGTATACAAATACCTGTGAACCAATTTCCTGTTTCTTTCACTCCAAAGAGCATCTTAAAATTTGCTAAGAGAGCGACGTCAATGGCGGAAAAGCAGAGGGTCTGTGTTACTGGTTCAGGAGGATGTATCGCTTCATGGCTCGTAAAGTCTCTTCTCTCCCATGGCTACACTGTCCATGGAACCGTTCGAGATCCTTGTAAGTGGGAAGAAACCCAAAAATCTCATCTTTCTTTTTCTTTCCTTTTGGTTTACTTTGGAAACTTGTAAATATTCTCTGTTTCTTGATATGACATGCATTGATTGATTGTTCACAGGTGATATAAAGAACGACCATTTGAAGAAATTGGATAACGCTGCAAAGAATCTGAAACTTTTCAAGGCAGATTTGTTTGATTACAAAGGTCTTTCTTCAGCCATTTCTGGCTGCTCTGGCGTTTTTCATGTTGCTTGTCCTGTGCCTTCTGAAGGAGTTCTTCTCACAGAAGTAAGTGGTTAAATTTTTCGTCTTCTTTTCTTTTGTTTCTCTCTCTTGAATCATTAAAAACAAAACCGGCTCTGAATGTAAAACATTCAGGAAGAACTGATGAGATCAGCTCTCACTGGCACCAAAAAAGTTCTAGAAGCATGCACAGAAGCTAAAGTGAAGAAAGTTGTGGTTGTATCATCACTTGCTGCAGTGTTTTACAACCCAAAGTGGCCTAAAGATGTTGCTATGGACGAGGATTGTTGGTCAGACACTCAATACCTTCACTCACTTGAGGTATTGTTATCTTTGTTTAATTGTTTGGTCAGATGAATCTGTTTATATAAAGTATATAAACCAAAGATGGTAAAAGATTTGTGCTTTCCGTGATGCAACATCTGAGGATCTCAGGGTTATTGGCCTTATTACGTTCTTGCCAAAACATTAATGGAACGTGAAGCTCTAGAGTGGAGCAAGAAAAGCTTAGCTGATGTTGTTACGGTCCTGCCCTCTGTCACGGTAGGCCCTAGGCTCCAATCAACGCTTAACTCTAGTAGCTTGGGGCTTCTCCAATTTATAAAAGGTGAATGATGTTCTCTAGTTACATATCTTGGTTAACTGATTTACCCGTGAAAGTTTGATGACTTGGTGTGTCTCAGGAGGTATAAAGTCCTTGTTGAGCGAGAAACTGTATCTTGTGGATGTGCGTGATGTGGCGGACGCGCTTTTGTTGGTATATGAAAATCCAGGAGCAAAAGGAAGATACATATGCAATTCTCATTCACTTTACAACACTTCTCTTGTGGAGAAGCTGAAGAATATGTATCCTAACCGCAACTTTCCCGAAAGGTACGAGTAGAAAACCGGTTTCTTTCAAACGTTGAGATTCCGGTCTGATCTGATCAAACGTTATAATGCGCAGCTTCATTGAGATAAAAGAGAAGGGGGAGAATGGAGAGATGCTTCGGCTAAGTTCAGAGAAGTTACAGAATTTGGGGTGGAAGTTTAGGCCATTAGAAGAAACCATTGATGATTCTGTTGTGAGCTTTGAAGTTGCTGGTGAGCTTCCAAAGCTATAGCTAACTCACGATGATGAAGGAAGAGAGGCTTCTTCACTTGTTATTATTACTTATGAAATAATAAAGTGATCCCATGAAAATGGTGTTTGGTATAATCAAAAAAAAGAAAAAAATAATCACTTTCACTTACTGTATATGAATAATTTTGTTTGTTGAATCGACACTGTATATGAATAATTTGATAAAACATTACAGATTATCACGGTTTCTTTATCTCAAAACATTTTGGTTTTTAGTGGATTTGACTCCAACCACTAGACTGTGAAATGTCCGATTCGTAGTCCGCGGCAAAATTAAACTAACTATGTCGTTATAGGTTTGTAGTCTAGTAAGACATAAACATTACTTACGATTCCTTAATATCGTTGACATTGGACCACAATTTGGGGTACGTAAAACATGAGTCACGAGTTCAAGAAACCCTAGCCGTTGATTCAGGATTTGCCGAGGACGAGGATTCATCTACACCATCCAAAATCGACAAATGATGGTCGAATTTTTTGATTTTATCGTCTTTTTTTTTTCTCTGTCTCAAGAGTGAACTCAGTTCTAAACGATAATGATAAATCAACAAAAGAAAGTAACATTCTGTGTAACGTTACTATATCGGATAAATTTGATAAAGACAATACAGATAACGATGATTACAACGTTAATTACACAATTAGAGTATAATTGTATGGGTCCCACGTCATTTACAATGGCCAAGAACAAAAGTATCTCCTCTCTCTCTCTCTCCCCTTCAACAAATCACGCACCATCTTCATCATCATCAATTCATCATCATCATCAACAACTTCTTCTTCATCACCATCAATGGAATTTCCCAATCTGAACCTACTTTTCCTTAAATCGATTCATCATTCTTCCTACCTTTGATTTCTTTTTCTATGTTATTTTGCTTTCATTTTCTTTCTCCAGATTTTCGAATTCGTCTCTGTTTTTGTTTATATATTTTTTTTTCTCTTTTCTTTTGTGTGATCAACCAAATTCCACCAACCGACTTCGTCCTCTGTCTGGCCCATACTAAAACCCACACTGCTTTTGCTTTTCTTTTTTCCCGGGAAATTTAATCTCTTTTCCTCATTTCGTCATTATTAGTAGGGAATGATCTTTTAGGTTTTTGTTTGCCCCGATCTCGCTTTTTGTTTTTCACTATCTCCGAGTAAACCCTAGAATATCCGCTTCTATGTCGATGGATTCTAGGTGTTTAATCTCTACTCTCCACGGTTTTCACTGGGCTTGTAATTATGTCTAGGGTTTACTCGGTCACCTTTATTATCACTTAGAATTTGATCCCTGTCCATAATTCATCGCCATCTTTTCTTTCTTTCGTTGGAATAAAGTTTCCATTTTTATTTTCCTCTCTTTCATTTTCCCACTTTCTCACTCACACCTATAATCATGGCGGTTCCGGGTTCTGGATTTCACTACTTGAATTCGCCTTTCGGAGACACAACCTTCACAAAAGTATTCGTCGGTGGCCTTGCTTGGGAGACTCAAAGTGAAACCCTTCGTCGGCATTTCGAACAGTACGGTGAAATCCTTGAAGCTGTCGTCATTGCCGATAAGAACACCGGCCGATCCAAAGGATACGGTTTTGTGAGTCTCTTCTTCCTCTGTTCTTTCTTTGCTGCTTGCTGATTGCTACTTGTAATGACATCTTCCTCTGCCTCTATAGATGCAAAAATGTTGCTTTTTTAGATACCCTTGAAATGAAATTCTCGTAGATGATTGCACATTTGGTTGATAATCAGATACAATGGCATCACCAGAGGCTTACCATCCAAATAACTCAATAGATCGTGTAAATAAGTCACTGAACATAGTAAAAAAAAATCATTAATTGACTTTTTTTCTTTCTTAAAGTTTGTAGAATGATTCAGTGCTCTGTTTCTGTTTCTTATGGAGGATTTAGGTGACTTTCCGAGACCAAGAATCTGCTAGGAGAGCTTGTGCTGACCCAACTCCCATTATAGATGGTAGACGTGCGAACTGTAACCTTGCTTCCCTTGGGAGACCTCGGCCTCCACTGCCCTATGCACTGATACCTAACATACCTGGTCAGCCTTGCTGCAATACTCATTCTCCATTGCTTTTTCTCTTACTGTGGGCTAGTATTCTATGTTGTGGTGGATCATTGCTGTTGTAGATTACCTGTAATTTAGTGCAATTGCTGGTTTTTCTTTGGTTAGGACGCTTAAGACCTGCTTCCCCGTACATTGGAAATGTGCAGGGTCCTCGTGGTTCACTTTTTGGGAACTATCCGTATCAGCAACCACTTCCATATAACTACCAGCAAGGAGTTGTGTACCCTTATGGGTGAGTCATGCAATATTAATTTCACACATTGCTTTACTGTTATCAAGGTTTCCTTGCCATGTGTTCTGTTTCTGGTAGAGCATTTTGGAGGAAGGGTAACAATGTGTTCGATGACCTCATTGGCTTGTAATGCATTAGTGAAAATGTGAAATATTATCAGCGCCTTATAAGTTCATTAATGTTTTGTTTTATTATCTATCTCAGGGTAACGTCATATGGAACCGAGTACATGTACTCACAATCACAGGTTGAAAAATGGCTCTCAGTTGAAGTTTCTTCTTGGTTTCTCTTCGTGTCATTATATTTTATCTCGTCTCATGGTTTAGGGTGTATATGGTCCATACATGGGGCAGCAGTACCTTCAGGTCTATGGAGTACCTGGGGCAGTTAATTCTTCAGTTTATCAATATGGGCAAGTAAATCAGAGCGTTCCAAGTGGCCACGGTTATACTGCAATTCAAGGGTATTCGGTTCCAGGAAGCCATTTTGTTCAGCTTGGTGGACCAACTGCCAGTTCGGTGACCACTTCTTCTATGTCTGTTCTTCAAGTTCCATACCCTTCAGGTGCATTTTAATGTCTTACGCTTCATAACCTTATATACCCTTTCACTGTTCAAATCTCAAAGTACTGACTCGATCAAGGCTTTTGCGTTACAAATACAATCATTTTAGAAAAGGTAAGTTTAAGTGCAGTTAAGTTATGTTATCTTTTGAATACTTTTCAGGCCCTGCTCCAGGACAGTCGCATATCATTGTCCATTCCCCTCAATTTATGCAGAGTAGCGGTTCTGACCAAACAACAAGGTGGGGATCAATCTAGTGCTTAGGGAAACATATGGACATTTGTTTTTTTTTTTCATCACCTGTATGCACATATGATTTTTTTCATCACTTGTATGATAGTACTGGTTTCAGTTATCCTTGAAGACTGAGGAGAAAGGAAGTTAAGGAGTAGTGACATTGCTATTCAAGGTGGCAGCAGAGGCTTCCTGTTTTATTAAGTCTTGCACGTTATTTATCTTGCATCCTAAAGGTATGTGTTTTCTCTTCGACGGTACTGGAAATGGCATCATCACAATGCCTTGATCTCATTAACGTCAAGATCTAATCGCGCTACAGGTTATATAAAGTAGTCTTGCTCGCTTGGAGGGCACATGGTGGAAAAGAGAAAAGGAAACTGGAGTTTCAGGGTTTTGTGCTTCCGTTTTCTTACCCATCCGTCAATGATGTTTATATCTAAACACAGCTACAAAAATGCTGCAGTGCTGCTGGCTCAAGCACGGGTTGAGTAGGCACTATAATGGTTTCCCGTCGGAGGGGAAAACTGTTGGTAATAAGTTGGTGTACAATATGCATATATATATACACACATACACAAGCATATACAAGGTAGAATCAAAATCTGATTCTTTTTTAGTCTAAAGTCGTAATACTACTACACTTCAGGTACAGGAGTGTAGTAACACTCATAGTCATAGGTATATAGCCTTTGTCCCAAGTCCTGCATTGTAAGTAAAACATGTCCATGTTCTTGTCTACCCCTGCATATATATATTTATCATTTAGTTGTGTAGGTTTTCTCTCTTGTTCCATGTCTGAACACACTAATGAATTGTTATTTGAAGCTTACTTCAAAGTATGGAGTCAGTTTTTGTCTCAAAATTTGATTGAAAAAAAGTGATTGTTCAGTAAACATAATGTTTGATCAATGTGAGGAGTGCAAAGATCAATTTGGCTCCGGTGATAGTCTGATAGATATGAATGTCCTTCTCATATGAATTTGAAAGACTTGACTGCCTGCAAAAACAGAGGAAAAAGTCAGGTTTTTTTTTTTCCATCTGGTGAAATCCTTCATTGTTGATATCTCTTCTTCGTACCTTCTGGATCTTGGAGCTTTGATCAGCAGATTCTTCATCTGTAAACTGTAATAACCATTGAGAGTCATTGTATTAGACTTAAGAATTTAATCAACGAGATTATTGTGGAAGTACTAGGATCATTACCTGCCCTGTGACAGTGTATAAACGGTTGTACCAACCATTTGTAGCCATTCCAATTGCAGAGTACAAATGCTTACGAGCTTCTCCCGGATTTTGTAAGGTGTACTCGATGTAATAGAATCCTGATCATAGATCCAAGAGACATAAACTTGTGTCAACGACCAAAGCAGATACATCAGAGATTCCTCTCTAAGTTGAGATTTTTTGTTTCTTTTACCCTTAGAAGCTCTGCTATCGACTAGCTTTGCAGTCACTCCTGCTGGTTTCTGCCAGCTTCTATCCAATCCACTGACCTATAAATAAACAGCATATCCAAATTTTAAGGAACTCTTTTGGTAAAGAGATTGTTTTTAACTTTAAACTTCAGGTCACAAGATTAGGAGAGACTTAACCAGTGTTTCGGCGAAAGCTTCCACCTTTCCAAAAGATTCCATCCGAGTGAAATCCGGACCTAGTCCAGTGATCGCTACGCTCACTGAGACGACGAACCATATTCACCTATCAGTTAAGCTCAAACGAAAGAAAAATAACAAAAACTTCTTATTAATAATATTATTACCATTGTAACTTGAAGTTTCTTCAGGGTAAAAAGCTGTGATTGACTTGAATCCGTTGGGTTCTGCTTGTCCAATTTTCCAGTCTTTGAGTAAATGCAATCATATTCATTCGTCAATGATATGATTTGGTCACTATCATAAGTACCTGAAAAACAGAGTTTGACGGTTTTTACCTTGTGGAATGGATATCTCGAATTTGTTCACCTCATCAGTGTACACCTGGAAAGTCTCTGAAGCATCTGAGAAAGAAAACCAGAGATAGTTTGGCTTTATCAGCTTCTACACTCTCAAGGAATCAACATGAAAACGAGCTTTTAAATCGACAATACTTGTCTCTGCAAATGCAGGTGAAACGGTAAATGGAAGGAAGAAAGCAGAGGAAGCGATCTGTAACATGACTTCCCTTCTCTTCATCTCAACATGATCGCTAGACCTGTTAAGAGAAGAAAACAAAGACTGAGACTTTAATCAGATTCAGAACAAACTCAGATAATGAAAAAGGTAGTGAATTTCACTGAGACGTTAATGGAGTTTTACAAAATCCGTTGTTTTTCCGCGTCGGAACGGTCTAGAGCAGGAATTGATGTACATCTTCTGGAATCTGGAAAGAATTGGCTCCAAGAATATGAAATTTGTACAAGGAGGACGATGAAATAGTGAAGTGACAGAGAGATAATTGAGGACCTGTAGTGATCTTCTTAATATAACGAGTCGAAGCGCGGGGACTCGAAAAGCTCAGCGGAGAAGAAAACCATGGAGAAATCGCTGCCATGTGTTTCAAGATATGTCCGCTTCTGAGAAATCTATCGCCGTTTGGTGTTTCTACTCTCGTTTTTTTTTTTAATTTCAAATTATATTTTGCTTTGTGGAAAAAATAATATATTTTATTGAACGTTATGCGAGTGTTATTTACAATTTTTCTATTATTTTAATTTCAAAATAATATTTTTACCATTATCGATTCTAAAGCTAAAAGAATTTTAAGGAAAAAAATATGAATTGTTAGGATACAAAAACTTTATAAAATAAGGAGTTAATCTTCATTTGTATATCACTGTAACACACTAACACTATTGAAAATGACATAATTAATTGTTCTTAAAATATATAGTATTATCCTTTTTCAGAATCATTAAATTACATATTGGATTTGATCCGTAAACAATGATATGAATATTCGAATTAATAATTTCCATACAACAACAATATCTACACAAATTTTAAAGTCAAATACTTAAATGTATAAAGCGGATTAATCTTGTCATTTAAAATTCCGGAAATGATCAATCATAAAGTAAAGAAAAATACTTGTTAATCATGGTTTAAACCGACGAATCTTCTTCAGACACTAATCTGACAATGAGTTGGCTAGAAGACCTTCTCTTATTGTTTTTTGCTTCACTTCATTGGCTCTTTTCAAAAGTAAGCGAAGAGAGAAAGTAGCGAGAAGAAGCGTTCTCCGAAACCAAGCCTTTGCATTCCTCGGATCCACTCTCCGAGCAAGCCACAACGCATAGACCGCTTCACTCACGTGTGCTGTCACCACAATCCCCGAAGCTATTCGCAAGACCAAAATCGACCTGAAGAAAAACAGCGCAATGGCTCGAAGGAAAGGTATGGGTCCAATATCTGGTAGCCACGCGACCGATATAAGGCTAGGCAATCCGATCACACAGAAAAGCCATGCGTAAATGCTTGGTCCATCGACTTCTCTCCTCTTCTTGTCTTTAAAATATGAAATGGTTTCGGTCATGGCTTCTTCGGGTTGTGTCTTGGGCTCGAACCCGAGTTCCTCCTTGGCTTTCTGAATCGAGTGGTAATGAGTCACCCCTACCTATCCATTTGAAACAAACAAACAAAAACACGCTATAAGCTCAAGCAAACCGGTCTCCTTTTAACTATATAGATCATCAAGACTACTTTTTAACAATTACCTTATAAACTTCTGGTGGAAGAATCAATGGTTGTGGAATCCACCGTTGGTTCAGAAATGGTGATAGCATTATGTATATTGCTTTGCATATATTTCCGAGTGAAACAGCGAGCGGAATAGATAGCGATGACTTGGGCAGGTCATAATCTAAATGCTTCAATAGTGGCTTGAGAAACTCAAAGAAGTTTATCGGAATACCTGCGCAAAAACAAACATCAGAACCGGCCTTGGAATGAACTGATGATCAAAGGAAAGTATATAAGAATTCATCAAGTTTGAGAGTATAAGTTTTACCATCAGAAACAAAGTAGGCCTTCCCGGCAGCTTTCGAGTGCTCATAGAATAAACCGGAGGTCGCTAACATGAGAGCGAGTACAATGTTATCCACGTAAATCAAGTCGGTTTTCGAGTTTGGATCGCCGATTTTGAAGAGGAGTAAACCCAATCTTGCATCAGAGATTATCCTATCAAGATACTTCTCTTCACCTGGTCCATAAACAAGTGGACAACGAATCGCGCACGTAGACAAAAGACTTCCATGTCCGTTCCTAGATTCCCATAAAAACATATATTAAACGTTAACATTACCATTCCATATATATATATATATATATATATTTGGTTCTCATTTCACATCATTTTTCCATTTTCCAAGATTCATTAGTAACTTCACAAAGACATAACCATAAATTCCACAGTTAATTTGTTAAACTTTCAAAAACGATCGAATAAGTTGTAAGAGGATTTTATATTTTTTCTTTGAACATTAGATTTATAAAAAAAAAAAATTTGAAATGCTAAATTTTAAACAATAAAAACGGTATTTACAATGAATGCTCCAAAATTTGAGCGTTAATTGAAAAGAAATCAAGTTATATATATAACCAACAACATAATGACTTTGCACTTACTCAACAGTACGACCGTTGTTCTTCAAAACTAACTGCTCGGCAGTAGATTTAAACTGATCATAAGGACAGACGTATTGATTGGAAGCTAAATAAGGAAGAGTTTCATCTCCATTCATAATCTCTTTTCCACTAAAAACGACACCGTTCGAGCTCAAATACACTACCCTTCTGATCCCTTTCTTCACGCAGGCTTCCATAACGTTACGGGTCCCTTCCACGTTAACTTCCTCGATCCGACGAGTCTGAGCCATTTCCTTACCGGAACCACCGTACGAAGCAAGATGAATAACACAGTCTACTCCGTCAAACGCCTCTTCTACGTCCTCTATCCTCACAACATCTCCTGGAATATATACGTTAGGAGCAAAAGTATATTGTTAGAACATTTCATATTAAAAAGGGAATTAGAACATATAGTATGGACCAATCTACTTTCATTTTGGTTTTGATTTAGAAACAAGATTTCAAAAATATACACTCATCTATTTTAAAATTAGTCATAATCTTTTTTTTTTTTAATAAAATATTATATTAGTTAAACCGACCCAAACCGGGGATCAACCGGTTTTACAGCAAATTGAAAATCAAAACCGGAAAAACCAAAAACGAAATCGGAAAAAAGAGGAGGAAGTGGTGAAAAATTTAGGGTCGTTCCGTCCGGTTGACGACCACACCGGCACACTGCCGGGTCGTTCACAACACAGCCGGAGACCCGACTCCGGAAGTCATTCCCGAACCCGGAGGACCTGATCCCCACTCAACTGATCCCGGCGACATCTAAGAATAAACAGACACCACACGGTTTTTAACCGGTGAGATGCTCGTTGGAGCAAGCACTCAATCTCCTACTTCCTCATTAGCTCCTCCTCCGTCTTGACGAGGGTTCTCCAACGGTCTTGCCTCAACACCACACCTTCAGATCCGGTCGAGGAGGACCCAAAAAATGGAGCTGCTTCAGACATAGGACACCATCCGCAGCACCTCCTCAACTCGCAACGCAACCCACCGAACCTCACCAACGGCTTCCGCTGCTTGCGGCGGCTCAGATCTACTTTCTTCTTCATGGCTTCTCGTTCTTCTCACCCACCGCCGTCCTCAAAGCAGTCTCAGATCTGGATAATAAAGCATGCCACTGTCGAATACAGATAGTCCAGCCACCGTTTGCTCCGTCGGAGAGTTTTCCACGCCTCAGCGTCGCCGGAGAAGGAGTGGCAGAGCACTATTGGTTCACCTTGCTTTCACCGGAGCATTGAAGCACCTAACAACCTTGAGCCTCTCACGGCCCGGCAAAGGACGCCGGTCACCGGAGAGGACTCCTAACCAGAAAAGAGATCTACTTTTGAAAGCTTACGATAGGAGAGAAGGGAGAGAAAAAGAAGAGAGAGAATGGTGTTTGTTTAATTAGTCATAATCTTGATTCGGGTATATAGAGAGTTAAATCAATCTGAATACCGTATATGCAGTGGACGCCGGATTCTTTGAGATGGTCGGACCAAGAAGAGGTGATGCGGCAGTCTAAGGAGCGGACTTGGATAGCACCACGGCGGAGCAGCTCAAGGCACACGGCGGAGCCGACTAAACCCAACCCACCCGTCACGGCAACAACTTTGCCTTGTATTCCACTATTTTCCTCTTCTGTCATCTCCATTTTTCGGTATGGTTTCTTCTTCGATTTTCAGTTTTGATTGTTCCAAAGAAGGTCAATGAAGAGTTTAAATACATAAATTAGAGGGTTGGGTGGTTAAGGTAATGGCATGTTATGATATAAATTAAATATTAAGCGTTAGGCACAAGAACCTGTTGTCGTTTGAAGCACGTGTCAAGAACCAGTTCTTTTAAAATAAGAAACCGCAATTCATGCTAATTGTTAGATACTATATGTAGTTAATCAGCCAACGACAAAAACGAAGCAAGGTTACAACCGAAAATTATAATTAAGCTAATGAAAGTTCTTTTGATCTACCGGTTGGTTGACCAATAAATCTTGCACCTTGTTTAACGTTTTTAAATCTTGAATATGACAATATGTATCCACATAACAAAAATAAGACAATATATTTACGTAGGACCTGCAGGTAATGCAACCCGCATATTAGCAATGACCTGATTTATTTGAGTTTGGATCAGTTGTTGTTATCTTATAATTAACTCCAAATCACAAAATTGAGATAGTTGGATTGAATTTCAGAACAGTTTAGTATTTGAGTTTAACATTTTACCCCAAAAAAAAAAACATTTTAGTTTGCAGAAATCTAATTTGGTTATGGGCTCGACCAAGACATTATGCAAAGAAAGAAAGGTTTTTGGTTTTTGGCTCTGTATACTCTGACCGAAAGAAAGAAAAAAATCTCATACACTCATACATACCAAATACTACTATATCTAGTTATATTATATTAGATTTAAATTAAGCTCAAATGTAGCGAAGCACAAAGAAATAAGTATTATAGTACAAATGTGGGTAATTTGGTTTCGAGGTTGTTTAGTCAGCTTGATCAATAAAGTTGTTGACACGTGACTTCTTTAGATTGGTTACTTTGGCTTCCTTCTTCCTCCCGACTCAGCAAAACTCACCACTACCGGTCAAGCGTTCTGAAGCGGAAACCTCGCAGTCAACAACATCGGAATTCACCGGAGATCATCTCAACGGTACCCATCTCCGTTCTCGCTTTGTTGCTTATCTGCTCGGGTTCTTCTTTTTTGCCACAAAATAATTTCCTGGGTTTTTAGTGTAGAATGGAGAATTAGGGTTTTTCTTTTTGGGCGTTGTCTGTATTCTCTACTCGAACCCTTCCCCAAGAATACGACGAATTCGTTGCTATATCGCCGCTCATCTTAGGGTTTAGTCAGACGACCCCAAATTATGCCCCAATTTCTGTTCTTTTTCCGAAATCGAGAATTTCGGCAGTTAAATTCGTAGACCTGTTTGAGCTTTTGGATTGTCAATAAAATCGACTGCTTTTGTACTGATTGATCTTTCTGTGTGTCTGGTTCATACCATTTAGCTCTTTTTCCAATCTTGTCATCATCATTTCCAGATACCAACTCATCTTTCTAATGATTTTGAGTTTCAAAAATGGGTTCATCGAAAGTGGCAATCTTGTTCCATCTTCTCGGAATCCTACTTTTGGAGAAAGAAATGGTAGAAATAATGAGGTTGAAAGGATTAAACTTGCTTCATAGGAATAGGACCCTTTTACTCTTTAAAGTCCGAACTTTTACTCTTTTTGGCTTCTTTGCTTACATCTTCAAACCTGACATGTGCTGGATTTAGTTGTTGTTTACCTTCTTCTTTCTCTTCCTTGATAGGTAGGTTTGTGGAAAAACAAAATCACAAAGCAACACCATGAACCCTGAGAACCATCAGACTAGTACTCATTCGAAAGTGATCTCCCATGTGTTCTCCACTGGTACTGCCAAGCAAGGCTGTGCTGGGCCACCCATCGGTCTTGTCGATATTGGTGTGAGCGAAATTGCCTACCTCTTCAGAGTCTCTCTCCCAGGCATTGAGAAAAATCAAAGTAAGCTTTTCACATTTCTTTTCTCCAATTGTCCTTTCAATAATAACACCATTCTTGGATTGTCATAGAGCCGTCTCAATACAAATTTCCTTTTTACTTCTGCCACCTGTTAAAACCAGAACGGATTCATTATGTTTTGGGTTTCATAATTACCAATGACATGAAAAGAAAGTCTCATTCTTTTCACAATCTCATCTGTGACCCAAAATGCAATCTTCTTCTGATCTGTTAATAGATAAGATCAAATGTGAGATCCAGAGGGAGGGAAGAGTATGCATCCAAGGAGTGGTACCTGAGATTGCTATTCCAAGTGAGTCAGGATGCTTGTACAGAATGCAAGTGCAGCAGCTCTGCCCTCCAGGTCCATTTTCGATCACGTTTAATCTTCCGGGACAAGTGGATCCTCGCTTGTTTTCTCCAAAGCTTAGACCTGATGGGATCCTTGAAGTTGTTGTCGTCAAGCTCGGAGTACGCATCCCAACTTCATAATTCCGGTTTTCATTAACTAGGATCTGCTCAAGTGTTTTGTGTAAAGACAATGATCCGATTTCTTGAGACTGAGACAAAAAAAAAAGTTAGATGTGAAAATGGTATTGTTTTGAGCAAGTTGATTTCTAACGTTTTCATTAAAATTAGGCCTCCATTTCAGATCACCCAATCCGATCATATCCTTGTTGGATCCGAATTACCCAAATTTATATCAATTGGTAAGAACACGTGTCAGCTGATATCTATAGTTATCTATTAACATCACTTAAAATTATCTTAATTTTCCTTAAATACATGAAAAATCCAAATTGAAGAGGGCTTAACAAGTATTATCAAATTCTTAACTAACTGTCACCTTAAGAAGGTGAAGCTATGGCTTTGTTATGGAATTCTATGTTTAGACAACTTTGGTGTTGAAGACTTAGGAGAGATTGAGAGCGACTACAGAGATCTGATCAAAGCACTAGAGGAGAGCCTCAAGAATTGCCTTGGGTCATATTCTTACTCAAAAGCAAAAGAGAATCATAAAGTTATTAAAAACAAAAAAAAAATAGTGAAGAAAGAGCAAAAGAGAATCATAAAGTTATAAATTTTAATAGGAAAAAGAGTTTTATAGACTTTGTAATCCGAATTTAGAAATAACATTGTGGAAGTCAACTAAAGGAAGTGGACTCGATCCAGGGAGAGGGAGGTGTTGTGTTTGTTCCTTGCAGTCAAAACAAAAGCATATTCCATCATAACCTCTCTTGAAGAAGAAACTCTTCAAAAATTAAAATGGAGAGAAAGAGACTTCAAATGTTCTCAGGTTGTGTATCCAAGAACTCCTCAAAACAAAACAAAAATAAATAAACAAATAAAGAATTCGATGCCGGCGTTAAGAGTGTTATCGGCGTTAGACGCGGCGAGGATACAGTGGTACCATTTCAAGGCGATAATAGTCGCCGGAATGGGTCTCTTCACCGACGCATACGACCTCTTCTGTATAGCTCCGGTAATGAAAATGATAAGCCAAATCTATTACCACAAAGACTCAATCGGAACCGCCGTTCTCTCCACCTCTTACGCCATCGCTCTCCTCGGCACCGCCTTGGGTCAGCTTCTCTTCGGCTACTTAGGCGACCGTGTCGGACGCCGGAGAGTCTACGGTCTCTGTCTTCTCATCATGGTTCTTAGCTCCTTCGGCTGCGGTTTCTCCGTCTGCACCACTCGCCGATCTTGCGTCATGGCCAGTCTCGGCTTCTTCCGATTCGTCCTCGGCCTCGGAATCGGAGGCGATTACCCTCTCTCCGCCACTATTATGTCGGAATTCGCTAATAAAAGGACGCGTGGCGCTTTTATCGCCGCCGTGTTCTCGATGCAGGGTCTTGGGATTCTCACTAGCTCCGCCGTGACTATGGCTGTGTGCGTTGCGTTTAAAAACGCCGCCGCCGGGTCGGAGGGTTCGACGAAAGCGGCGGGGGTGGAGACTTCGGCTCCGGCGGAGTCCGATGTTGCGTGGAGGTTGATTCTGATGATCGGTGCTCTTCCCGCCGCGTTAACTTACTACTGGCGGATGCTTATGCCTGAAACCGCCAGGTTCCCTTCAATTCTCTCCAAATTCTTTTTTTTCTTTTTTGTTTTCCTTCTAAATTTAATTTTTTTTTTAAATTATTTTTTACCATATAATGCCCCTATTTTAATGTTTATACCTGATATAGAATATAATTATTTTGAACAAAAAGTATAGAATATAACCCATAAATATATTCACTATCTTGTGTGACTTTGCTTCCTACCCATCCCCACATACAAACCTCTTCGAAATTTCTGTATTATATAAGTTTACACTATTTTAATTATAAATAACCGCCAGAAAGAAACCATGTTTAAATAACTCTTTTAAACGATAGCAATTGTCACTATAGATTACCTTAGGTCGTTTGAGTTTTCTCATCAAAATCTTATCTGTTGTATAAAGTAAAAAGAAGCTAATTTGTATTCCATACAGCGAAATAGTATAAAAAGAGTCAGATTAATTCGCAAAGATAGCTAATAGGCTATCGCCACTCAAACTTTAGTGTATTAATATATATCCGTATTTTGATAGTAGTAATAAAAATTAATATACTTATATAAATGAATGTCTTGCTTGACTTGGTTTGCTACTATCCTCAAACAAACCTTGGACGTTTTCAGATTATTAATGAAATCTCAATGTAGAATTATATAAATCAAATTATATTGAAAAGTTAAGTCGTGTGCTAAAACAATTTCCGTACGAAATAACGATGTTGGAGAAACTGAAACTTATTATGTGAGAGACTAATTCATGAAATTTAAACTAAATTCGATCTGATTATGATCCGATGATCAACATAAAATAATGGAGTATAAATGTGCAATAATGTAAAGAGTGGGAACTTCGTGGTTTGGTCCTAGGAAGTAAAGTTGACTTGTGAGGGAGATATACCGAACACAGTGGTATATACCTCTCGTGAATCGTGATAACGTATTCACATATTATTCCCACTATTATATATTTATATGTATAATATATGGTCTTGGTATGGCTTGTCTGTATTTAATTATTCTTCCCAGGTATAAGCTCCAGCTAATAAACAGAGCTGTATGTTTATTAGAACTAGCTTTAATCCCTCCAACTAATATGTATTCTCTTGATCTAGTTCTCCCACTTTGATTATCTTTGTTGCTTCATAAGAAAAAAGGTTGAAGAGATTGGCCTTTTCCTTTCCGTGTGTTATATCGTCTGACGACTAATTATTTAGTTTAGCTGCGATATCTATCACTATAATAAACCTTATTTAATTTAAACTGACTAAAGTTTAAGTAACTTCAGTAGATTTGTGTTAACGATATATAAAGAGACAGTGACTGAAAATCAATTGAAAAAAAATCATATAATTAGTTTAATCAACCAATGTGTTCGAAATCATACATGCATGGACTAATTGTGACATATAGTATATATACAGATATACACATCATAAATATATATCACATCTTTACTTTTACACTACTAACAAGTTTTGAAATGCATGCAGATACACAGCACTTGTAGAGAACAATGTAGTTCAAGCAGCAAAAGACATGCAAAGAGTTATGTCTGTATCCATATCTCAAGTCGCCGAAGACTCATCATCGGAAAGTACACACCAACGACAACTACCTTCTTCCTCCTCCTACAAACTCTTCTCTCGCCGTTTCCTCAGCCTCCACGGCCGTGACCTCTTTGCAGCCTCAGCCAATTGGTTCCTTGTGGACGTCGTCTTCTACACAAGCAACCTCCTCCTCTCTCAAATCTTCAATTTCTCCAACAAACCTCTCAAATCCACAAACGTCTACGACTCTGCCTTCGAAGTAGCTAAGCTAGCAGCCATTGTAGCCGCTTGCTCCACCATCCCCGGTTACTGGTTCACCGTCTACTTCATCGATAGAATCGGGCGAGTCAAGATTCAGATAATGGGGTTTTTCTTTATGGCCATTGTTTACTTAGTCGCTGGGATTCCGTATAGTTGGTATTGGTCAAAGCACGAGAAGACTAACAAAGGCTTTATGGTTCTCTACGGTTTGATTTTCTTCTTTAGCAACTTTGGTCCCAACACGACGACGTTTATCATCCCTGCGGAGCTTTTTCCGGCTAGGTTTAGGTCCACGTGTCACGGGATATCTGGAGCTGCAGGGAAGTTTGGGGCGATTGTTGGGACTGTTGGTTTCTTGTGGGCCACGAAACACGACGAAGCCCACAAAGAGGACGTTTTTCCGGACGTGAAACGCGTGAGAATCGCGTTTTTGATTCTTGGTGGCGTTTGTATCGCTGGAATGTTCGTGACGTATTTCTTCACGCGTGAAACTATGGGAAGGTCGTTAGAAGAGAACGAAGAGGACGAGATTGGTTCAACGTCTACAGGATCACCTTCTGCGAATGATTTGCTTCGAAGACAATAGTGATTTTGAGATCAAACGAAACCTGCTTGAATCATCTTTTGATCTCTTCTCTCTAATCAACTCTTAATTTTCTTTGGTTTTTGATGTTTGATACACAACTCTCTTTCTTTCTTTTTTTGTGTTCTTTCAGTTCTTTTCTCATGTTATATTTTTTCCTTTTTCATTCGGTGCATATTAAAGGGGTATATATATGTCAAATCTTGATCCTTTTATTCAGTTTTTCTTCTTACCCAATGTATAAACCAAAGAAAGTTAAAAATTGAGAATATCTGATATTAAACATGATTGAAAATCACTTACATTTGGTTGGGAAAGAAGCCATCTTGTTGATTCCACTTAAACCTTCTAGTTTACCAGTGTTCCTCTTCATCTTAAGGAAACTTTTTTCTCCCCATTTTGGCCCCCCAAGAATTCTTCATTATGATGTCATTCATTCCTTTACTTGATCCGTACCCAACCCCGGCTACACCGTGGTCCAACGCGTCCCCGCACCGCCCATTAAACACACCCTTCACATCAAGCCGTGCCTGAGATTTCTCTAACTACAAACGAGAAAAAAAATTGGCCCCTTAAAATTCTTCTTAATGCAGCTTAACCCACAAATAATTAGCAAAAAAGAAGAAAAAATGACATATATGCGTTTGGGAAGAGTCGAACCTAGGCAAATCTTTAACCAAACATGCTTTTACCATTTCACAGACCACTTGGACTAACTCCAATTCTGAAAAATTGGCCCAAAAAAAATATTTAACTTCTCCGGCCTTGAAGCACATGCTTCATTAGTTTGTGCTCAGACACGGCTCTGCCAAGATGACAATTCAAAACCACAAAAACTATGTATTTCTTACAAATTGATTATTACCGATTCTTGAATGTTTTTAAAGGTTAGAGAATGGATGTTAACTTACACCCCTTGTAGAACGGAAAGTCTCTACTAGAGGCTTCGATTGCGACACTGACTGGCTCAGTCTTCATTTCGGTCGAAACCTCTGTCTCAGGGAGTACGTTTCATCGATTGAGGATACAAGATCATCAGTTAAGCCCATTTAGGCCCATTTAGGCCCATTTATAAAACGCAGGACATATTTGTTCGTGATACAAGAACAGAAAACTAATACAGTCTTCATCTTCTTTTTTTACATCAAAAACTTAAGAAAAAAAGGTTTTCGTATGTTATAGGAGTATTTATTAGTTTCCTTAACAGGAAGATATTTAATCAAAAAGAGTGTAAATAGAAAAAATAGCATCAATACACACACAAAAATACAACAAATGTGGAAAGACTCTCCCTCTCCCCCCCCCTAACCTACGCCGGCTACGTCACGTGCGCACTCCTGCATCTATCTACATTTTCACATTCGAGTTACATAAATTGGGTAACCTATCGTAATATTTTTTTTGTTTTTATGTTGTAACAAGGGTAACCTGTTGTAATATACTGATATCGTCTCATCCTTAACACCATTACTTTACCTATATAATAAAAGGTTGTCAGCAAAAATAGAATTATGAATCTATCATCATAATAAGCACAAGTTAGAGCTTATTGATAGAAATAATAACATCTGTTGCCGTTTCTTCACTTTATCATGTAATATTTCATTCTCGAATAAATTTTCGTAAGAGCTTTTACTTTTTCAATAAATGTTATTTTCTATATAAAATTTTCAACATTCAATAATACATTAGATTTGGACATCATCGTGTGCAAGAGAGAGACTAAGAGAGATTAATAAAACAGTTTGTATTATATATACATATTTATACTCCTTCCGTTTCACAAAAAGTGTTATTCTGACATTCTTCACATAAATTAAAAAATAAAATAAAATGTCTTTTATACGCTTATTAATTTGCAGAAAATGATTCTTGAAATTATATTTATAATTAATTTTCTGAATTTATTGAGGTTAAAAATAGTATTTTATGTTAAAAATTACATTGGAATTCTAAAACGACATTTTTTTTGAAACAAAAAAAGAGTGCCCGAACGACACTCTTTATAAAACGGAGGGAGTATAAAAAAAAAAAAGTCTCTCGTTACGATCTGAAATGATGGATTGACGTACGTTCCTCTTTACTTGCTATTTTAACAACCATGTTTAGTCACTTCTTTATCCAGTTTATATTCGTCTACAACTTGTAGCGACGAAAATAGTTCTTAACAGTAGAAAAATCTTTTCTATAACTAAAAACTAAATTCTACAAATCAGGGTTAAGTAACACATTTACAAAAACAAAGAATTGTCAAAACTTTAGGACAAAAACTGAAACACACAACTACTCAATATAACTCCGGTACCCTTGGATCTTTAGCACATAGTCATACTATTTAATTAGAGATTGACAAAAAAATAAAAAAGCATACTATTAAAGATACTACAATACAAGCACACGACTAAACAAGCTTTATTCAGAAATCCAATATAAGATATGTGCATGCACGGTTTTATTGGTCCCCCCCAAGTTTGCAACTGATCTCGCCCACATTTATGAAGGCTTCGTCTGTCCCAATATCCTCAAGACTTTTACATTTATTGCCCATCCACTGTACGGACGTCGTTCAGTGTACTACTATTAATATTCACAATCCAATCTTCGCATAAAATTATCATTAAACTAGACCAAAAGTATCATACATTAACCCAAAAATGTTTCATATAATATATAGAAATAGTTATCTCTCTCGTAGGGGACTATAATCCAGACTCTAAGAATCAGACTACTCGCGTGAGTGATAATATTGTATTTATAGGCTATGATTGCTACCCCAAGATGAATGATGCAATGATTATTATATGTTTCTAAGTTTTTATATACCGATTTGTGTTCAATTAGTCTTTTTTTTTTAAATGCTCAGTTAGTTCATCAGCTTCACTTTGTTCTTTTAAGGAATTTGCACTTTTGTTTTTTTTAAAATGTTTTGATAGAATGGAATAAACTAACGTTTACTGGGTTCTATTCTATTTTCTTAATTATAAACTAAAATGAAAATTATATAAAATTAACCATTATATTTCGTTGAATTAAAGAGGCAAAATGGGAGAAAAAATAGGATTGCTTGTGAAGGGAAATGAGTGAGAGGTCGTTCTCTGGTGGAGCAGGTCGGTGCTGCCATTGTCCTTTCCTCTTCCTCCTTCATTTATTATTTATCCATCTTCTCCTTCTACGTCCTCTTCTTTTAATTTTTTTTAATCTTTTGTTGCGGTTTTTCTTAAGATTTAGTGATAGAGAGTGACTGTTTTTGTATGTATTTCGGTTAAAACTTTCCAAATAAAAAACAGTTTAATGTGGCCTTAGTTTATCTTATTTTGAATTTGTGCCTTAGTTTATCATATTTTGAACTTGTGAAGCGAACGAAACGAGAATGTCATCTATGCGAGATGTTAATGTTGTGCAGTTTAGTTCTAACAGGTGCCGTGTAACTGATATTTTACTCCTAATTGAGATTAATATTTTCCAATCTGGTATTTTCTCAAGCGACATTTTTTTGTCATTTTAAAAGCTAAAATTTTATTTGTAATAAACTTTTAAAAAATTAACTTCGATACGGACATATATTAAATACAAACAGACAAAGACGAGGAATGGACCCCTTTGTCATTTGATTGACACATACTATAAGAGAAGTGTGACAAACAGTCTTCTATATTCATTATAGTGATTTTTGTTTCACCTAATACCTCAAAGTTTCGTGTCACATATACTACTATATAGGAAATTACTAGCACAGTAATCCTGAACAAGATGGACTATTATTTTATACACTATTTCTGTTAGACAGAGGCCAGTACCGTTTCTGCTTTGTTAAGTGGTTTTAACTTTTAACTTTGATTAATTTATTATTTTTCAAATAATTGAATAGTATTACTGAAATGACGTATGACTATAAAAAAAGATTTCCAAAGTATGCTAGCCCTTGCTGCTCTAACTACTAATTCATATTCTGTCAAGTTTAATGATAATATAGCAGAAAAATCAATTTATTAATATATGTAACAAAATTGAAACTTTACTTTTTTGACAGGGCCAATAATATTGTTTGTGATGCACAGGAACAGCACTATAATTTAGTAGACCGATGGTATCACTTGGGCAATAATTAACTGAAATAGGAAAAAATAACAATCTTGTGAAGAAGGAAAAAAGGATAAAACAGTCACAAAAATATCATCAGAGCTAGAGGGATAGACTCCCTGGAGGAAAATAATTTTAGATCTTAAATAGTACATATACAATATGCTTTTAATAATGAATAGGCTTAGGTAAGCCTATGCAAGTACAGCAGGTCTTGAATTATTGGATGAAACATTTGTTCAATATCTTGATTTTACTTTTAATACAAAATATATTATATATAAATGATAGGGTTGTGTAGGGTTTAGAGTAAAAGAATGACTTGGGCGATTTAACATAAGATCGTGTGGGCAGTTAATATTTAGTGAGATAGATAGTATAGTACGTTTGCATTTATTATAATTTTACCTGATTTTTATATCATTCTACGCACGTGTCACCGCCGACATCTGCTATCTTCGACTGTTTCGTTTCATTTCATTTACTTTAAAGTATAACTCATCCAAATGAAGTGTTTTGGGCTAAAGTTCAGATATCTCCTACAAGAATCTAAATACTACACCACCAAACGAATCATAAACAATTTATTTGTGTGATTGGTTTCGTCATGGGTGTTGATTTGGAATGAACCTACCATGTTTGATGCTAACCGAATCGAAAAAGCTATATTTGGGTGAAAGATATCATCTTTTTATTTTTATGGCAAAAGACTATTATTTCATTAAGATAACGTGAAGATAATCGGAATACAATTGTGGACTTAACCAAAAGTAATAATCTATTTGGTTAAATTGATGTTACATTTTATAACCAAAAAAAAAGGAAAACAAAATTTTAACCAAACCGGAAAAGAAAATGGAATAAAATATCATTTATCTTATTAAACCAAAATTTTATTTTTTTAATATTAAAATATGATTGCTTAAAAATAAAACGGGAATGCTAATTAACCTGGTACGTCCATAATCAAATCAAGTTAATATTTTTAAACCTGCAACCTAAAAGTCCAGCAAATATGGGCAGAAACCAAAACAACATCTCTAATAAATTGATATTATTTCATGTGGGTTTAATTCTGTTTTTAAAATCAACTAATGATTTTGGTTCACAATATTAGAAGTAAATTTCGTTTAAATAAATAATTATGAACGCAGACGCGTGGGAGGGGGACATTTTACAAAACAAAATTCCATGGGTTACCCGTTTTATATTATGAGGAAGGGTATGTATATTTACCATTTACCAACAAAAACATTTAAAGATGTAACGCAAATTGATTTAACCGTTGAGAAATATAAAATAAAATAGTTAAAGAAAACAAAATAAAGAAATGAAAGGAATTGGGATCTCAGGGAGAATGTGTATAAAATAATAAATAAAAAGGTCTGACCCATGAATGTATAATGATATGCTTACACCCGCACGCATAAACCTCTGCCATCGTTACTGCACACTCTTTTCCTTTTTCTTCTTAAAAGCAAAATCTATTTGCTTTCGTTTTGATGATAACCATAAAATGCAATCTTATTTATTTGACATTTCTTGAAATCTGAAGCAATTCTTTTTGGTAGAGAAATCGACGTGGAGAGTGTGAGATCTTTAATATAACGGTTTACTCACTTAAAACTGCGCATTTCAAAAATCTCTAATGATATATAAGTTGAAAAAGGTTGGATCAAATGTAATGTTGATATTTCCGTGAAAACACATTAATTATTTGGTATGTTGGTTAGGAATAGGATGAAGTTTTATTTGTTTTCACTTTTCACTGGATAGGATGAACTTTAAGAGATGGTAGAAGGCACTAACATAGTTTTAAAGAAAAAACAAGGTATTTATGCAAACTCTCAATATCTTCTTATGGGTTTTGGCATTCTTTCACCTATCCCCCAAAACAATGTGCTTATAAAATACCTTTTTATTCATTCAAAATAGTCAGGTTTTGTTGAAAAAATCAACATCCAGACTTAAAAACGTGAAAACGTCAAGACCGGTTGATATCATATACTCCATTTAGATAAAAAAAACCAAACATTTATAATTGTAGCTGCATTAATGATCCATTGACCAATCGAGTAGTCATTAACGAAAGATCATAACTTAACATCACATTGTCTCAATCAAAACTCCAAAGACCATAAGAATTTCGCTAGAGCAGGGAAGTGATAAAAACACAAAACGGCAAAAGTTGTTTTTACATTTTAGAATGTCAAAAAATAATAATTGCATCGGAAATAAAAAGAGGAAAATAGAAAGAGACTCCTGAAAGCTCCCCAGGTGAGCGCAAATAGCAGCCTCTCTGCTCCCTGAATTTCACAGCCTTTATCATCAATGCTCCTCTAACCTCAAACACTCAAAATCCACTCATCTATACATACACCTCTACGTATACATACAACCCACCATTCTCTCTCTCTCTCTCTCTCTCTCTCTCTATTATATCTTCGATTTATGTGCCATTTTCTATATAAATATGAGAGTATTATGATATTGCACAGAATAAGGTCATACTCACCATCACCTTTTGTAACATTTCTCTCTTTGTTCTCCTTTTTCGTGTCTCTTCGAGTAACAAGACTTTTAAACAGTCTCTTTTCTTCTTTTCGGTTATAAGAACTAAAAAGATGATGCTTGCACTGGAAGATGTGTTGAGCGAACTCGCCGGAGAAGAAAGGAACGAGAGAGGATTGCCACCTGGATTCCGGTTTCACCCAACGGACGAAGAGCTCATAACTTTCTACTTAGCTTCCAAAGTCTTCCATGGAGGTCTCTGTAGCATTCACATTGCCGAAGTTGATCTCAATCGCTGTGAGCCTTGGGAACTTCCAGGTATATATCTTCATCTCTTCTTTCCTCTCTAAAAGTTTGTTTTCTTGTTATGTATTTTGAATCTTTTTAAAAGTTTAACGTTTTGTAATTTTTTTTTTTTATATGAAGAAATGGCGAAGATGGGAGAGAGAGAGTGGTACTTTTATAGTCTAAGGGATAGGAAATATCCGACGGGCTTGAGGACGAACAGAGCCACTACTGCTGGATATTGGAAAGCTACCGGAAAAGATAAGGAGATCTTTTCCGGCGGCGGCGGCGGAAATGGAGGAGGAGGAGCGCTTGTTGGGATGAAGAAGACGTTGGTGTTCTACAAGGGAAGGGCTCCACGTGGCCTCAAGACAAAGTGGGTCATGCATGAGTATCGCCTCGAAACCGACCTTTCACACCGCCACACGTGCAAGGTAAATTAAAACTCTGTTTACGTTAGTCCCACACGTGCGTCTCTTTAAACTACTTCCATATAAAACGAATTTAACAAGTATGACATTATTATCTTTTTCTTGTCAATTTATGAGTTGACTTTTTTGACACAAAACGCTGAAATAAAAGTTTTAACTGAGTATAATTTAAACCAATGTTACTTTACTCGCACACGTGCGTCTCTTAAACATTAATTAAGACGAATGTGTTGTTTTGTATTGTCCACTAATGAGTTGACTTTTTACAACCATGAGTTGAAAAGAATGGTTTAACCGAAATATTTCACTTTTTCTCCACTTTACATTTTTTTTTTTACTGTTCTTTTAAGTTGGTATATGTGAATTGTCATTATTTGGTTTGGCTAGTATGGGGGAGGACAGACGAGAGAGCAGTTTAGATGTGATAGATTTGATATAAACCTGTACGTGTGGATGTCAACACCAAACACCTTGCCGTTTCCTGTTCTTCCATGTTCCACTGTTGTGTCGTTTTCATCACTATTGCTTTCTTCTATTAATTTACACCTGATGTAGTGATGTATCATCATAACTCAATTGGGCAGGCTCACATTTCAAACAAGATCTCTATCGATCTCGGTTCGGTGTAATTAATATATTGTTATATATGTGTGAATAACTACACAGATTAATTCGAAACAAAATGTCTAATAACATTTTTGATGTTACACAGGAGGAATGGGTGATTTGCAGAGTGTTCAATAAAACAGGAGATAGAAAAAATGTTGGAATCCTTAACCATTCACTCTCAACGACACATCATCATCATAACCATAACCATTATCATCGTCTTGAATCCTTGCCTCCTCTTCTAGAACCTTCCAAAACCCTAACCAACTTCCCATCACTACTCTATGATGGTACCCACCAAAATTACAATAATAACCTTCTCCACGGATCATCGGACCACCACGTGGACGAGCTCAAAGCCCTAATCAACCCAGTCGTGTCTCAGCTCAACGGAATCATCTTCTCTCCGGGAAACAACAACAACGAAGAAGACGACAACTTCGGCGTGAAGACAGAGCAATATTCGAACGGTGGTAATAACGATCTTGACGTACAAGACTACTTGGAGAATCCTCTGTTTCAGGAAGCGGGTTACAGTCTGTTGGGTCTTTCGTCTTCTCCTGGACATTTTCACATGCTATTAGATTCTCCATGTCCTTTAGGTTTCCAGCTGTAGAATCTTGTCCCTTGGATTATATATATTTGGCCTTTTTTTCTTTAATTTTCACCTTTTGTAAAATACAAATCAATATAAATATTAGTTATTTCTAAGATTCAAGACCTTTTGTAGATTAGGGACTTTCTGATTTTTAAAAAGTTAAAAAAAAAGTTATGTGGCTGCTGCAGCCTTGCAGGTAAAGCTATTAGTGTATTACTTTCGGTGAACTGTATTTGTGGGCGTTTCACTGTTCGATGTGATGTCATAAATACGAATAATATTTGTAAACTATTCTGACGTCATTATTTTATGAGTTTTTCTTTGGATGGATTATTTATTTTTTATTGAAATATTTTTTGAGCTTTCTTACTTCTGTAGTTCTGCCATTTGATTTGGAACTGTGAAAATGGCATTTCGGTTAAGTTGCTACATTCAGTCGGTTCGGCGGTTTACTCTGGTCGAATGCTTGAGCCAACTACAAAGAATCTGGCAAGGAATATGTTAATTGGATTTATCAGTTATCACCAATGTAAGCGATGTTTTGGCTAGCCACGCACCATTATCTTCGATTATGGTCTTAGAATGGCTAGGCTAAGCCGGTTTGCAGAGTCCAGTTTTTTCTTTGTGGGAGATGACCGGATGAGCCACTGGTTCAATTTTGAAGTTTTCTCAATGAACATGCGACAAGAAGTTGGTAACTATATTAAGTGTATAAGACCATTTAATGTCTTCAAGAACTACACAAATGGGGTTTATATCTGAACTTCCGTTTCACTAATTTCCAATTTCCCCTCAGAGCGTTATAAAAAAAATAATATATATATATATACGACTGTGGGCCTTATTGATATTTGTTGGGCTTCATAATTCGAAACTGGAGTAACTTAACATAGCGATATTTGATCTCAGTTCTCTATTGTATATTTTAATAACCGCTGAGGTGCTGATAGAAATAAAATATTTCAACAATCTATAAAGCAACTATGCAAATTAATTGAGTTGAGAATAGATGGTATTAAGTTAACAATTGGTACGTGATCATGTTCTATATTAATGTATAATATGTTCCAATTGACATCAAAAGCATGATATATTCCATATATAACAAAACATACTTAGTAGTGCATTTGAAATGTAGTCTTATTCAATGTCTGTTATGCAATTTAGGTTAAATTTATGATGAAATTTCTATACACATGCATATTAATTTATACAATTAAATAAGATTAGCACTTAGCACATGGACGCACTTTCCATAGTGGGAAAACTCGTTATGAATGATGATAGCTCGCGATGGTGGACCATCATGATTCGTACGTGTTTTATTTGATGGCTACACCTACACGGAAGAATGATAAATAAATAAAAAAACCATATAATTAGTTTCCTTTTTTAATTAGTTTCTTTTCGTATGTATAATTATCTACATCTTGACTTACTGTTATTAAATTACTTTCTCATTGTCTTATTTCGCACTTTAGTTGTAGACTTGTAGTTGTGCTCTTAAGATTTTGGCGATCTTTTGTTAGGTCAATGTTCGACGACAAATAAAACCATCTTCATGGTCATTTTCGAAGTTCTAAAAATTCAAACTCGCGTTTGATGATTAGTGGGATTCAGGCTCGTGTTCCCAATATTTATAAAATACTGTTATTAAAAAAAGCCATGAATAAACTAAATAGGATATAAAACCCGACAATTAGTTTGCTGCTTAATTTATGGAAAAGGGAAAAGAGAAAAACTCACACAATACATATCATACCATCTGTTCCTCGCACACTGGTCTATCTGCCCATTTATTATGGAATATTACATTAGTTAATTGAATTTGTAGGAACGAAAAACAAAAACCAATGTTTTGTTAGATTCATTAAAAGTCCTTTGATGCTTCTCTATAATACTGGGGATTAGATGTAAGCCATGCATACAAATACGATGTAATTGATTCCTTACATAAAAGTATATATATAGAGAACTTGGTTTTACTTTTTCCATCAAACGAAAACAAATATTGTTTTATAATTAAATATAATCAGTAAGATACTTGTCTGATATTAAGTATGTTCTTAATTCGTTTGGCGCGGCATAGAAACATCTAATTAAACACACATAAAATCGGTACATTAATGAATACGTTCACGTTACCATCCGCACCATAAAGCCAACATGGGGTGAAGACAAAACAAAAAAAGGAATCAATTAAGCATCTGGTTGTTTGGTACCATATTCTTAACCTTGTAATTTTGGATTTTACTTAGGTATAAATTGTGTGGTCCAACGTCTCATTTTCAAATTCTTGTATGTATGGTCTCTACTCTCTAGTAATTAGTTCACAAATCATGTCGATATCTATAAACGCTATATTTTGATAAAAAAATAATTAATTTGCAATGTAAAAAGAAATAAAGTATTGAATGACATTAACTTTCCATTCCATAATACATTTACTATTAACAAATATATACATGAGAGATTAACATTATCCTTTAAAATGACAAGGATCATCTTTAATATAATAGAAATTCACTAAAAAGGGAAGAAAAATTTTTGGGAAAGAAATGCCTAAAAAAGAAAGAATCAAGGTAAGAAGTTATTGGGATCATCTTCGCGTTGCTTGATTCGGGTATCGGGTTCGGATCCTGAGCTCGAGCTACCGGGTAACCCGCCACATTTTTGACACCTGGCAACCACCAAGATCTGACGGCAGGAAGGACACGAAGAATGGGAACCAAGCCACGTGTCTATACACGATACGTGGAAACCGTGACCGCACTGAGGCAACACCCTGAGCTCGTCGCCGGCGGCGAATTCCGTCAGACAGATCGCGCACTCGGCGAATTTCTCCGCCGGCGTAGAATCCGGCGAGTAGGTGAGCTTAGGCAGAGATCGGAGTACTTTCTTCTTCAATCCTTTGTTAGCCGCGGCTACGGGCGGTGGATGAGTCTGATCCGAATTCGCGGCGGCTCTGTTACCGGAGACGAGACGGCGGAGCCAGAGACATCGAGAGACGGCGACTAAGCCGAGGACGCAAATCAGAGCACAGAGAAGAGCGGCAATGATGACTACGAGATCGGAATTCAAAACAGGAGAAGCTTCCGCAGGCGAAGGAGGATTAGCTTCTTGAAGAAGACGAAAGAGAAGACGCGCCATTGATTCTCAGAGACGAGACGAGAGAGAAGAAGAAGAAGAAGAGAGTTTTGAGTTGAAAAATTGAGAGGGATTAGGAGAGTGAGCGGTTTTTTGTGGAGGCAAAGAGGAAAGGGGTTTTATAGTGTGTGAGAGAGAGAGAGATATACAGACTCATCTTATTTAATAATATCGCTTTCGGTTATAAGGTTATTTTCGTAATTGGTTCAATTTGTCAATTGACTCAAAAGAGACTCATGAAAACTTTTTTGCATTTTATCTTCTTGTTTTTTCTCCCCTTGCGAGTCCTTTTTCTTCAATGTTTTGTCTAATCAATTCAACGCTCTCAAGTTAGAAAAAGGACATTTAACCAAATACTTACATACTACTCTCCCTAATTTACATGTAAAAATCTATGAAAAAGTCTAATTATATATCATTTACATGTAAAAATCTATGAAAAAAGTCTTGATAAATATATCTTGTTTGGTTATATAATTCCTACATCATTGCTCCAGATTTTATGGGATGTTTACGGTTTACCTAACACCTAGACCTAAATATTAAACATTTTTATCAAGAAAATATATACACTGCATATTAATTACAATGGTCTGAATTTGTTTTTTTTTTTTGGGAGGAGGGGGTGTAATAGCTAGCGATACTATAATGGAAATCTGCTCTAAATCAAACGTTCTGATCTATTGGATTATACATAAACAAACAAAGAAAATAATAATAAAAAAATAACTCTGTCGAATGATTAATGATTTTGGTGGATGGAAAAACATTGAATTTGGTGTATGAGGAGATAATGGTGCGTGTGGAGGCAGTGGCTCACACATGATGGAAGTGACAGAAGCGTGTGTGTGTGTGGGATGTGATGCCTTGCTTGAACCATTGAGCACCAAACCACGAGATAAACTGATAAGGTGTGTATCACTTATCCTAATTACATTCTTTCTTATGCTCATGTTTCATACAAACTCTTTACCAAAAAATTGTTTCATACAAACTATTAATTTATCGTTACTTTTCATCCAGAGTCCACACATCAGTTAAAAACATAATCAGCTGTAATGAATTAACTAATTTGCTTGATTGTTATCATAGATATGGGATACCTATGGACTTGAGATTAATTTGGATAAAAATCGTTTTAACCAAATTATTATAGTGGAGTAATGTGATCATCTACGTACAATAACGACCTTTGAAATCACGAAAAGAACATTTTTTATTAAATAATGGCTGCTTAACAACTTGGAAACCACAAAACCTTGATCGTTTGTTATAGGCTTATAATTTAAAACTTTAATAACAGTGTTTTTCAAAAATGTTACGTACGCTATATATATATATATATATATATATATATTTACGTTTTGCGAAGCCGTTCTACTGACAAGTATGTGTCAAGCAATGTTCAAAATATCCCAATTAACATGCTTTAAATAAAATATGAAGCCGTGTTTATAATTTTTATTTTATTCTTCTCTTTGACTAGCAGCCAATCAAGCTGACGGTATTTGGAATTGGGATAAAGACTAATTCACTAAGGAAAAGTTTTTTAATGTTTAGATAAGATTGATCAATCTTAAATCTTAATCTGATCCAAAATAAATATGAACTTTTTCCTATATATGGGAATGGGATGAATCTAAGTAATCCTTTGTGTGTATAATATAGACAAACAATTATTTGAAATTGACCGCAAACTGATCAGTGTATCTCTTTACCTTTTTTATACTGTACAAATTCTAGGTCTTATTGATTATCTTTTTTTTAATTGATTATCTTATATACCAAGAAAATATAATATTTTATTTTTGTGAGCAGAGAAACCAGGGAAATGTATCACCAAATTAAGCATAATCTCATAGTTGTACCATGTAACAAAGGCAAAAAAATTTCTCCCTACATTTTTTTTGTCAACTATACATCTAGTTATGTTATAAATGACTTTCATTCGATCACTATTTGTTGTCTGAACCCTGACTTCGTTTTCGTTGGTTAGCTCAGTTGTCTGTTCTGTGTGTACGTGGCATTATTCTCATAGCTAAGTATATTTTGGGAAAAAAAACTGTAAAGCTCCCAAAACTAATGTTGATTTGTTGAGACTTGGAAGCAGTGGCGGAGCCAGAAATTATTTTATTGGAGGCAAATAAGAATATATATAATTTTAGAAGTGGGGGCATTGATATTTAGCTTTAATAAACTATACCAAAATTTTAAAATCAATGGCGGCAAATGACCCATGTTAGACAAAGTGACTCTGCTACTGCTTGGAAGCAAAAACTAATCTCAAGTTTTCATATAAATGTTTGATTGTTTGAATATACATGCGAATATATTTTCTTTTAAGAAAAATATTAACTTTTTTTATTCAGTATTTTCTTTTAGCTTCCAATGACCTAATATGGTTCTAGTTGAAATAAGATCTGTCGACCTGTGTACTCTTCATGTTATGTGATGTTTTAGAAAGAAAAAAATTGTATCGATTTATATATTTTATATATTTTTCATTAAAATTTCTTCCTTTAAATTTATTTTTCAATCATTATATTATACCAATAATTTAATCATTGATTGAATTATATTTAGATAGATACATAATACATGATGTTTTCATTTAAAATAGAAAATAAATAATTTTTAATATATATGTGCAAAAACCATTAAACATCAACTATTCTAACACAGAGAAATTATATAATTTAATTTATTGATGCTTTCAATAAAATGTTTATTTTTGGTAATCTCAAAACTACAGCTAATATATATATATATATATATATAATTTAAAATTTCAGATCTTAATTACGTACATAATTTCTCACACCGTAAACTAACTAGAACAACATAATTCGTTTCATTTAAGTAATTTCTTTCGGTATTCGAATGCATGATTCTGAAAACTCTTTTTAGGGTAGCTAATGATATACTGTATTTCATTTGATTACAACTTTTTAATAATGATTTCATCAATTAATTCTGGAAACTTTTTTTCAACGTTCACAATGTCAGATCCAATGTAGAGATGGTCACATGACCCCTTAAAATTAAATAATTTGTATGTATATAGATATAGAGAAAAGTCAGAAGCACAATTAATAAATGTGGCCTGTTAAAATAAGTTTTGGATCTGCCACTTAATGTGCATTGTTACTAAAATCAGTATATGTGTTAGGTTAGCTCATGCATTTTCTTAACAGAGAAGAGAATAAGTTTGTAGGTCTCCCGTTAATACACTAACTTTATCATTCCACGTAAACCTTAATACATTTACATGATGTTTTAGTACTCGATAAAAGATAGAGTATTTGCATCCTTTAACGTAGATTAATCTCGTATTTGCAAAACTAACAAAGAGAAAATTTGGTTACTGTTTATTTTTTTAAAATCCCATTATGCCCTTTTCTCCTTCTCTTTCCTTTCTCTCCTTCCATATCATTGTTCTCTTTCTCTCTCCCTTATCTCTCTTCATCCTTCTTTCGTTTCTTTTGCTTGTTTCTCTCAGAACTTTTTCTTCTCAATCAAATTCAATCTCTTATTGTTTTCTAAAGAGATCTAATTTATTAAAAGAAACAGTCAATTAATCTTCAACCCATTTTATTAACACAGTTCCAGAATAAAATTAATTTTTCGAAAAGCTTGAAAAAAGCTTTGGAAACTGCATTGAGAATGGTCAGAGATTTCCACGACGAAGAACAAGACGACATGGAGAAACGACATCCACAGAGACAAGAGAGGCAGATTCCGATGAATCTCTCCTCCAGGTGACAGTCGATGTTGGTTGAGAGACGACGTAGCTGCAAAGCTCGAGTTACTGTAGCAGCCGCAGTGGTTTATTACCACGGTTCAGATTTAGTTGACTGATCAATAATATTATTAGAGAAGTAACAATTAGAATCACTTATAATACTTTATATTAACATGTTAATGGTTTATTTGACTGAGTAGTAAAATTGTTAGAGATACAACTATATTGTTATCTTATCTTGTATGCGAAAATGCAAAGTCTATTGTCTGGTTCATCTCATAACTATACCTAGATACACTAACACATGCATAGATCTCATTTTTTTATTTTTATATCTTTCTCTCCCTTGTCTCTCTCTTTCTCCCATCTTTCCCTCATCCGAAGACAAGCATTTTTCTTTGAAAATCTGGTTACGGAAATAAGTTTTTTTGTTTCTGTGAAACTGAATTAGTCTTTCAATTCATTGTTAAACCGCTAACATATTCAAATAATGTGTTATATTTATCTATATCGCTCTAAGCAAAATGTACCACCTTCCAACAATCTATATAACTCAGTATTGTTATCAGTCTAACATGTATTTTACCAGGTACAACAAAACAATTATAGGTAAACTTATATGTAACACGCTAAACAAATCAATAACACCTTTAACAATCCATACGACTCATTATTGTTATCAAACTAACATATTCTTTATCGTGAAAATAATAATGTTAGACGTTAACCTACTTGTTCATATATAATACAATAATTGTTAATCACTAACTTATTTGAATCTGATGCAGTTTTTTTAAATTTAACATAGAGAGTGCTAACATGTTTAATAGTTGATAACAAATAATTTCTCAGTAGTATCAATTGTTGCACAACTCGAACAGAGATTAGAAGAGAGAGAGAACAATATATATATCAGATGTTCGATGCAACTTGCATAAGTGGGGTGTTCTATTCTCAAGAAATGACAAATATAAAGAAGGATATATTGGTCATTTGTAATAACCATACAAATAGTAAATTATCAGTTATGTCACATCAACGTTAGATTTGCAAATTCAACTGTCTTTATGTATATTCAATTAATTAACTCTAAAAGATAAACGTGAATTTGTGAGTGCCTAATATTTAAAGTTTAAAAATAAAAATAATGGTTACCAATGTACATAACCCGTTGCACAAGTTTCTTGAAACAATATATCATTAGAGTGCTTGTAATAAAGGATTACTATAGACATATTCTAACGAGATTATATATTCATATATATGGCAAATAGTTATATTTTTTCTCCTGGCTAAAGTAAATACTAAATACAGTTATAAATTATACGTGGAGAAATTAATAACCTAATAAGCGGCCTAATATGTAAAGAAAGAAATGTAAGTTCTTGTGAAACTTTTTCTTCGATGGTCATCATATAGTTTGTGTGAAAGATGATTATAACAACTAACTGAAAAACCTTCGTCAAGACTCGATAAAGATCTGGCGAAGAGGGACGCTTGTCCATTTCCTATTCATAAACTTTTATCTTTAAATAACCCGGAAAAAACTTGTTTATCTCTCTTTTTGCTTATATCTCTCTAGTTAGTTATTCCGACCAAAAAAAAAAATCTCTCTAGTTATTTATCCTTCGTTTTTTATATATATTTTGAAATCATTTTTAATATCGTTATATGAGAGAGAAGATGGGCACCTTAGAATCCGATTAGTAATAAAAACTTTAGTACTGCTACATCAAAATACATTTAACTTTCTTAAGATGATACGGTTATCGACAAAGAAAATAGTTGTACAGTTTAAGAGCGAACGATTTTTGTTATAACTTTGCCGTCTCAAATTATAGGTGACAAGAAAACCGTGATTATTAACTCCTTATGTATTCGTTTTCAAAACATACACAAAAAGATAATAAACTGGCATACATTTTTGAATCTTGATATGACCGTCAATAATGTTATTGAAGATTGCTACTATTTTACTGCATCGCTGCATGGAAACTCAACAGATTAAGCGATTAAGGGGAAACTAAACAAATGAGAAAAAGAGAAAAAGAGAAAAAGAGAAAAAGAGAAAAAAATTGTCCATTAAATAACGCATGGTAAGAAAGATAAGGAGCAGACGTGTGAAATTATGAGTTTCCAAATAGAGTTAGATGACAAGAATTAAATGTATTTATAAAGAGACCATTAATTAGTTTTGTTGACTCTTTTCTTATTGTACACTCCCCACTTTCCGATTTCCCACCGCCCACTTTTGCTTTCCGTCACATGCTCTGCCTTTTTATTTATTTTGTTTGTCTGTTTGATTCCCTATTACCAAAATAAACATTGAAAGTAAAAATTATATTGATTGACGGATATAATAAGCTCATGACTATAAATATGGAGAAACTTTTTATTTAAAAGACTACACAAATTCGCAAATGATATATAGACTCAGTACGAAATACTATCAGATTTTAACATTACATAAGATACATTGAGTTTCTAAATATTCCGTCATGAATCTAAAATTGGTTTTAATTTTGAGAAAACTGTTTTTTTTTACAAATAAAAACATGTATGTACAATTTTATTTTAGAGTTTTAAACTCTCTCAAGATGAATTAATGTTAATTAGTCGACAAAAAAATATTTAGTGATTTTTTTTTCAAAACAAATAAAGATCTTTGTTGGAAAGATTTGTCAAAATCAACGAAAGTTTTAAACATGGTTAGATTGGTATAAGAATTTTCAAATGATCTAATTTTGTTGAACAAGTTCAAATAATCTAATTCATTGTAGACTTTAGAAAAATTCAACGATTCGTTTAAGGGTTCTCTTCGTGTAATCATAAACTGTATTGTACTAGTCGATGTATTCAGTTATAACTAATTAGTGTCATAATTTTTTTATATGCTAACGATATCAATATATTCAGTTATAAGTTATAACTAATTAGTGTCATAATTTTATTGGTAATGCATCGTCTGATTTATAAATATGCAATAATCTGCTGGTTCGCCTGTGTACATGTAAAGCACGTTTTACCTTTTTTTGAGTGTTCTTGATACAAAGCCTTTCTCGGACCTTATTATTCAATCACTTCAATTATATGCATGATCATATATATATATATAGTATATATTTGATTATGCGTAAGTGTTTGTTATTACATGTTGTCGGAGTAGGAAAACCTGGAACTAAAATAATGGATTTAAAAGAAAACGTATCGCATGTGGCCACCAGTTTAACTTAACGTCAGCCATGAGATTTAACCATTCCCCATTTACATAGTGGCTACATCATATGCAGATTTTCCACATTATCATTCAAAAGCCGACATGGCACTCTTTCTATGAAAGAAATGGCTTGCCTTGTGATCAGCCTTTCACCAAATATAATACGAACGAATAATAAATTTTACCATCCATTTCTTATATATATTAAACATAAAATTTCAAAAATGCTTTTTTTCCAATAGCATTTTGCTATTTAAGTATTTATTCTATACTCAACAAATCAAATAATTGGAAGAATATAAATTGCTGCCCTAAGAAAAAAATGATATATTTTTGAAACCAAAAGATAATCTTATATGATTGGGAACAAGATATATACACTCTGTTTGATATCCCGATCATCAAATTGATAACAATTTTGCACATTACAAATCGCATAAATCTCTGTAGTCATTTAAACATAATGTTTTTAATTCGGATGTCACTATCTCGTATAGCTAGAATAAAGTATTACTATCACAACGGATATATATATATATATATATATCAACTTTTCCTACGTATAATTATTTGAAATTGAGTTTACATGCTAAAATGGCTTAAAGACTAAAAAGATGTATCACACACATGTAAAGGAGGATAATTGCAATTACTTTCCGAAATAACTTAACAGGTTGAGGAATTAAAAGTATGTAACAAAGATTTGGGATAAAAAATGTCAAATCTGGTGCAGTTTTTTTTAACTAACAAACAAAAATTGGGATACAACGAAAAGGAACCTCATCACTTAAAAAGCTTTTAAATACGGCCGCCTCTAATAAACACTATTGAGATATAGTTAAATATGCGTAGAGAAACATATTTGAGATATAGTTAAATATGCGTAGAGAAACATATTTGAGATATAGTTAAATATGCATAGAGATCACGTGGATTTTTAGCTAAAGCCACTAACAAATCTAACGATAAAATTGGTGACTTGTCGATGTCTCTTTTTCTTTTACTGTTTGAAAACGATCTTTGATCCTTTTTCTCTTTTTGAGTGATGATGATCAGTAAGCAAATCTTGCGCATACCCCATATTCGGATTCTCAAGATCAACACTTTGTATGCACTTTTTAACTCATATTTTGGTAATGATGTTGATGTTCTGGAGCAGCCGCACCATCTCAAGTTCAATCAAACCACGACGCAAACCGTGCCAAACCAATTTGATGTTTTGGTGCTCTGGTGATCCCGGTTTGGAATTGGTTAATGAAAGAACAATGAATTCCCGGTTTATGGATTGCAAGATAAAATACATTTTGTTCGGTCTAATTCGCTCTGGTTTGGCAGGTATAAAGTATAAAATAAGAAACGAGCCCTATTGTTCAAAACATAGGAACGGTCAGCCTATAATCTTGGCAAAAAATTTCTTAAGTTCACAGACGCTTGCAATAGTAACGGAGATGATTTGGAAGATCTCTAAAAATTGATTAACTGGTAGAATTAAAATGAGTTTACCGGTAGTGGTAATAATACAATTCTCAGATGATGATTACAAAATACTAAATGCAGTTACAGGTCAAACCTCAAGTTCCATTTTCCCTTCATGTTTGCGTTCAGAGTCCAATTGTTTTCTCTAATCTGCATATAAGGGACCTGAAAGAGAAAGGTAACAAAATACTTTGAAGAATCCAAAAAAGTCTTCAGGACACAAACATCCGGATTATATAAAAATACCAGCCTAAAAATGATGTCAATCGGTTTCAAGAGTGCTGCTTAGGCAAGTAGATGGAATATCAATGATACTTTGAAGCGGAAAAAAAATTTGGCTTTTAACAAACAGGCTTTGTGAGCTTAGAGATTGAAAGATACCTTATCAAACATTTCGTAGCCAACTTTGATCCGTACATCCTGATCTTCCTTAAAATTCATTATGTTCCAGGAAAATTCTGCAGCTCCCTTAGGATTCTTCTGTTAACACAAAACGAGCAAAGTTCGGTCCATTCTAAGTATAAACTTAGGTAGAATACTCAAGCAAGAAACATAACTTCGAGGAACAAGTTCTTGAGACCAAGATAAAAAAGCGAACCTGATTGAAGTCCTGATCAAAATCACACCGCCCTTTAATATTAAATGTCACAAGCTTATCAGTTCTCACAGGAAACTCTTTTTTCCCACGTACATGACACCGAAGCTTTTGGCGCTTATCATAATGCAATCCTACTCCAAGTCCTGTTGAAGCCTAAGGGAAATTTGTAACGCTATTAATATTCGTCAACGGTGGAAAAGGTTTCAGGAAAAAGAGAAAGAAGAAACAACAGAAAATGAGATCAAACCTCAGGGAAGAAGCGTCTAATCATCGCACAGAAGTAACTCGGGGCTCCAGTTCCAGTATCTAGCTCTCCATGAAGCTATCACCAAACAAAACCACCAAAGAAAATGAGAAACAGATATAGGTTTGCAAGAAATGTAACACAAATTGGCTATATCTGTCGACAGGGTGTAGTCAAAGCCAAACAATTGTAGCAGAACAAGCAAGCCTGATACACATACTGAAAAGAAATGACTCAAGATTCGGGGAAGCCTCTAAATGTACTTCTTCATAATGACCATGAGAAGGAAGATAACAACTCAGACGTAGTCTTATTCCTAAACTAAATCACATTCTCAAAAGCCCTAACAGTTCAAAATGATGATACATATTTCTGTAATAACTCCAAGCAGAGGAATGGTGAGTGTGTGAGACACAAAACCAAAACCATTCCTTAAACTGGCTCTTGCAACAACTAAATTCTGAAAGTTGGAGCAAATCTCATGCCAGATATATTAGCAACTTCGCTCAGGTTAGGTTTTATACTCCAAGAGTGACTTCAAAGTTCAAAGGCGGTGCTTCATTTTATCTTAATGAAAGTTCAGGTTAAGATAAAATCTGAAACTTTACACAAAACTGTTCGCTTGTGTAAAATGCAAACACAATCATCTGAAAAACCAAAATTAAACCAAACATATAGAAAATCTAGACGCCACCAGATTTTTGTTTACCTCAAAACTTAAACCTTTTAAATCTCAAGACTTTGGTTTGGGCATTTGAGCTCCAGAAGCAAAGAAACTAGTCAAACAAAGCAATTCCAACTAATTCAGAGAGCATTACACCACCGAAGCGAGATAGCTTCAAAATCGAATAGAGCTAAAAAAAACCATTCATAGCAGCACGAACACGAAGTAGACAAAACAAAAAGTTGGGAGCTACGACGAATTTCACCTGCAAATGGGTTGCCGAGTTCACCGGGAGCTTCTCCTTAGCATGGATTTTCAAAGACTTGGAACCGTAGTTATACCTCAGAGATGTCTCCATTTTCCTCCCGAAGATTTTGTCGAGAAAATCGCCAACAAAATCACTACGACAAAAACACAAGCAGAGCAAAGAAAACCAAAACCCCACCTAGTTTCTTTCACTACTGTATCATCCTCTGCACCAAGGTTCACCTTGACTCAACCAATAAAAAAATGTCACGTGTCAAGAAACATTTCTTTAAAGACGTAAGCCCATATTGAGGCCCAATATAAAGGGTTTTCCTCTAAACTTAGTCTATCTGTGTGCGGGTAAAACCCGACCCGGGAAAAAGAGTTTCCGAGTCAAATTCTGTAAATGCTTAGAAACTGGTTCGCTGAGTGAGTAAGCGAGTCTAGAGACTGGTCTGAATCATCTATCAAGGATGAAGAAATCGAGTGTCGTTGATCTATTGCTTCTTCTGCTGACGATCGCTGTTCTCGCGACGCCTGCGTTCTCCGATCTGGTTTTATCCAAAGTCGAACGTCGTGTAAGTCCTCCACAATATCTTCGATCTGGTTTTGGATTCACGAGCGTTCCTGATCGATTCGGAGAGTTTCTCTAAACTTGTATTAAGTGATCTGTGCTTTACACTTCGAATCAGTTTAGAAGACATAACCTTTTTCTTCCTTTACATTTCTTTGGGATCGGATATGTAATTCTGGTCGATTCATTTCGATGGTCTTTTAGCTTCATTTCCTGCTTTCTTCATCCGATTTTGTTTGCTTTTTTGCAGATCGATGTGACTTCACAGTTTGCTCGCGTTACTAAGACCCTTAAGGTAATCTCCAAACTTATCACGAGAATGTGTTAGTCAGATTCCACCTTACTAAGTCAAGTTTCCAATTTGGTGTTTAGGTCGTAAATTCTGGCTCTGAATCAGTTTCCGAGTTTACTTTGACCTTCCCAAAGTTTCTTGGTGACAATTTGGCATATTTATCGGTTGCCCAAAGCGAAGGAAAGGGGAAGTCTAAACGCCATTTGGTCATTCTCTCTGTGGAAGCAGCTAATCCAAAAGGAAAGCCTGATTCAATTAGTTTCTACTCAGTTGCATTACCCAAACCACTCAATAAAGGCGATACTTTGACGCTGGAGGTAGTTGCTGCATTCACCAATGTACTTCAGCCATTTCCAGAGAAGATAAGTCAGGCTGATATCCATCTTGTTATGCTCCAAGAAAGCGCACAGTATCTCTCTCCTTACGCCGTCGAATCTCAGTCGTTTTCTATCAAATTACCCAGTGCCAGAATCGAATCTTACACCAATCTGGAGAATACAAAGGTCCAGGGCTCAGAGATCAAATATGGCCCTTACAAGAATCTACCACAGTATTCATACTCTCCCATAGTGGTCCATTTTGAAAGCAAGGCTGCATTTGCTGTTGCCGAGAAGCTCGTGCGAGAGATAGAAGTGTCTCATTGGGGGAACGTGCAGGTCACTGAGCATTACAATATCGTTCACCGAGGGGCTCAACTCAAGGGAGAGTTTTCGAGGTTAATAGTCCTACTAATTCCATGTTTAACTCGCTATTATAATTCACAATTCGGTTCCTTCATGCTCTTCGTTTCCCAACTGCAGGTTAGAATTTCAAGCCAGACCTAATCCCCGAGGAATATCTGCCTTTAAGCATTTACTTGCCAGATTACCACCGAGAGCACATTCCATATATTACAGGGACGATATTGGCAATATCTCCACGTCTCAGATGCAAAGTGATTCGAAAAAGGTTGATATTTTGGATTAACGAGATATGATCTTCTACATATTATTGCTGCATGTGTTTTTGACTCTTTTTTTTTTGCTGGTTTGGTTGCAGACAGAGCTACTAATTGAGCCTCGGTTTCCATTGTTTGGTGGGTGGAAAACTTTTTTCACGATAGGTTATGGTTTGCCGCTTAGTGACTTTTTGTTTGCATCGGAAGGGAAACGTTTCCTCGACATCTCTTTTGGATCCCCTATGCTTAACCTTGTCACTGAAAAACTTATCGTACAGGTCGGTATCATAGACTTTCTACTTGAAATGTTTTCCCTTTCTTAGTTTGATTTTTCCTTAACTTAAGAATAATGTGGAGGCAGATCAATCGGAGAAGCTAACATTTTATCGTGAGTTCGTGACAATACTGTTATATGGTCTCATCTCATGTGCTGCAATAAAGATGACATGAGCGAAAAACTTCCTTGTCGTTGCTTGATGTTCTTTTGTGTTTTCATTTCCGTTGTAGGTGGTCTTACCTGAGGGTTCGAAGGATATATCAGTTATCACTCCGTTTGCTGTTACACAGTCACAAGAGGTAACAGAGTCTGGGCTTTATTTTATCATTTGTTTTTCCTGCTTCTGTGTGTTTAGATTCTGAATTTCTGATATTGATTTTCATGTTGCAAACCTATTCGTTTCCAGATCAAATATTCGCACTTAGATATAGCTGGTAGACCAGTTGTTGTGCTTGAAAAGAACAACGTTGTCCCAGATCACAATCAGAATATCCAGGTATATAATCCATCTTAAATGGTGTTATTCTGAAGCCCACAATATTAATACTTCAATAACAAAAATCATGAGATTTGTATTCTGTGCAGGTCTACTATAAGTTCAGCAACATCAATCTGCTGAGTGAGCCATTGATGTTAATCTCTGGATTTTTTGTTTTATTCATCACTTGCATCATATACACGCGGGCTGACTTTTCAATCTCAAAGTCCTCTCCTGCATATTTGGCGAAACTCCAATGGGATGAGGTACATTGGAGCCTTTTTTTCAAGCACGTTTACTTACAATCTATTGATATCCTATTTCTCTGAATGGTAGATATATAAACGGCTCGTTTTGGTTATCAGGTCCTTGCAACTCTCCAAGAGGTTCAAAGCATCATCCAAAAATGCTTAGCTACACATGATAAGCTCGAAGCATCGCTGCGTGATCTCTCAAGAACCGGTGACATTCAAATCTGCAAAGCTGCTCGCAAATCCACTGACAGTTTACTGAAAGATCTTTCGAAAGAACTGAAACCTTTGCTGGCATTCTTACAATCTTCCCCATCAGCCTCTCAAATATATCTAAAGGTATCAAATTTCTTTGCACCTGTTTCACATCACTTAGTCTCAGCACTGCTTAACTGTCTCTTTTGTAACAGGTCGAAGAGCTAGTTGCGAAAGAGAAAGAACTTCAAGAGAAGTTGATGGCCAAACATACAACTGTTGTTGAAGGGTACGAGAAGAAATCCTCAGGGCGTGATATCGAAAACCGGATCGCTTCTCAGCAGCAAAAGATCATTACTTTGAAGCAAGAAGTAGAAGATCTTCTAGAATTCATTGATGAGATCTAGAAAATTTAAACGTAGAAGATCCTCTGAAGCTTAAAACCAGACTTTTGAATTTACTCTCATCATTAGATATTTTTACTTTTGTACCGTAATGAGGTGTTTATCAATTTTGAATGACAGCTCAAGTTCCCTCTCCAAGACACGAACCTCCGAGTTTTTAACTTTGAATCAATGTCTCTTAAAAAACATTTACAAGAATGCATACAGACTTAACCAATATTGGTGAATATACCAGAGAAGTTTGGGATCTTATCGATGTGCTTCAAGGCGTTCTCAGCGATCTGACGTGTTCTAAAATCTGCGTTTTGAAAGGCGTCAACAAGTGCTGCAGTCACGTTCTGTTCTTCTGCAACCTCTTCAGCTATCTGTTCGATGCGTAAGATCCGCTCGACCATCCACACAGCTCTAATCCTTAAATTCTCTGTTCGATTCTCCAACAGAACGTTTAATATAGGCGTGATCCCGTCTGCTTCATCAATCAATCTCACCGCTTTTTCAACTTCCAAACCGTCTTCTAACAACGTTGAAAGAGCTGCAAGTGCTGGCCCAACCACCTTCACGTTTTCATGGTCCAAGAGATCAACCAATTTATCTACTGCTTGTCCTTCAACAAGACAAAAGCTTTCTCTCAACGAACATAACCCTTGATGGATCTTGCAAATCCCTAGAACAACAGGCGGTTTGCTCAGACATGAAAATATGGATGTACAGTAGCTCGGAGGAGGCAGTTCGGGTATCTTTGTTAGATTCCTGGATTCAAGTGAAAGATTCTCCAAAGCAATTGCAGAAGCTATCAGGATGTTATCTTGACTGTTGGACTGAAGAAGATCGAGGAAAATCGAAGCTACATTGTTTTCACGGCAGAACGAAATGGCTTGAGTCTCCTTGGTGAGTGCGAAGGTGATCCGAGCAAGAATACTAACAAGTCCTTCAAGAAAAGTTTTCTCAAACCGTTTTCCCCTGATTTCTCCTTGGCGAATCACAGATATCTTGGAGATGATTTTCTCAAAAGCACACTCTTTTAACAATCTCTGCGTCAGACCCCAATCTCTCTCAGGAAGTTCAGCTAAAAGTCCAGCAGCTGCAGCTTGCGCCTCAGTGATTGTTGTTGTATTCTCTGATATGATCGCAACAAGATTCCCAAGCTGTCCAACTGTGCCACGCAACGCATTGGCAAGTTCTTCGCTCATGTGTGGTGAAATGTTGTGAAGGAGCTTGATAGAAGCCAAACGCAAATCATCGTTCTCATGAAGCTCAACGAACTGAACAAGGCTAATGATGGCACCCGAGTTTCTGATCGCAGAAACAACATTTATAACCGAGTTTGGGCAGCTAGTGAGTCCAACAAGAACCTCCAACAGCTTTCCCTGGATTTCTGGACCCGTGTTGCTAATTAGCTGGAGTAGGTTTTCCACTATATCCTCTGAAACAAGAGTTTGGTGATGAGCTCCAACAGGAACTTTGTCAAAGTCGTAGCCAATGTTGACTATATTTGCAAGAATAGTGGCTGAGACTTCTTTAAGTCGAATTGGAAGCTGGTTTGGTCCAACATAAAAAAGGTCTTTGATAAGCGGTGGGAGAATCCCTGCGCTGATTAAGACTTTGGCACTCCCCTCAAACGATGAGATATTGTTGAGAGCACCCAAAGCAGCTTCCCGTTGGCGCATGTTGCGACTTCTCATAAGATCGATAAGAGAGGAACCCACAGTCTGAGCCACAACAACTTTCACATCGTTATTTAAGGCAAGCTCCCCAAGATAAGAAGCCATGGAGAGTTTTATTTCAGCTGAACCTGCAGATCATGTTTCATATATGATTCAGATATCCAACCAACAGCTAAGAGGGATTGAGTTTATTGAGCAAAACCATTAAAAACAGTGGTTTGGTGAAATCACACCTTCAAGAAGATTAGCTAGAAGAGGCTGCAGTCTACCATTGGTAGCCATCTGTCGAACATTTTCTTCTGATCTCCCCAAGTTTGTCAAGGTTCTATCAGCTTTCTCAACAGTTGAAACATTCTCTGATTTGCTGCTTGTCAGACCAACCAACAAGATGATTGCTCCATGAATTGATCCAATCTTCTCGCACAAGGCTTCTGATTTAGAGAGCTCAAACAACAAGGAAACCGCTGCCTCCCTCCCCTTTGGTGGCTCCTGAGATAAGAACTTAACTATAGTACGCACAGTGTCTCCTTCAGCTATTATTGCCTGTAACACATTGGAAATTGATTAACAAGGATTCAAAAGACAAAGAGAGAGAGACAAATAGAGAGGTTACCTTGCTCTCTTCATCTCCCTCAACGACGACTTGCAGTGTCTGTAGAGCCTTATACCGCACTTCATGGCTACTACTTTTGAGCATGTCGATAATCAATCGAACAAGCTGAGGATTGCGCATACGGTGTTTAATCAAACGTATGTTCTTGCAGATTTCTCGGACATTCTTCAAAGCCAGAAGTATATTGGTCTCAGAATTTCCAAGATAGAGAGACTGGCGGGCAATATCAAGCTTCAAGAAATCATTCCTGGCTCTCCACTCTTCGATTGCGTTACCTAAAGCTATACTTGGGTTTAGATCAGTGATACTCAGCTCCTGAGAAGTTATAGGACAAGACAGAGGTCGACCGTTTTGGCTACATTCCTTGAACCATTTCTCAATTGCTTCGCGCTCGAAAGTCTGGCCATTCTCCAAAGTGACTGGGTTTTGCATCACTTGCTTTGTCAATGGACAGATAAACGCTTCATAAATATTATCAATCCCTGTCTCCATGTGAGAGCTTTGATCTGACTGACTTCCATCCAAACTTCCGGCCATATGATGATTCCTCTTCCTTTACTCGCTCTAGTCAAGCAAATATGCAGCAAAGATATAGTTACTCAGGAACGAAGCAGAGCTCTTAGGATCAGCAAAAACCAAGCAATTGGATACTTTAAAGGCATTATCAGTCCTAATGGAAGGTGTCTCAATTACACCATGATGTAATAAAAACTAAGCTAATTAAAGAAGCGCTTTATTTTAATACCAAATTAAGCTAAGTTCTCCATTTTCCTCAGCCGAGGAACAAAGATTCACAAGTTAAAATCAAAATTATACCCGAAACTATGCAGAAAATTTCCAACATAAGCATCATTCCCATAACCCTTATATGGAAAATATTACTAAATTTAGCATCGACAATAGAGAAAAAAACAATTTACTCAGGATATTCTTTTATTAGCAAGTAAGTGTATAGGAAACACACGAAAAAGGAAGATAAGCACGCGTACCAGTTCCAAACGCAAAAAAAATCCCTGAAGAAACCGATCCAACGAATAACAGAGAGAAAAAGATCTTAGCTTCTTCTTCTTCTTCTTCTTCTTCTTCTTCTTCTTCTTCTTCTTCTTCTTCTTCTTCTTCTAGCTTGATATTTCGAGACAGGCTACTGCTTAAAATCCTTGAGTAGAAAACGTATGAAGTGGAGTCACTTCCTCGTCTTCCATGTACGCAACATCGAGCAAAGCGTGCTGCTATTCTCTTCTCAAGCTTGAATTCGACAGAAATGTCTTTCACTGAATCAAAGAGAGAGCCTGAGATGTGAACGCGAGGATGAAAGATGGAAATTGAGTTTCACTCAGTTTTGCCACGAGGAAAAAAAGAAAAACGCCGACGAAAAGACTAGAAAATCAAAAGCGTTGACTAATATTTGGAAAAAAAATCATAATTTTTCACTGATAATACGTGTACGCACTCGACAGCTAACCCGGAAATCGTGTAAGCTAAGCGTAGGGCCCTTAGATGGGCCGCTTTACGGCAATGTTAAATGCCCCTAAGGCCCATATAAGGCCAATTAAATTCAAATCTCAAAACGTTATCCAAGGACTATCCTTAGTCCATACAGTGATAAACACGTGCGTAGCAGGCTCAGAGGCGCGCACGAGTTACTCATGTCCACGTTTTGGTTTGCACGTACGATCTCACACATGTGGAGTTTTTCATTATTCGATTTTTTTTTTAAAATGTAATAGAATAAGAACGAAACGACTCTGTTTAGGGGACAAAAGAGAAAGGGGAAGAAAAAAAGAGAGCGAGAGAGAGAATGGGTGAGGTAGCTGATACATTAACGAAGAAGAAGAAGAAAGGGAGACCATCTCTGATAGAGCTTCAGAAGCGAGCTCTGAAACAGCAACAATTGCTGCAGAAAAAGCTAGATGGTGAGCCCAAGGAAGAGCTGAGATCCGGTTTCAGAAACCCTAATTCTCTCAATTCGGCTCCGAATTCCGGCACCCGATCCAATCGCCGGAATTTTAATCCCAGCGAGCTGTCTGGCGACGACGATGAGAGGAGAGACAAGAAGCACAGGCTCTTGCGCGGATTAAACCCTCACGATCGTCGTGATTCTTCTTCCAATTTCGAATCTGACGGCTGCGATTTAGACGCCGATTCCATCTTCCGCCGGAAAATCGGTGGCACCGTTCACGGATCTGACGATACGGTACCTTGGGGATACATAATATTTTCGGAAAGTTCAAGTTTTTATTTGGAAAAATGGGAACTTTTATTTAAGGTTTTTTAAGCGATGAGATTTCGCGCGTTAATTGAGGTTCTTCTTCTGCTTAATAGATATGGCTGAGTGAGTGACTGATGGGTTTTGACTATTTCATTTTTTCCTCTTTTTGTTGGTGGGAAGTGGGAATTCATAATTTCAGTTTTTATTTTTATTTTCCTTTTTTGTCTTGGCCGAGAAAATCTCTGGTATTGTGTTGGCTGGTTTTTATTTGAATATTAATATATTATTCTTTTTGATTCTGGTATATTAATTCATAGTTATCAGAATTAAAGACCTTTCTGCATTGAAGAGAATCATGTCTGAGACAAAAAAAAAAAAAAAAAAAACTGTCTTTTACTCTTAGTTTTTCTTTTAGGTTGTGTACTTCACCGACTTTTACTGTCTCTTCTTTTTTATTCTTCCATGAACATGAAAGTTATCATAAATATAGACACCTGTATAAAGTTGTTGTAATTGCATTATTTTTAGGAATTAAACTTGAGGTTGATGATATTATCTGTTTGTTTTCCTGCAGGGACAAAAGGCTTCGAAAGCGACAGACATTCTTCAAAGTATATTTCCTATTTTCCTTTTTTTTTTATAAAACAAACTTCAGGAAAAGACATAAACCAGGAATTCGTGCGAAAATAAAAGTGAACTCTTTCTGCTAAATAGTTTTTTAAAAAATGTTGGCATTTGCTTGTGGACAGGGTCTGTTGTGAAGTCTGGCCCCGTTACACCTTTGCCAGACAAAAAGTTGCTGTTGTTCATTCTTGATAGACTTCAAAAGTATGCCAAATTTTACCCTCCTTCTCCATGTTCTACCCATTTTTGTAGTTTGGATGAAGTGATGCAAATCTTGGTTTGGTTTCTGATTTAATTTCGTTTCTACAATATTTGAAGGAAGGATACATATGGAGTGTATTCTGAGCCAGTTGATCCAGAGGAGGTGAAGTTTTCTTTATGTTAACCGTGTGTTTGTTAATGCCTTCGTTTTGCTTTCGTATCTTATCTGTGAGATAGTTTATTTACAGCTTCCTGATTATCATGAGACTATCAAGAATCCGATGGATTTCAGCACATTGCGGAAGAAATTAGAATCTGGGGCTTATGTTACCTTAGAACAATTTGAGGCAAGTCTTGCACTTGAACGTATAACAATCCTTGATTCTTCTCACTGAGCTATCACTTGCCTGTGTAAAGATACATATCTGCTTTTTGCTTTGCTAAAAATGGAGTGTTCATCTTTCATACTTTTGATTCTTCATATTCTTAATTACTCTCATGCAATAGTTTCTTTGGTAGAAGCTACAACATCGTGTTTGCCGACCAGCGTTGGTGGAAGTCGTTGATCCATTGTTCTCTGTATCTGATATCTCTAACAATTTGATAGTTGCAGTGTCTTAACTCTGTTTCCATGATAAATTGGAGCCATAATGTTAAAACTGAGAAACTGGTGGCGCCTGGAATATTTGTTAATTGTCAAGATCTTAATCTTTCTGATCCCCACTCATCTTTTGCAGCAAGACGTGTTTCTAATGTGTACAAACGCGATGGAATACAATTCAGCAGATACCGTATATTTTCGACAGGTTTTGTCTTGCCTCATATAAATTTGCAACTCATTTTCCCTCTTTCTCCATTTTTGGTGTGTAATTGTGTGTCTATGGATATAACAGGCACGAGCTATGCTTGAGCTGGCTAAGAAGGACTTTGAGAATCTAAGACAAGAAAGTGATGAAGAAGAATCAACGTCACTGTCACAACAGCCTAAAGTGGTCAAAAGAGGCCGTCCTCCAGGCACAGGCCTTAAGAAACAGCCTGAGCCATCTTCGATTGACCGCACCACTTCTGAAATTTCAGCTGATGCAGCAGCACACACTGCTGGTGGAGATGGCTCTAGATTATCCGGTGCTTACAATCTAAGAAACACACCTCCTTCTTATAGATTCCGTCAAACAGAGACTTCGGTTAGAATCAACCATTATAGCGAGAACCAAAGTGGCTTGTTAATTGATTGGGAGAAGGAGTTTCCACGTAAAGATCTGCCTTTATAATTTACCCTTCTTGGAGTCCTTTTTGCCAATACGATTTCCGTTGACTAAAAATCAGATTTTTATTGTTTTCTGTAGCTTCGGTTGTGAAGGCTGTCAATAAATACGGGATGAAGAATGTCGACGAGAACAGGCGAGATTCCTATAACCAGATCTCTGCTTCCTTGCAAGAAGCTTCGATTTTTACAGAAGATGATTTAAAACAGTTAACTCCAGTACGTGTTGGCAACTTAAAAATAGTTCCTTCTTGTTTGAATAAACAAAGAAACTGACCGTCGTTTCCTTGTTTTAACCAGGTTGGGTTGAAAACGGAGTATGGGTACGCAAGAAGTGTAGCACGATATGCTGCTAATCTTGGCTCTGTTGCTTGGAGATTCGCCAGTAGTAGGATTGAAACAGTGTTACCGAATGGAACCGAATTTGGTCCCGGGTGGGTTGGAGAGAACCCGGAAGCTCCTCCTCAACAGCAGATCTCAATGTCAGGAAAGCAAGAGTGTTCGAATGACTTGGCATCTGATGATCATCTTCATTCAAGCACCTCTGTTTCTAGCTCTATTATAGCAAACAGACATGCTTCCCATGAAAGCAAAGAGACTGCACCGGCTGCTCGAGGATCCGAGAAGTCAGGACCGCTGATCAATCCTGAGAGCAATGGTTTAATCCCTGGTTTTAGAGGATTTAACCATAATCCAAACAAGATGCTGGAAACAGCTTTCTCGCAACAAGGCTTGTTGGCTAACACAAAACAGGAACTTAACCGGTTTCCACCTGATCTCAACGCTAAGCTCGTCTCACCAAACTCACCAGTCTCTAACCTTCAGGCAGGTTCATCGCAGCATCCGGATTTGGCATTACAGCTCTAACTTGTTTACTAATCTTAAAAGCTTTAGCGGTAGGAAGAAGAAGAGGTATGTGATGCTTGTAAATGAAAATATAGCGAAGTCTCTGTACAGATTGTTGCAACTACCAGATTTGTGTAGAGTAAAAAAAAAAATAAACGATTAAGAGTACGCATAAGGTGTATAAATAACATTTATGCAGGTATTTTTGGTTGTCAAACTAGAATTGTCACAATGTTTTTTTTTAATTGGAGGGTTGAAGGAGAAATCTTTCTAGAAAAACAGAAAATTCCGTTTCAATAAATATATGATTTTTCCCTTACCTAAAAACATTAACAAGGAATTCTAAGAAACCGTCTCATGAAAAGTCAGTCTGCATCTTATACGTTACAGTAAAACCGCTTAATTTAGCTCCAACGGAAAAAAGAAAAGAAAAAAATGTTTGAATAAGAAAGAGACAGAAGGAAGAAAGAAACGACGCGCAGTTCCAAAATTAGGTAACTCTTGGCGCCCTTTAATCTCTTCCGTTGCCCTCAAAAATTCCTCACTTGCTCTCACTACATTTTTATTTTTCCAACCTTTTTCTCTAAAGATTTTGCCATTAGAAAGATTGTATAAATCTGTTCCTTCGTCTGTGTAGTATATAAAAATACCATTTTTTTCCACAATTAGTTGTCATTTGTATAGTTTTACTTCTCTCTTTTCTGTCCATTTGAGATTCTCTTTCCTTTCCTTAGGGATCAAATTTGGGTTCATAATTTTCCCATTTTGTTTTCTGGGATTATACGGAGGGAGAGAAAAAAGAAAAGTCTCTCTCTTTCCCATTTATAATCCAGGAGCCAAATCCAAGGTTCTTTTTTTCTTTTCTTTTCCCACAAGAATCCTAGTTTTTTTTGTCTTTTGTTCTGTTTCTTTCGTGCGTGGGGTTCCGGGAGCTAGGTTTGATGATAATGTTGGACATAATCTCAAACCAGCTCCGTCTCTGAATCCATTTCATCCGCCATTGTTGCTGTTTTCATCTTCTTGGATATTTACGTTAAATTATCATCGCAAATTTTATAAAGGGAAAATGAGGTGTTTCTCTTGTCTCAGCACACGAACCAATGACATGAGAATCAACATCGATACCCTTTCGTACCTAACCGATAATTCCTCAGGTCTTGATAAATCTCTCTCTTTTATTCATTAGGAATAAAGTCTCCATTTTTTTCCCCCTCTCAGAAAGTTTTGTCATTTGCGATTCTCTTGTGTGTTTGCAGTTGATACAAGAAGCGACTCCACGGGAACAGGCTCGCAATCTGGCATTTTAGGTTAGGAAATTTGGGTGATTATTAATTTCTTCACACGTTTGAATTTTTTTTTTTTTGATGAAAAAACAAATGTTTGATTATGGGTTTTGGTCAGTTGATGGGAAAGTGAATAGCCCTAAACCGGGAGGTGGTGCACGGAGCTTCACGTTCAAGGAGTTAGCCGCCGCCACGAAGAATTTCCGGGAGGTGAATATGATCGGAAAAGGAGGATTCGGGAGTGTCTTCAAGGGACGTTTATATTCAGGACAGGTGAGTAAAGGTCTCTGTTTTCAATTTAAAAAAAAAAAAAAAAAACTAAAAATGCTGAAAGGAAATTTTGATTGGAATTGAATCGAATAATAAAATAGGTGGTGGCGATCAAGCAATTAAACCCAGATGGACATCAAGGAAATCAAGAATTCATAGTTGAAGTTCTTATGCTTAGCGTCTTCCATCATCCAAATTTAGTAACTTTGATCGGTTACTGTACTTCTGGTGCTCAGAGACTTCTTGTTTATGAATACATGCCAATGGGCAGCTTAGAAGATCATCTTTTCGGTCAGTTTATTTTACATATTAATAAATCAAAACCATTTTTTTCATAAATTTCTTTGTTAATTTTAACCTGTCTTTGTTAATTTTCTTCTTGTTGTTGTTTAATAATTCAGATCTTGAGCCTGATCAGAAACCTCTAAGCTGGAATACTCGGATGAAAATCGCGGTTGGTGCAGCTCGTGGGATCGAGTATCTTCACTGTAAAATAAGCCCACCCGTGATTTACCGTGATTTGAAATCGGCAAACATATTGTTGGACAGAGACTTTAGCCCCAAACTCTCTGATTTTGGACTCGCCAAAGTCGGTCCGGTCGGTAACCGGACATATGTATCGACTCGGGTCATGGGTACTTACGGATACTGTGCTCCAGAATACGCGATGAGCGGGAAATTAACCATTAAATCGGATATCTATTGCTTCGGTGTAGTCTTGCTTGAGCTGATTACTGGCAGGAAAGCTATTGATTTGAGTAAACCAAACGGAGAGCAGTACCTTGTTGCTTGGGTAAGTAAACCAAAAATATTATGAAAAAACCGGTTTAAACCGGAAGCTCAATCTCTCTCGTTTAAAGCGTGTTTTGCTCTTGGTATTTTTTATGCAGGCTCGACCGTATCTCAAGGAACCGAAGAAATTCGGACATCTTGTGGACCCGTTGCTGCGTGGAAAGTACCCGAAGAGGTGTCTAAGTTACGCGATTGCCATAACCGAGATGTGTCTGAACGAAGATGCGAATCGACGACCGAAAATAGGAGATGTCGTGGTGGCATTTGAGTATATAGCCGCTCAGAGCAAATCTCATGATGCTAGAAGAGCGGCTCGCAAGTCTACGGACTCTGACCGGTCAAGAGGAGAAACAAAACTGAGTTACTGAAAGGTTGTGTGAGTGAGTCGAATGTGAAACCTCTGACAGAAACAGAAGGTTGCTGATAAGACCGCGTTTACTAATTGTTTTTGTCTTCTTGTTTTTTTTGTGGGTTTTTGTTTAGTCAGCGTTAATAAGAATGGGATTTGGTCGGATGATGGAGGTTAAAAATGAACTCTTATGTTCAAAAATATATATATGTATATAGGTAAATGTTTTACAACTTCCTTGTGATATTTTTGGTGGGTATCGATCATCATCTCGTTTTCTCAGTGTCAAGTTTTTTGTTACACGGAATATATCCAAATTCTATAATTTATATCTCCAATTCGAAACATCGATTTCAAATTAAATGTAAGAGAGTGACATACATGAAAATACACTATAGTCAACCATGTAATTATTTGAGTTTTTCTCACAAGAAAATAAATTTAATGTAATAAATGCAAGTAGGTGACGAACGGATTTACGCGGACGTATAATATTTTTTTATGTCAACTTGAATATACTGCTTAATCCGATCTACACTCCCCCCGTATAGTATATAGCTTTGTTATTTGCATATTGTAATTAATAATTAAGAATAATAAAATAACATCTGCCCACGTTTTATACGTGAGCTCATTATAAGATAATTTTTACGAAAGAAATATTAAAAAAGCAAATCGAGACCCTCTCGTTCTTTCTTATTACTATATATTATCATATGCTATAGCTCAAACTTTCAAAAGAAAAAGCATTTCAAACTTTCTTTGGACCATTGAAAACAGCCTTCGTGAAAGAAAGCCATACATTACAAATTTACAATGTGAAATGGACCGTGATAAAAAAACGTTTGTGTTAACCACTTTATCATTTCTTTGGTAAAGAAAAGATTTGAAGATATATAACCACTTTTTGCAAAAAGATATATAACTATACAAGGTTTTGACCCTCGTGTTTCACATATAAAATTTCCAAAGCCCATTGCTAAACAGTGTTCATCTTGTTTGACTTCTTCCCACTGATATTTTGATTTTTTAAGGTCTTCCCATGAGATTTTTTTTTAGTTTGCGATATTCTATTTTGTTTTTCTCAATATGATTTTTTTATTTTTCATTTTTTTCCAGACAATTAAAACATTTTTATTTTGTTATTTACTAATATTTTATTTTCGTTTTTCCACATATAAAACCAAAGATTTTTGTTTTTAAAAATAAAATAATTGCTTACTAATATCTTAGTTTGTTTGATGTTGCGACCACTCAATATCTGAATTTGGTGTGTTTTACTCCAGCTGTTACGTCATCCAGGTGACGTAAATTATGATCGGCGTAGTCCATGGCTCCAGGTGAGCCAAATATGAATGGTAATTTGGTATGCTAAATTGCCAAGAAAAAGAAATACAAATTAACAAGGTCTAAACTGAATTATAGATTAGAGTTAATTAAATAACTCTGGTGAGTTGATTAAGTACAATAAACAGTTTATTTGTAAGTGTTATTTTTTCTAAATAACGTGTGGTATATTTGAAAAAATATCAACCATATATATTAATGTTTTTCTTTTGTAATTCGGACCATGTTAAATATCCAGACGAACGTCCAAAGTCAGTTGGTCCGACAATAATGACAAGTGAAAATCAAACCGAGAGAAGAGCAAAGTCAGTTCGTCTCTTTGTTTTTTGTTTTGTTTGTAACAAAGTTGGTGTCTTTGTTTGTCTTTGATAAATTAGAAAAGCATCAACGGAGAGAACAAATTAAAGCAAATTTATCTATGTATTTTGTAAATAAGAAAACTTATTTATTCATAATCACTTAGTGCAATTAACCTAAATCAAAAATAAGCATATAAGATTATCTTTTAGACTTTATGCAATTACTTTGGTCGAATGCAACCAAACTAACTTTAGCATTTGACAATAAGAATTAACAATACATCTCTTAACAAAGAAGGGAAAAGTATATAAATATCGACTTTATTAGCTGCGATTGTTTCCTAATATGCGACCTAGCCACTGACAATTGACTTGTAATTTAGAGTCACCACCATTTTACATATCCCAGTCTCCTCTTTCTTATAAAACTACAAAATTCCCTTCGGTCCATAAATTATCTGAACCTAAAGCACTTTACAAGGACTCAATCATTCAAAGAAAAAGGTATTGAAAATGAACTTCCGAAAAACTAGTATTAAACTTGAAATGGCAGTGGACATGACTAATATAAAGGTATGAAAATGAAGAACGTAACAAATATGAATCATGACTACCTAACGTTGAAAATATAAGTAATGAAATTATATTATTTTTATCATTTAGCCAGCCAATCAACGTCGAGGGGGTTTGCTATATAACCACGACGAAATCAAATATATACACAATCTTTTTATCAAATAAACAAATTACATATTTCCCCATAGATTTTTGCTTGGTCTTTTCTCTCTGTTTCTTCTTCCTCCATCTTTCAATTAAAAGCCCCAGAAAAGGAAGGGAGCCAAAAAAAAAGGGACAATTAATGTTATGATCAGAAATATTGGAGCGAATATTACCCCAAAACAGAGCAAAGTCAAGAGTTGTTTGTCTTGATGGGAAACTTCTGTCCTGGCGGATCTTCCAGTGTTCAACACGAACAGAGCCCTGTCTCCACCAAACCTCTCCCAGGTTCATACACACATCTCTCTGTTTTTTGTTTTCTGCAAAATCCAAACACTTTGGATCTAGTTTCTAGTTTCTGTTCTTTGTTTTTGCGACCTTTCTAGTTTATATTCTTAATTTCTTATCATAAGTTTTTAAAGTCTAAAGCTTTCTTCTTGGGTTTGTTTTTCTATTGTGATTTTCAACTTTGAAAATATCAATGTTTGCTCTGTTTTTTTTATATCTTTCTTCTTTCAAAGCAAACTTGTATAATGAAGTTTCAATCTAATAAGATCGTGTGTTGATCTTACAGTGGTGAGACGTGAGGAAAATCCAGTTAATGTAAAGTTTCCGCCTCCGCTGGTGGCGATGTCGCCGGCTAGAGATTTAAAACCGAAGTTTCCGGCGCCGGGAACAGGACGGGAAACGAGAACCGTCAATAACACACCTCGTGAGAAACCACAGGAGAAGACAAGAGCCGTCGATAACACACCTCGTGAAAAACCGCAGGAGAAGACGAGATCCATCGATAATCCGCCATTAAAGCCGGTAGAGAAATTAGGCGTAGGGAGAAAAGCAGTGCCGCCGAGCGGGAAGATAGTGACGCCGAATCTAAAGATGTTCTCATTAATGGATCTCAAGACGGCGACAAAGAATTTCAAGCCAGAATCGATGATCGGAGAAGGCGGATTTGGACAGGTTTTTAAAGGATGGGTGGAAGAGAAGACACTAGCTCCGTCGAGAACCGGCGTCGGAATACCAGTCGCCGTTAAGAAATCAAACCCTGATAGTGCTCAAGGCTTACATGAATGGCAGGCAAGTAACTCCCATTTTTCCTCCTTTTTTAATTTATTTTTATTCACTTATTTACATTTAAATCATTAAAAGCTTCTAATTGTGGCAATATATATTAGAATATTATTTGCGCATGTATATATATAGAAGCAAATTAGGGAAAAAGCTCAGATTGGGATGTATTTATGACAAAATATCCAAAATAGTAGACTATATTAGACTATTCATTTTAATGGTTAGTCGATCAATTCATATGCTATAAATTTGGCACTTATTTAGCTGTTTTCTTTTACAACGCATCAATTTAGGGTTTAATTGTGTCTTCTGTATACAACGCATCAATTTAAATCAAAGTATAATATTTAGTGCTTTTATTACATAAAAAAAAGGTTACACTGGATAAAATATTATAGTCGCGTGTTACAAATGATTATTTGATAAAACCCAATACTTAAATATTTATAACTACATTTAAATATTATTACAAACCAAGAAATTGAATTTAACAATCAGTGATACTTTAATATCTTATAACTTTCATTGTACCTCTCTCACTATAATTAATGTGAACGTATTTATTAGTTTTATTATCACTTTTTAGTACCTAAAAGAAAAAGAAGAAGTCAATCTAACATTAGAAGCCAAAAAGAAGAAGAAGTCAAGGAATTCTCACGTAACTTCATTAGCTTCACTAGTCAATCTAGGACAAAAATACATATATAATAGTCAATGAGATATACATCAATATTTAATGATATAGTTGGATGTTTTCTTGTGTTGATGGAAAGGAATTATTTTATTCATTTATGTGTCGTGTCTCCAGCTAGTAGAAATCCCGACTATCAAATGAAAAGTTGTGAAAGAACGAACATTCACGACCATATATATTCCATATTGTTTTATAACTAGAGTATTGTTTTTTTTTTCCTTGCTAAAAGATTACAGATAGTAGATTATATCAAGCAATGAAAAGATGAAAGCAAGTAGTCTTGTTTTTTTAAAAAAAGTAGACTTGTTCATCAGCAAAATAAAAATAAGCTTGGCTTGGTTTTCGACAAGGAAATAAGGAATGATGATAAATGAATATGAGATTATGAAATAGTATGTGTGATATACGAGCTTTGACCATTGACTTTTCAAATGTGTTTGAGACATGCTGCGGTCCTGAATAACTCCAAACTTACAGAATTGATTAAATAAATAAATAAAAGGAAAATCACGCTGAATACCGTTTCAAATAATTTTTTTATTTTTTATTTTAAACATAATTTTTTTTTATAGATGAATGTTAAATTTTATTTAAAAAAATAGACGTTTTCTACATCATAAGATGCAAATTTTTTAAATAAATTTGCAGAAATCTAAAAACATAAATTTAGTAGGCATGGTTTCGGGTAGCTTCATTAAGGTCTGGAAGCCAACCACATTTGAAAGCCCTGCACGTATTTGCTATCATAATTTCACATGCCATTATGCTCATCTCTCTTTGTTAATCCAGTGTCATAATAATTTGCATATTTTTATATCAGTTCTATTTGGAAAGAGTGCACTATTAGTTATAATTTATAAACATTCATAATCTTATAGAGATAAATTAGTTATCACAAGTAATATTAGTATCAAAATAGTCATATCGAATATAATTTGTTAACGTGTGTGGATGTCTTGTAAAACTGCAGTGTGAAGTGAGATTCTTAGGGAAGTTCCATCATCCAAATCTTGTGAAACTTTTGGGTTATTGTTGGGAAGAGAATCAGTTCCTATTGGTCTATGAGTATTTGCCTAAAGGAAGCCTTGAGAATCACCTCTTCTCAAGTACAATTTTTTTCACTCATCCATCAATTACCACCTTTTCTTATACATCTATTTATAGATATTAATATATAAGAATATTTTCACGTAATGTTAATGCAGAAGGAGAGGCGTTGACATGGGATACACGTTTGAAAATAGCCATTGAAGCAGCTCAAGGACTTACCTTTTTGCACAACTCCGAAAAGAGTGTTATTTACAGAGACTTCAAGGCTTCCAATATTCTTCTCGATTCGGTACGATCTCGTTTTTACATCTCTAGCTCCCACGTTTAAAACAAAAACTGCATGCTGTTTCTAGATTGGTAACAGTTCTTGCCGTTTTTTCAGAACTTCCACGCCAAGCTTTCTGACTTTGGATTAGCCAAGCTTGGTCCAATTAATGGATTCTCACACGTGACCACACGTGTCATGGGCACACAGGGTTATGCAGCTCCGGAGTACATGGCTACAGGTAAATAAAATAACGTGCAATTAAAAGAAAAAACACATGGTTTCACTTCTTTATTTGTTTAATAGATGTTTTGAATAAAATCGTTTATCTATAATTTGATTTGGATTATATTTAGATATTTTCTTTTATGTTATAGGTCATCTATATGTGCGGAGTGACGTTTACGGATTTGGAGTGGTACTCTTGGAGCTCTTAACCGGTCTAAGAGCACTAGACCCAAACCGACCATCTGCGCAACAGAATCTTGTGGAATGGGCTAAACCGGTTTTGAGCCAAAAGAAGAAGATCCAGAAAATGATGGACCCACGGCTCGAGCACAAGTATCCACTTTTGGCGGTGGTCAGAACCGCGGCTCTCATTCTACGGTGTCTCGAGGCTGACCCGAAGAACCGACCGCCCATGGATGATGTACTCAGAGAATTAGAAATCGTTAGGACTATCAGAGACGAACCAAAAGAAGAGAGGCGTAAACGACCCAGTGGTGGTTCAGATAATAACCGGGTTAATGGATATGGTTCACCGCACGTCCGTATAACCGGCCGAGCCGGATAGTCAATTAGTTTGGGGTACACAAACATACATACTTACATACGTAAACCTTTAATTAAAAAGAAGATGATTTTTTTTTTTTTTTGGCTAGTGTTTAATTGTGTTCATTTTCTTAGGACTTAGTGAAATATTTATCTCCTGAAAATACCCATGTTTTATAGCGAAAAAAAATCAATTTGGTAATATCATAATGTCGCATCTCTTCATTTCTTTTCTTTTGCCATATTGTGATGCATATCCAGTATATACAGAAAATAGATGTTTATATTTTTAGTTTGTGGATTATTGAAAATGTGTATCTACATTTGCAAACCAACAACACATTACAAAAGTACGGTAGTAAACAAAAACAAGAAAACTTCAAATATTAACTTTTTCTAGAAGAAAGGCTCTTTACATGTTCTCTCTCTCTCTGCCAAATTAAGAACCACCTAATAATTTTGAAAATATAAAACAAAACCTATAAACAATGCTTACACAACACAAGCTATACGTAATCTTTTGTCTCTTCTTCTTCTTCTTGTCATGAAAGGCATCCACTGACAGAAGAACGTTCTGGTAAATGTTGAGAAGAGAGCTGAAGCAAAAGCTTAATCGTTTGTCCCGGGAAAGATCTGCAAACATCTACACATTCCTCTACATCGTCGTCACATCTCAACAAAACCCATTCATTGTCTTCATCTAAGTATTTCAGATCGTATCTGCTCACATCTTCTATACCAAACCGTTTCGCTATTTCCCACAATAGATCTTTTAAGCTACGCGAGTTTCGCATCCTGAACCGTATCTTCTCCTCCTCATAGCTTACCTTTATCCTCAGAAAATCATCGTCTTGTGATGATGTTGATGGTGATAACTGCGTGGCTCGCGTTTCCTTAAAAGATCTTGAGAGTTTCATTGTATCTTCTCTAGTCTTATTCGTAGGATCTTCCTTGTTTACTTGTGTTTCACTGGAACAGCTCGAGCTGTGGCTACACGAGGATGCAGGGGATTTTGCAGGCAGTGAATGTGAAGAAGACAAGAATGTCGTCTTATTGGATTGTTGTTGTAATGATGATGCTTCATGTGAAGAAGCTAGATTTGGGAAATTCGCATAGAAGGAGCCTATAGGAAGATGATGACCCGAAACACCTTGAACCGAGTCAATCACCCGTTGGATTTTCTGAAGCGAATGGCCAACTTTCTTGATCTTTCTTGATGGCCATCTCTGTATCCCATGCTGTCTGCATATTCTCTTTAATGTCGTTGGACAAACTGAAAACAGATTCCAAGATCAGTAACAGAAACACTGATGAATTAAAAATCGAGAATCAAAATGTATATGTTTCACTTACCACCAATACTCTTGGCAGCATCTTTGAGACTCCCTGCAAAATACTGTCGAAGAACATCCAAAGTTATGTTTTTTTCGGCTTTTGTTCGCTTTCTCTCAGTCATTCTACTGAAACCACCACTAGCACTAGAGAAATTGCTGTTCTCATTTACACTCAAACCTTTGCCATAGTCAAAGCCTAGCTCGCCTATCTCTGATGTTCCACCATCAAATACCAATCCTACGTTTTTAGGAACAGCATTACTTTGATGTACTTCTGATATGTTCTCTATCTTTGGCAATGTCTCTGCTCTTTCGATGACCTCGCTCGCCATTGAATCTCCCTCTACTTCTAGTTCCTTCTCCGTGACTGTCCTCAAGCTTTTAGGTACGTGCGCCATTATAGTCGACAGAGCATTCAACATTTTCCTCTGTTCCTCAACATCACGGCAATTTTTAGGCAGAAAGAACTCCAATACGAAATCAGCTGAGCCCGTGTGGATGCAGCGTAAGCGTATCGCGACTGTGCCATGTAAGCCAAACATAGTTGCGTGGTGAGCGAGAGGATACTCAGATTTCTTGTAGCTAGAGACATCAGATGAAAAGCAAGGACCATTGGTCAAAAAGGCTTCTCCAACAACTCCTTGACCTTTCAAGAGATGATGCTCAGAGCAAGCTTCGTGGAATTCCCGGACTGTAGGATCACCTACATAGCAAGCATCATCGATTGTGGATACACAATGGATATAGTTCTCATCACTGTGACGACACCCGGTTTTGCTTTGTTTCAGACAAGAGACCCATGTTTGAGCTAATGGTAGTTTATGCGTCTCGCAAGCACATCTCAAGAGGTTTCTGATTTCAGGTAATGCAGCTTGGTAGGAGAAGTCAGGTCCCTGATTTAAGTAATATTTTTGGTTTCTTGTTTAAGTAATCGAAACTAGATAAACAATACCGAGAAATCAAGAACTTTAACCTTAAGAGAAGGCGAGATCGGAACTTGTGTGCTCCTAAGATCAACTGCCTGTGAAAAAAGAGACAATCTTTATGTGAAATTATTCCTAGGCAGCGTATATAAAGTCAGAGGAGACAAAACAAAATAACAAAACCTGAAGAGCTCTGCAGATGCTTTCAAGCTCAGGGCTCAGTTTAACCATTTGTGTGGTCATTACAACCTCAATAACACCTAAGCAAATCTTACTACCTTGTTCAAACACAGGAATAGCTAGTGTGCCTCGGACATCGCAGTCTTGAGCATGTTGGACTCTCGGATACTCCTCGTTCTTGAAAAACCTCACATCAGGAGTCCATTCAGGAACCTGCCCCAAGAAAACTCTTCCAGGCAAACCAACCAAGTCCTTGGAGTTGGAATTTGAATCCTCCTGTTCAGTAGAGAAGTGATAATTCACAGAGATCTCTCTGTAATGAGCCAATCTTTGGCACATTGGGTCATGGCTAAAAGGTTGTTCCTTTGTGGTTAAAACTCGCTTACCGCCTCTATCCACAGGCACCCACAACTGTATAAGAGAGCCTCTCTCACTTGTGAAATCTTTGATGTGTTTCACTGCTTGAACCAATCTCTCCATAACCGAAGAGCCATGACCAGTTGGTCCAATCCACCACCTTCTGTTAAGGCTAGATAGATCCTTCCCTTGTTGATGATGGTCCTCAAGACTCGATCTTTCTGCACAATCCTGACCGTACATCTGTGATAAGCTAGACGAACAGATTGCTGTGTCTTGCGTTGGAGACCACATGAGGGAAGAAGGATCAAAAGGTGTTACGGAGGTTGATGGACTAAAATGAAGAAATTCTGATGCATCTGTTGTCTCTAACCAGCAACCATCTAGAAGTAATCCATCCATGAACGAAGAATCCATAGCCGAATCCATTGGAAGAGAATTGTTTTCCATTTTCTCAAATCAGTGAAGCAACATCTGTAAAAAACGAAGCATCCATTTCAACAACTTTTCAAAGATAATTAGACCCCCAGAAAGAAGAAGTGGATTTTTTTTTTTCACTTCATTTTACATTTCAGAAGTTGACAGAAATTCTGAATCTTTCACCAAACCCCCAACAAAAGTAAAATGAACAATAACAGAAACCCATCTAAGGAGGAGAATCAAATCAAACGAAAATCTTGTAAATAGAAAAGAAATGAGAATCAAGAGTGAAAAGCCCCAACTTTTATTTTGTTGTTTGATTCCTACAAGTTGGTTAAACTATACCCTAATCCCTTGTGGGTTAAGATATGCTGATTTAACTTCAATGGAAGAAGAATTATTTTAAGAAAAAAGTCTAGCACTAATCTGATTCCTTCTTAACAAAAAAAGAAAAGAAAAGAAAAGATGAGAGCTTTGAGGTTTAGAAATGAAAACAAAAATAGAAACGAAAGAAACTCACAAAGACGTCAGATTCTCGGAAGATTCCTGGAGTAGGTTTAAATGTTTATGCTTTTTAATTGAAGAATCTTGAACTGTCCCAAAAGACCACTTGTCTAAGAGACAGGAGAAACAGTTGAAACACCCAAATCTGAGGGAAAAGAAAGCTGTAAAGATGTCTTTGATGGGGTATGTCCCTCGTGAACAAGTAGTGACTACCTCTTCCACGGAAATTTAGAAGATGAAAAAAAATAATCATATTTGGGGCATCGTTATCTCATAAATGCATTGGGAAAAAAAGACCCATCCAATTTTTTTCTTTTATATATATATATATATATATCTATTTTATTATTTTAATTTTTGGTATCTTCACAAGTATTTCACAACAGAGCATGACTTCTCTCTCTTTCTCTCACTTCCAGGCTGCGTGGGTGTTGAGAAAGAGATACCGAAGATTCCCCATATTCTAGAGAGAGAGAGAGAGGGAGTCAAAAATATTAAAAGTTTTTGAGAAATTTCATGTCTTGGGCAGTGAATTTCTCTTCATGTAGTCTTGATATAAAAAGATTAAAAATATATTTCTATGCAAGAAGTCAACTTTTTCAGCCAATATTGAGAGAGGACCAGCAATTCGCATTACTGATCATATCTATATTTTAAAGTTGTGATTTGGAATCTGCATACTCATAAATTATTAGGTAAAGTTTTTTAGAGCAAATAAATAAGGGAATAAATAGAGTTGACATTTAATGAGATATAGCAAAAAAAACAAAAAACTATGAATAATTAGTTGAATTTTCGCCGCTGACTTTGTTATTTACATATTTTTTAATTCGAGAGATCATATCATAAATCCAACAAAATTGGAGAAAAGGGATGTCTATAAAACGATTCGTCCCTGATATTTTCCGCATTGTTTACAAGATCATCTCATTATTCTTGAACAGTTCTTGTGGTGATTTCGTCTTATATTTTGCTATTGGAGGAGGAATAAATTAGAGAGTACTGAGTTAAAGGAATACATTACAGAGAGGTTCTTCCATGTGTACACCCTCGAAATAAAGATTCTAAAAGCAAAGCTAAAGAGAAGTATCAGGTATTTAGTATTACTTAAAAGTTTAAACAAAAAATAAATACAAAAGTAATTAATAATTGATGGAGCAAGTTGGAATGTAAAAAAAACACAAGTGGGGAGCAGGTTTTGCTTTTCCCTGATGGGTAAAAAATAAAATAAATACGAATACTATTATCTAGTTTGTCCTTTTAGTCAGCATTTGTTCTATTGGATTAGAGGACATTTTGTAGTTGAAATGGAGGGCGATGTGTGTCCCACTCAGCCTTGTGGAGATGTGCGAAACAATTATGTTTCCTTGCTAAAATCATTCACATATAGAGCTAAGATGTTGAAAATATATCATTGAATTTTAAATTAAGAAACACATAGAGCCGTAAACCAATTGTCACCCTGACTAATGGCGCGAGTTCTTGGATCATTATAAGGTCGAAAATATCATTTAAAAGTTGTGAAAGAAACGAGTGTTCATAATCATTATCGACAAATACCCAAAATAACTAAATAAGTAGTGGACGAGTAGCTTCCCTCCACTTGGGGTTTTGTCCTAAAACTCCCACTTAAGGGCAGAGAGGCTTATATGTCACTCCCACTTTAATTACATACTTTGACTTCAACTAATTAGACTTTTTAAACGTTTCTCCAATTACATAATTTGCATCGTTAAACTCATGAGATTATTTTTCCTAGCTCTTAATTATATTTGACTATGAAACAATCGTTTTTTCCAACCACTAACCACCAACATACTTTAGAAAAGAGTGTTTTCACGATCATTGATCTCTGGTTATAAATACTTCTATATATATAAAATCCAAATCACATTTAAGCATGTACTATAACTACGTAAGGATTTTAATGGTTAAATTTATGGATAAAAAGTGTGGTTTTGCGTGGTTGAGATTATTTGATTATTTTTGTTTTTGCTTCAGATGATGTTTTACGTTGCAACTTGCATATGCGAAGATGCAAAATGCGTCTCACTTTTTGTTCTCTCCTTAGAAAAATATTATTTACCATCTCTTAACGATGTATATTTGTTTGTCGCCTTGTCGGCTATCTATTTATTTGCTTTCTTAAGGGAAATGGATTCAGAAGCCCTTTTTTGGGTGAAAAATAGCAGCTTCAACATAAAATAAGAGAATGGGTAAGTTTATATATGACTGAAAACTGAAAGGAACAACAAACGATGACATACACATGTATGGAAGAAGATTCCGATTTGTATATAAAATCAAAGTTAGTCTTCTTGCTAAGGGAATCTCTAGCAAATTAGCAATCAACTTCTATTGTTTTTTTTTTTTTAATTAAAAAATCTTAAAAGTGGTCGAACATGTCGCCATAGTTTAAGTAATGAGTTTCCATTTTTGCTGAAAACATTAGTAGGTGAGAACCTATGGGCTATGGTTAATCAAATCCAAACCGAAAACTGCCACAAACCACAATAAAATAAATCTGAAATCTATTAAAAATCTGAACCGGAAACCAAAGTAGCACCCCATAGTTTAAGTTGAATACAAGATGCTTGACAGATAATTAATTTGACAAAAATATCATATAAAGTTTTCCTTCATATGTAATCAAAGCGAAGCCAACTTGATTTAGGCATCATGAAATTGAATTTTCCCAAACACAGATCTCTTTGTTAACTGACTGTACGTGTAAGCGAATATTATATTACAGACTACACTAATAATTATTAAACAATGGGTTGATGCGCAGAGCTTATAACACACAAGACATAAGAGATAAGAGCCTATCACAAACACAGAGAGCAACAACACATAGAAGCAACCAAAATTTTAACTGAAGATCAGGTTTAGGGATTAACCACCAAACGATAATGGCGTTTGATCAGAGGATCAGTTTCATGCTGTCGTAATTATCTTCAGATGGTCGGCCTCACGTTGAGACGGCTCGCCAAGAGATTGACCAGCATGTAGTAATAGAACGAAATGACAATTTATCACAATTTATATTCAGACTTAAGAGATATCAAATACTATTAACAAATTTATGATAAAGTCGTTGACCTAAGACCAGTAAGAGATCCAGATGCTTTGGATCTCGTGGGATGACACGAGACTCTAATTGTTTTAACATTTTGAGAGTTGTCAAGATATTTCGATCCAGTGTTCTCACACACACAAAAAGAAAAAAGATAATTCGATCCATAGTTTAGTTACCTCCTCATCCATGTGCATGATTTATAAAACCCGAGTAGTTGATGCCAAGGAATTAGAAAGAGTTCATAAATGTAACAATTCTATCTGACCAACAGAACATATTGTAATATTTCAAATCTTAATGGTGGAATCAAAAGGGCCCAAAATCTAATAAAGTGAAAAAAGTATATGATATTATTCGTATAAATTTCTTCTCTTCGATTAAATTTCTTCCTTGCTTAAACTTTAAATACCGACTTAATTGCATTTATCAAAGAATGTTGATGAAGTTACAGATAATACGTATACACAAATAATACCTGCAACGATAATATTGAAAATACAGTACATATACAAAAGCCTTTTCTATGCTTAAGCCTAAAAATAGCTTCACGGTGAGATCTTAGTGTTTCTTTCGCCAACTGGTTCATCTTCTTCACTCTGCGACGCGCTCTCAGTCTCACTCTCTCCAATCCCAAAGAGGTAACCTTCTTCGATTTTCCTCGTAGCCAATTGTGTCGATCTCAAAATAGAGAGATTCATTAACCTAAATGTTCTATTGTAGAAACTTCGCCTAGATCTAATCGTAATTATTCAGGATCTACTTGTTTGATCTGTTTGATCGTCGGAAACCCTAATTTCGGCCTTCTTGTGGAGTCACTGAGCTTGCACACTCTCTGAAACCGGCTCTAATTAGAAGCAATTTCGAGTTTCAAGTCGAAGCTATGAGTAACTGAGTGTTAATCTTAGGATCCACCGACATCAGATCTTTCTCTGATTTCGTTCGAGAGATGCCGAACGATGAGGAAAACGGAACTTCAATCGAAGCTCAGATTGTTCCAGAAACCAGCCAAGAGACTTGGTCTAGCGTTTTGCTTCGTCAAGCTTCCGTCTATGGTGTAGCTGCAGGGTATTGCATCTCAGCTTCTCTTCTCTCGATCATCAACAAATGGGCAATCATGAAATTCCCTTACCCTGGCGCATTAACCGCTATGCAGTACTTCACAAGTGCAGCTGGTGTTTTGTTCTGTGCTCAGCTGAAGCTAATCGAGCATGATTCTCTGAATCTCTTAACCATGTGGCGGTTTCTTCCCGCAGCGATGATCTTCTACTTGTCTCTGTTCACTAACAGCGAGCTTCTCCTCCACGCCAATGTCGACACTTTCATCGTCTTTCGCTCTGCTGTTCCCATTTTTGTTGCGATTGGGGAAACGCTTTTCTTGCACCAGCCATGGCCATCTGTTAAAACGTGGGGATCTCTCGCTACCATATTTGGTGGAAGTTTGCTCTATGTTTTCACGGATTACCAGTTCACAATCGCTGCTTATAGCTGGGCTCTCGCGTATCTGGTGAGTATGACCATAGACTTTGTTTACATCAAGCATGTGGTTATGACGATTGGACTTAACACATGGGGTCTTGTTCTCTACAATAACCTCGAGGCTCTGCTTTTGTTTCCACTTGAGCTGCTTATTATGGGAGAGTTAAAGAAGATTAAGCATGAAATCACTGATGAGTCTGATTGGTACTCGTTTCAAGTGCTTTTACCTGTCGGTTTATCGTGTCTGTTCGGTTTGGCCATCTCTTTCTTCGGGTTCTCTTGTCGCCGAGCCATTTCTGCGACGGGATTCACTGTTCTTGGGATTGTGAACAAGCTATTGACGGTTGTGATCAATTTGATTGTATGGGATAAACATTCGACGTTTGTTGGAACTTTGGGACTATTGATTTGTATGTTTGGTGGAGTCATGTATCAGCAGTCTACCATCAAGAAACCGAATGCTGCGCAAGACGCTAAACCGCAAGAGCAGGACGAGGAACAAGAGAAACTTCTAGAGATGCAGGAAAACAAGGAGAGTAACAGCATCGACATAAAAGAAGCTCCGAAATCAGAAGATAAACTATGATCATAGTGAAGATGGTAAACAGATTCATCTCAGTCGGTGGAAAGATAGCTGGAGGGTAAATTGCTAAGACGGTGAGTTTGTTCCCTACTGATACGATTTATTTTTTTGAGTAAAGAACTATATTGTAGTCTAGTAGTGATGCAATTCTTTTGTAACTAGGAAGGTCAGAGTACGGCGTATTCGTTGTTAGATGAGACGAACCTGATCCGGTAGTGAAATAATATTGTTTTCTTGTTTACTTTGATGTCATTAAAGATTTTTTAAATTCACAACGTGATGATTGTTTGCACGCATTTGTTTAGATTTTCTATTTTTTTGGGGGGGGGGGGGGAATCTGATTCGGATTCCTATTCGAGTTCAAATACATTCTCGCTCTCTTTATGTTGAGAACTCAGCTCAAGTAAAAATTACATCAGTATCATCAGAAAGATTTGCGTTTTAGCCATTGCGAGTTACCTTTTTTAACATCACTTAAAAGTGGAATACAGAGTTCAAGACTAGTTGTTTTCGATTATTTAGCCCAAAAATGTTAAGTATAACATAAAAATTCGTCAACAGCAGGGTTCGAACCTGCGCGGGCGAAGCCCAACAGATTTCAAGTCTGTCTCCTTAACCACTCGGACATATTGACAACGTTGCAAAGGACTGAAATATATTAATTATAATCTTATTAGCGTAAAAATACTTAGGAAGAGTCATGTTAATACATCTTTGATCTTTCGTAGATTATCAAGATTGCAGTCATTGAAGATTAGTTGAATTGTAGCAGTCATATAATGGAGATGAATCCATTAAAAAAAATACATCTAATTTGTTTATCAATAAAAAAAACATAAAAAAAAACAAAGGATGTGTCTATATGTTGAATTTTATAGATGTGAATCACATCATGTGATTTATATAATCTTGTTATCAAGTAATTTGATATTTAGCCATTTCTCATCTATTTAAAAATATTTTCAGTTTAAGAAAATTGTCAAAACTACAAAAGGAAATCTCAAAGACTCAAAAAAAAAAAAACAAGGAGTAAAAAAGTGTCGAAAACATTTGCCAACTTGTTTAATTAAAGCAAAATGATAAAGAAACATACTTTCAAAGATTCGAACTTAGGACCCAGATGTAAAGAAAAAAAAAAAGAAGTTCTAGGCGATTCACAAATTGGCCCCAACAAATTTTTGAACTTATCGGCTCCCAAGCATATGCTTCATGAGCTTCTGGCCAGGCCCGGCTCTGCATGTATGTTAGGTTCAGGTCCAATCTGCTTCGATGTGGAACCGTATTGATTTTCTTCTTGGACAGGTTCTCCACACATGGCGGGATGTTCGATGGTATTTAGCTTTATAGCACATTGCTTAAAAGCTTCTTTCATTGCAAACATGGCGACGTCATAGCTTTCTTGGGAAAGAGATCCTTCCTCTCCCAATATAATGGCTCGCCGGCAAAGATCATTAAAACGACGGATATTAGACTGCACAAGTTCAAGGTTTCCGCTGATCTGATGTCTGTTTCTAGCTGCATTCGTCCATCTTTGCAACACATAGTTTATTGGAATGGTGAAAACACCCGACATTTGGAGAACAACAATTGCGTGTCTACAGAGATACCCCTTGTACTCAAAGCAACGACAAGAGCAGTGTATATCTGTCTTCGATTCATTCCAATCCACCAAATATTTCTGATCGTCTTCAAAGTCCTTAACACTGTATGTTGTTCCTTCCTCGCTCTCCTTAGTAAGGTGACAAGCCGCAGCACCCAAAACCTCGACTGGAACTTCCTAAATATTTCATGCGTGTAAACAAGTAACATCTGCTTCTCAAAAGGTGATGGAGATTTCAACTCAGGTGCTTCATGCCATGCATCAAAATCTGCTTTGGCTTCTTCTTCATACCTATCTTCTAGCATTAACCCATATCCTTCTAAGAACTCTTTAAGTGAAGTTTCAGCTTGAACATACCTATCAAACAAAGAGTTTACGCTTTCTGAACGATTACGAGTTGATAACCCAGCAAATGTTACTCCCCTCATAAAAGTAGGTGCCCAGAAGTTACGTTCCTCATACAGAGACCTCATCCACTGAACATCTCTGAGATGAAACTTGTCTATCAATTTCAACCACCTCTTATCGAACTCCTCCTCAGACCATGACCTGTATATACATTTGAACAACTTCTTCATGAAAGTGTCTTGCCACATGCTCCAGTAGTCCAGATTCCGTGGAAGCCGGTCAAGTACATGCCACAAGCAATAGCAATGGCGAGTTTCCGGTAAGACCGCCGCGATTGCTGCTTTAATGGAATTATTTTGATCAGAAAGCATTACTTTTGGTGTTGAACCACCCATTGCAAGTAACCAAGATTGCATCAACCAGACGTAAGTGTAGACTGTATCATCTGCAATCAATCCACATCCAAGCAACACAGGTTGTACATGGTGATTGACTCCAACAAAAAGAACAAGCGGTAGTTTATATTTACTCACCAAGTAAGTTGTATCGAATGAAACCACATCACTGAAACTTTTGTAATCTTCAATCCCTTTAGCATCAACCCAGAAAACATTTCTCAGAAGATGATCTTCACTGAAATCAACTGCGAAAAAGAACTTTGGATTCTCTTCCTGCAAACGCATGAGAAACTCAAGTAGGATTTGAGCATCACCATTGCCAATAACTAGACGACGACCTTTATCATGCTGATTCCTCATATAACCATCTAGAAATCCAAGGTCGTGATAAGCACTGAGATGTTTACAAGCAGCCAAAGGATTGTTCTTCTTTCGCCTGAGACGAGAATCGGGATTCACAGGCTCTGTGTTTCTATGGCTCCGGAAAAAATGGGCTTGCTCTGGTAAAAGCTCGTGGTTGTGCTCTTTCACGAAACTGTAAACGTACCATTTCCCATCTGGTCTTCGCTTTACATGCATGCTCGCTTTGCAGCCGATTTTAGGGGAAGCTCTAGGGTTAATCGCATCATCAGACTGTTGCTTGCTCCCATAGCGTATGCAAGAGAATTTGGCATCGATGAATTCCTTTGAAGCTCTTGATCTTCGACTGCTCAATTTTGCAGTTCCGAAACCAACTGATTTCGCGTAATCTTTGTAAAACAAATACGCATCTTCGTGAGTGTCGAACTCCATTGGAGAGACCCCAGGCTCGAATCCACACCAAAATTCGATACAGATCGGTGGCTACAACAAGCGAAACAGATTGAATAACATAGATCAAGAATCACGGAACCGATTCATCTTCACCAAAATGGTTTTAGAAAAGTCTGAAGCAACTCAGAGACAGTACGAAGGAGGAAAGTAAAAAACATTTGAGAGAAGCTGGGAAAGACTTGAAATCTATCTGGCAACAATTGGGCCCTATCTATCTTGAGAGCCTCCGAAATGAGATTTTGGGCCCTATTGGGCTTTCTTCTCAGTCTATATTAAACGGGCTTTCTTGGCAACAAAAACAAGGTAATGAATGCATACCCAAGGAAAAATAAGCTGTTGGAGGAAAATGTTTTGAAGAGAAAATCCATTGATTTCCAAATGAAAATCTTACATGTGGATTTTAAATATTACTGTACATGTAAGTTTGAGGAAAAAATGTATTTTAACTTGGAACAAATTCATTAAAATCCACAACAATTTCAAGAATGTTTTTTAACTTGGAACAAATTCATTAAAATCCACAACAATTTCAAGTCTGTATGTAATTACTTAATACTCCCTCTGTTCAGAATTATTTGATGTTTTAGAAGGTTTTTTTTGTTCAGAATTATTTGATATTCTCACTTTTCAATGCAAAATTTAATGAATTTTTATAGTTTTTGACCTTTTATATTCTGCAGATTGTTTTTTTATTGGTTGAATGATATTTAAATGAATTATAAATAATATTTTTAGTATAGGAAAAATAAAATTAAATGAATCCTTAAACTGTGTGCAAAAACCTTAAACATCAAATAATTCTGAACAGAGGGAGTATTGAATAATGTTTAATTTTAATGAGGATTCAAGGTCAATAACATCAATTTTCGATAAAATTTTTAAGATCAATGATCCAATAAAATCTGATTTTGTTTGAATTTCCAAATGAATCAAAATCTTTTTTTTTTTTTGAACAGCGAATCAAAATCTTTAAATTAATAAAACTGTAAAGAGAAAAAGGCAAAAAAAAAAAGGTTAAGAGCCGTTAACATATTTTTTTTGTTTATTTCTTCCAAGTCATATGTTATCTTGGTTACAATGATTCATAATATAATTTATGAATTTAAATGAAACGAGGGATTGGTTAAGTATTGATGAGTTTGATAGTTAAAAGATGGGAGGAAATTAATTATGAGGCGGTTGGTGGTCGGCGACATTGGAATACATGGACCATTGGACCGCTGGATGTGGAAGAGGTAATAATAATAAGGAAGAAAAATAACAAGCCGAGAATTTGAAAACGCACATGCCACATGGTATAAAAAATATAGCCGTTGAGTTCTGGATTCCAAAAGAAGGCGAGCTTTTTTCATCAGGGTTTATTGAGTATGCATCCAACGGCTCAGATTAACTAGCCGTTTATCTTAAAATAAAAAAGGAAAAAACAATTCGTTAGAAAAACAACAATTTTGTGTTACGGACATATATCCGCTCTTCACGTCTTCAAATCTTGATACAGTCCCATTAAACCCTTTTTTTCTTTTTCTTTTTTTTTCAATTTTGTTTCCGTTGTGAGAGAAAGAAGATTAAGAGGGACTCTTGAACACCATTGAAGAGAAACGAAAGAGAGCGAGAGAGGGATCGATTTTGTTTACTGTTAATGGAGTTTGCTGCTGAGAGATAAGGAGATAGAGAGATAGAGAGAGAGAGAGAGAGAGAGAGAGAGAGAGAGAGTCTATTCATTCGAGTTTTCAGGGATCGTTGAAAGCTAAAGGTAAGAACTTTCTTCTTGATCGGGTTCTTTTTTAGATTCATCAATCGAACCCAAGACACAATTTTTAATTTCGATTATTAAGATGGAGTTGTTTGGATTTTACTTGGGTTTAAATACATATTTCTGCGATTTGCACAGATACTAGAAATAATAATGGGTGGATCAGATGAGAACAAACACGGAGTTATTGGACCGATGAATCGACAAGGTATCATCTAAACAAGCACTTCACAGAGTTTTAATCGAAACCCATCTTTTTTTGTTTTGTTTTGGCTCGTTGTTGATTTTACTAAATTGATTTTTTGCAAAAGAGGGTTTACGTGGAGGAAAGGTAATTCCGACGAATGGGCCGACACGAAGAGCACTCAGTAATATAAACAAGAACATCATCGGAGCTCCGGTTTATCCTTGTGCTGTCAACAAGAGACCATTCACCGGGTAATTTATTAACTTCCTCTTCTTCCAATGAGTATTTATACCCTTTTTAACAACAAATTTGTACTCAGAGATCCTAAAGAACTAGTTTTTGTCTTTATAGGGAAAATGGGATATGTCAGAAGAAGATCCCAACTGTTCCTGTGCATCGACCAATTACTAGGTCAGTAATTTCCATCGAATCTTCACTTCTTTTATGCCTTTCAGTGCCACAATTGTATGACGATGAGTATGTTTACTTTTGGATGTTTTTAATTCTTGATTTGGTTTCAGGAAGTTTGCTGCTCAGTTAGCTGAAAGCAATCCCCAAATCCAGAAGGAGGTACCTTTTATATTGACAGCTATTGAATTTTGGTATTTGAAAATATGACATACAGTTTTGGTTTAACCTCTATTTGTTTTGTTATTTCTTTATGATTAGGAAACCAAGAAATCAGACTCGATTTCGAACGCACCTTCAGACAGAATCATAATAGATGGGGAAAAAGATGGGGACTTTAATGAGCCAATGTTTGTCCAGCACACTGAAGCCATGCTTGAGGAAATCGACAGAATGGTAACAATTATGTTATAACAAAACCCTCTTTTTTGGTCTGATGTGAATAGCTTTACTTGGATGATAAACGTGTTGTGTTCTTTTGTACAGGAGGGTATTGAAATGGAAGATTCGAATGATATTGATGATGAAATCGAAGAATGTGTGATGGATATAGATAGCTGCGACAAGAATAATCCTTTAACAGTGGTCGAATATATTGATGACATTTACAACTTCTACAAGAAAAATGAGGTAGTTTATGGTGTTCTGTGTTCTGTATCAGTGATCATTCTAGTTTCAAAATCTTTGATAGTGAGTGATTGAAGCCCATTCAATTATTTTTGCAGTGTCGTAGCTGCGTCCCTCCTAATTACATGGAGAATCAACCTGACATTAACGAGAGGATGAGAGGGATCCTTATTGATTGGTTGATTGAGGTTCGATACATAAAAAAAAATACACAAAAACACATAAATTGCTCTGATTTTGTTTGTTAGATATAGTTTTAGCAATTCACCATTGTTTGACTATGAATTTTATGACAGGTACATTACAAGTTTGAGCTTATGGAGGAGACGCTTTACCTAACAATCAATCTCATCGACAGATTTCTTGCGGTTCATCATCATATTGCAAGGAAAAGGCTTCAACTTGTGGGTGTTACAGCTATGTTGCTTGCTTGCAAGTATGAGGAAGTTTCAGTTCCAGTTGTAGATGATCTCATCCTGATCTCTGACAAGGCTTACACTAGACGAGAAGTTCTTGACATGGTAAATACTTCACTAGATGATATGATCATAACCCTGGATGCTCTATATATAGATGATCATTGTGTGATGGGTTTGATTTCTTGCAGGAGAAGTTAATGGCGAATACCTTGCAATTCAATTTCTATCTCCCAACTCCATATGTGTTCATGAGGAGGTTTCTCAAAGCTGCACAATCTGACAAAAAGGTTTGTATAAGTTTGGGTCATATCTTCTCACTTGTATAGAAAATATCAATCAGTATCGTAAGTTGTGAAATGTGAATTTTGTATTTTCAGGTAGAGCTTCTATCCTTCTTCATCATCGAGCTTTGCTTAGTGGAGTACGAGATGCTTCAGTACACTCCCTCTCAGTTAGCTGCTTCAGCGATCTACACTGCTCAATCCACGCTTAAAGGATTCGAGGCATGGAACAAAACCTGCGAGTTCTACACTGGCTACACCGAAGAGAAGCTTATGTAAGAACCTACCACGAACTTAAGAAGCTTTGAAAATCACAGTAGAGGTTCTGATTTTTTGTTTTGGTTTTGATGATGAAACTCACAGGGACTGTTCGAGAAAGATGGTTGGTTTGCATCACAAGGCAGGAACAGGGAAGTTAACAGGTGTTCACAGGAAATACAACACATCCAAATTTGGTTATGCTGCAAGAACTGAACCAGCTGGGTTTCTTCTGCTGTAATCCGAGTTTTAACACTGAAGAGAAGAAGAGAGGGAGAGAGAGAGAGAGAGCAACATAAGTTGCATAAGAATAAGTGCTTTGGTTTGTAGACATGATTGACTTTCACTTCGGGTTGACGTTGACTTATAATCCTTGACTTCTCTTGAAAAAGCATTAATGATAGAAGAACAATTGAGTAATAATACTAAATATCTCACCCACAATATTTTTAATTTAAAAACGAAAAGAAAAATGCGTATTGGTGATTTTGTAGCTAAGTGTGTTTATTTGTCAGTATGCTGCATTTTATCGTCAACCCTTGAGATAGAAAGTGCGTATAAACCAAAGTTTTGTATATGTTTATATAATAATGAAACTAAACCGATTTAACCTTCGTCTTATTACTCGTATTGCTAAGACATTAGCTCTTTTGTTAAATGGTGAAGCAAGAATGATGATAACAACAGGACTCACCCCTTTCAAAACGTGCTGGTCATGTAAGCGGAAGCCATTTGGGTCGTTGTCCACCAAACCATGAACAACCTATGCCGAATGTTACATCTCCTAGAACTCGAGTCTTCTCAGTTTGATTCGACATCTAAGTCATTATAGCAGAATGAATAAAATCGTTAATAGGAACTTTTATATTGAAACCATCAGATGACTACAAAGAAGAATTAAAACCATTATAGAAATTTGTATAGTGCTCTGTACTACAAGAAGTGGGAATTATCAAAACGACCATGTGAAGAAAACATGGCAATATTTCGAACATCTTAGAAACCCAAAACACAGAAATAATCCCTCTTTCTCCCTCTCTCTGTATCCCCTGCCTGTCTCCTTGTTAGAGATTTGACTTGCTTTGTACCCTAACTTTGCATAAATGACAAGCTGAAGATGGCGGATTCTCCTCGAAGCTACTATCTCCTCACAGGTGGCAAGGCTCCTCTTCCTCCTGTTCCACGTCCAGTACCCTGAGCCTTTATGACATCACCAAAATTCAATTAGTTTCCTCTAAACTCTTATCATTGTCTTCTTGAGCAGTAAATCAGAAACAGAGAGGACTTAAGCGAGGGGTGAAATTACTTTGGCTCGCATGGCAACAGCTCTACCTCTGCCTACACCTAGTGACGAGCTCTTTCCCTGCATTGACCAAGTGAACAAAATGTTATCATCTTCCACGGTTATAAATCATATATGGGTTTAGTTAATGATCTCTCATATCATTCTGCACCGCATTCAAGAAGTATACCTTGATTTTAGCATCTAATTTCTTGAACATTGGAGCATTCTTCAGCATGTCTGGTATGACTATAAACCTGTCAAGATTTCACCAAAAGTCACTATTCAGTCAACTAGGTTAACAAGAATGGTCTAGCAAAGTAAATAAGTAGGAAAGAAGCAGATATCAAAACGGATTTTATATAGCACCTCACTTTGCTGCCTCGAATGAAGACATGCTCAAGCTGCGATACCTTACCATCCTGTTCCAGGGTATCGGGAACAACCCAAACAAAAGTTCAGTAACAACCATTAAAATGACATTACGTTCTATTTAAAAAATACGGATCCGAAAGAGAACATATCCGCAGAGATATCAGCAACACTTCAAGATTAGACATACACAATCTTGAAATTTATGAATTCAGAAACTCGGACGATTTCCTTCCAAATATCTACAAGTTCTACTCAAACCATATCATTGGCGAATGCAAGCAATTTATCTTTCAGGCATCATGATTCTTAATAGTACAGATTATAAATGTTGGATGTGAAAACATCTGCACGAACAGCATAACCTTCCTTCTCTACAACTAACATATGCAAGGTCCTAACCCAATCTATCTGAAGAGCAACAAACTGACATAGGTTTTTTTAGATATTACTTCTGGGATCACTATTTTAGGATTTCTACTGGCAAGAATCTCACCAGGATTCTCAATTCTCACCGAATATAGAACTGTTTTCAACAATCCAAAAAAGAGGCAAAATCTAAGCCGAGTACGTTTCTAATTCTTGCCAAATCTAGGAATATCAAAGCATTCTCCATCAGCAATGGACGAGAAACAAAACCTAGGGTTCGCGAAGTACGTCAACGAAAGTAAAGGAAATGAACAGAGAAATCTACACATTACCTTGGCGGTATAAGTGATGTTCTCGAGCTGACAGTTCCAGTTATCCTCACACTCGAGCATGCTTCCTCGGTACAGCTCACCGCTCTTCAGCTCCACAGTCACAATATGACCGGACGACTCGTGAAGAAGCTTCACTGGTATCCCCAAACTCCGGCTCATATCTTCCCGGTGATATTTCTCGCGGTTTTCAAAGAAATTCCGATTCACAAACCCTAATTGAGCCTTCTACTTTCTTTTCTCTGCAACCTAAGAAAAAAAAGATATATGACCGAAGGAAGAAGAGCGTTTTTCAGCTGTTTAGGATCTGTAACTTTTTTAGCTTTGTTACTTAAAGTTACTTTATGGGCCCAAATATAGTTTGGATCGGCCCACTTATTTATTAAACCCACTACAAATATGAAAAGCTCCTCTAAACTTTTATGGCCTCCCACAGTCAATTTTATCTTCCCAGATCATCTTGCATTTTACTTCTTTTTTTGTTAGGTCTATTATATATTGTCATAACGAAGATTCTGAAGGTGTTCAGATTTAATTAACCAAATCCACAGTATCTAGTTGTGGTAGTTCTCTCCGATTCTCTGACAATGCATGGCAAGCAGGCAAGACACCAATCTTCTTTACAGATCCTGATTGATGACCAATTTGGCTACTAGTGACCATAATTAATAAAAAGATTCTATATAAGTAGATAACTAGGAACGTTAAAATAAAAAGAAAAAAAAGTTTGCCTATAAATAGATACAAGTTAACACCATAAACTAGCTAATTAATCAACTATTCTATGGTTTTAGTAGCTAAACAAGCATAGACAAACATGGAAGGAACAATCCGGTGCTCGGCTAACTACGTCCCGCTTTCTCCGATCAGCTTTCTCGACAGAGCCGCCGTAGTCTTCGGCGGCAGAACCTCCGTCGTGTATGGTGATCTTCAGTACACGTGGCACCAGACACGTGACCGTTGCATCCGCCTCGCCTCTGCGCTCTCCACCAACCTCTGTCTCTCCCGCCACGACGTGGTAAGTGGTTTTATCATAATTTTTCAAAAGATTTTACATTTATAAAACAAATTTTTCAAAAAATTACGAAGTATGTAGGTGGCTGCTTTGGCGCCAAATGTCCCGGCGTTATGTGAGCTGCATTTTGGAGCTCCGATGGCTGGAGCAGTGCTTTGCGTGTTGAACACGCACTTCGACTCTCAAATGCTTGCGTCTGCGCTCAAGAAAACGAAGCCAAAGGTCTTCTTCGTTGACTCTGAGTTTCTTTCCATCGCTGAAGAATCTCTCAATCTCCTCACCACCGAGGAACAACCTCTCATCATCACAATCACAGAAAATCCAACGGAGAAATCAAAACACATACAGTACGAGGGTTTTCTCTTCTCAGGAAACCCTAATTTCGAACCCGTACGACCTGTCGACGAATGCGATCCAATCGCGCTCAATTTCACATCCGGAACCACATCGACCCCAAAATGCGTCGTCTATAGCCACCGTGGCGCGTATCTGAACGCAACAGCGGTTGGTGTTATCAGCGAGATGAAACCAATGCCGGTTTATCTCTGGACCGTTCCGATGTACCATTGCAGCGGGTGGTGCTCTGTTTGGGCAGTCGCGGCTTTTGGAGGAGTCAACGTTTGTCTTAGGGAAGTCAACGATAGAGTTATATTTGATAGTGTCGTGAAGCACAAGGTAACTCACTTTGGTGGCTCGCCTGCGCTTCTCAACCTGATTGCCAATGCACCTGACTTGGTCAAGAAATATTTCCCATGGACCGTTCAGGTTATGACCGGAGGATCCTCACCACCTCCTGAGGTATAACTAATCAAGAGATTTCAAAAATAGAAAGTTTTCCCTAAATCTAAAGTTGATAGTATATATAATACTAAGTTATTTGGACGTGCAGATCATTTTGAGACTCAAGAAACTTGGATTCAACGTGTTGGCAGCTTACGGATGCACGGAAGTGTATGGAGCAGGAACGGCATGTTTATGGATGCCTGAATGGGAGACTCTGCCTGAGGAAGAGAGTTGGAGACTAAAGGCAAGACACGGCCTCAACCATTTTGCCATGGAGACCGTCGATGTGGTGGACACAACCACTATGATCTCGGTTCCACACGACGGAAAGACGATTGGGGAGATTGTTCTCCGGGGAAACACCGTCATGAGCGGTTACTTCAAGGACAAGGAAGCCACGGAGGCCGCTTTTCGAGGTGGATGGTTCTGGAGTCGCGACATGGGTGTAATAGATCCCGATGGGTAAGTATATTGTCATGTTTCATGAAGTTTTTAACTAAAATCATTTGGCAATGATCAAGGAAGTGACTCATTCTTGGATCAATGTCCTAACAACTATATATGTCCCTTATAAGTTATTCTAAGACACATTTTATATTTCAAATGTGGGAATCCTATCATATATATGTATATGGCTTTGTCTGATGATTATAAATGTTTTGTTCCACTTGCAAGATACATACATTTGAAAGATAGGTCACAGGATGTTATATCTTGCGGCGGAGAAATTGTGGGGTCCACGGAGATCGAAGGGCTTCTCTACAGTCACCCGGGGGTTTATGAGGCGGCGGTGGTTGGACGGCCTGACGAAGCTTTAGGAGAGTCGGTGTGTGCTTTCGTGAAGCTCAAGGAAGGAGTTGAAGCGAAAGAGGAAGAGATCATTGAGTTCTGTGAGAGAAATCTTGTGAACAAGAACATTAAGATGGTTCCAAAGACAGTAGTTTTCTCAGATCTTCCTAAGACTTCTACTGGGAAGACTCAGAAGAATGTTCTGAGAAAGATGGCTAAGGATATGGGCTATGTTCCAGCAAACGCTGTGGATTAATTATATCATATTAGTGAAATGGTGATATATCAACGCAACTACTAAAAAAAGTGAAAAGTACTATTTGTAAACAACTTGTATTCGTTGGACTTTAAATATGTAATTTTGATTTATATTGGAAACATAGTGAAGTTGCCTTTTCTTAATTGCCTCTTGACAGAAACAAAAAAAATAGTGGAAGAGATTAATGGCTAAAACTAGCAAATACATTAATTTTCTTGATGTTGCTTTTGTATTAAGATGATTATTAGTGTTATACATGTGCTGATTTGGAATATGTTTTGTGTATATATATATATATATATGTATTGTCAGAGATTCGAAATTTGGATTATCTTTCACAAGTTTCTGCTAACCTTAATCATAGTGTAAAGTTGAAACTGTAAGATATGAAGTAAATATTCAGCTTTAAGTAGTATTGAGAGAGAGAGAAAATCAAAATTGATTTGTTATACAAGATAGAGAAAAATGTTGTGAGATTTATCATTCTCCATGGTTGTTATTGTTGCAGACGCCCTTGTTTCTGATCAGCTATTACACTTAACCGGTCCAGATCAAACTAAATCGGAGATACATTGGAATGTCCATTCAGATGTGAATAGAACATGGAGAAAAAAAGAGAGTAAATGGGCCAACTGTGACGAATACGGCCCATTAACTGTTTATCCTGAAATGTTCGCATCTCTCCTGCAGATAGCTAGAAACAGAGAGCAAGAAATGAAAATTTCGCTTCGAGCCATACATAAGTAAAACATAACTGAGATGAGTTTTCGACAAATCGACGACAAGAGATGAAATATTCGCTTCTAGATGTCAAAATTTTCACCCTTTTCGTGTCGATCTCAAGGAATTGAAGTAAATAGATTGATAAACCTAATAGCTCCCGTTTCTAGTGTAGTTGGGATCTAATCGTTAAGTTTTGCTCTGTTGAGTTGATAGCTGTGAGGTAGAAACCCTATTTTTGGTGGACGTCAGAACCCAGCCAGGAAGCCATGTACAGAGCTGTGTAAGTTATTTGGCGAATTGGGTTTTTGTGCTGTATAATACTTTCTCTAAATGTTTATTGAGTTTTGCTATTTGATTGAGCAATGCAGGTGGCGTTCTCCATTGCGATTAATCGTGGGCTCGAAGTTAAGGTCGACCGTATCACGGGTTAGTTATCTGTTCCTTGTTTTGCTTGAAGATTTGTGAATGATTAGTGTTTGTTCAATTGGTTTCTGTTTTCTTTTTTTCCTGAAAAATTGTAATTTGATTAAATGAGAGTTTAACTTTAGGGACGGGGACGAAATGGAATTGATATCGGGGCTAGGTGTTCTTGTTCTCGTAATGTCACGACATTGATGGGTACGTTTTATTATCCTCCTTTTATGCCTCTCTCTCTATTGATGTATTGGTATTTACTTACTTCCTTGGATTCTGAAAGACTAGATTTTGTGACTTCAAAATGCATGCTTCCATACGCAGGTAATGACTTCATTCGATGCCAAGATGAGTCAACTAGGAAGATCTTGCAGGTGCAGATTGTCGATGCACTTCGTTCGGGAGAAAGGCATGGAGCGTCAGCTCTGCTTTTAAAGTTAATACAGGGAAATTATTCACTTAGTGCCGATGATTTTCATGGCATTCTAAAATATTGTGCACGGTCACCGGATGCTGTGGTAAGTTGATAAATGCAGAAGCAGCCGTGCTTAGGCTTGTCTTTTGGTGGATGATTAAACTCTCTTTGCACCTGTCTTAAATATGTTGCACAAAATTCGGAGTTATTCTAAGTTTTTGGTATTGCTGAGACGTACTTCTGTGATTAATTTCTCTTGATACAGTATTTTTGTTGTATCTGACCTCAAGGCAGTAATTTGTTCCTGTAGTTTGCCATGGAGACTTACAGTGTAATGTGTAAGAAGGAAATCAGTCTGGACAGCAGATCTTTGTTGTTCATAGTACAAGCCCTTTGTAATGGGGGACACTTGGATAAGGTATAGATATAGATTCCAATCAAATGTCTAGTATTTCCGTACATGATAAGTTTATCTATTTATTTCTCCGGTTATAATTGTTCAGGCGCTAGAGTTTATTCACGCTCTCGGAGAAAATGATAGTATCTCTCCTCTTTTGCCTGTGTATAACTATTTTCTTGGAGCCTGTGTAAAAACGAGAAGTGGGAATTACGCTAGTAAATGTCTGGAATTGATGGATGAACGGAGAGTGGGGAAGAATGAAATAACATATGCAGCACTTCTCAAGGTTAGTTAAGGATATATCTTACTTCAGTGCCTTTTTTTTTCAAGAGCTGTTCATATGCCAACTTTTGAATTTGAAGTGTAGGATATATGGAAAAACCATTTATTCGTTATTTTGTCCTAATTTCTGTCGTAGCATTTCTATCACTTAAGGATGCTTTTTTTTTTCATTCCTAGTGGTTCATTGCGTTGGTCTGCATAATTGATCATACTTTTCTTTGTTATCTGATTAATATTTTTTTCAGCTTGCAGTTTTTCAGCGCAATCTGTCATCTGTTAATGAAATATTGAAACACTATGTGGACCACTATAGTCTGAACATACTCTCACTGAGAAAATTCATATGGTCCTTTACGAGGTTGGGGGATTTGAAATCAGCATATGAATTATTGCAACACATGGTGGCTCTAGCGCTAAGAGGAGAGCTCTTTGTTAAATCTAATAGAGGAAAAATGCATTCCATGAGACTGGATATTCCTATACCATCAAGTGGTCAAACGGGATCAGAGAAAGTTCCTTTGGGAGTAAATGATCACACAGCTCCGCTAATGGTGGAAGCCCATGGAAATAACACTGTGGCTTTGCCGAAAGGTCACAACAAAATCCCTGCAACTAGAGTCCTCAGGTGGTCGTTCAATGATGTGATTCATGCATGTGGACAATCTAAAAACTCTGAGCTAGCGGAGCAGCTAATGCTGCAGGTATCTCCTACCAGTTTCCCATTTATCATTCCTCGTCCTTATCCATTCGCTGCTCACTGCACGTGACACTGTAGTGTTATGAGTAAAAAACCTATTTGGAAAAGTCGTAGAATACAGTTGCAGCATGAAAAAATCTTGATTGGGAATTTTGATATTTTTCTATGACCTTGATTGAAATTCTCAAGCTTTCATGAGCATTGATACCAGCTCTTTATTGATCTTGTTGGGCTGTCGAATTCTGTTATATAGCTGGCCTCTGGCCTCGTCTTTTCTCTGGTTCTGGTCCTGCTTTGTGGTGTTTGTGAAAATCCCATTTCTTACTCTCTTCTTATCTGCACTAATAGATGCAAAATCTTGGGCTTCAACCATCAAGCCACACATATGATGGTTTCATTAGAGCTGTAGCATTTCCAGAAGGATACGAATATGGCATGACACTGGTAAAGAGTTTATGTACTGTACAAGCCATCTCTTTCATAGATTCTTTCTTTTTGTTGTTCAACCTTTTTTTATAACGATTTTTCTATGTACTTCATATCTCTACGCAGTTGAAAGTAATGCAGCAGCAGAATCTGAAACCATATAATTCAACTCTTGCTACGGTTTCAGCCTATTGCAGCAAAGCCTTTCAAGTTGATTTAGCTGAACACCTGCTGGATCAAATTTCTGAATGCTCGTACGCATATCCTTACAATAACCTTCTTGCTGCGTATGACTCCTTGGTAAGTTATCTTTAATTTACATATCTGAAAGCCAGTTACCCTAGGTATCTCTTTTACCTTTCGGTGTTTGTTTATTTTATTACAAGTCTTTTTTCCTCCCAAAGCCTCAAGTATATGCTGATTCTAGATACCATAGAAATTCTACAAAACCATACTTATGATTATACTGCCACTCTAATCATAGGAAATGCTTGGAACAACGGGTTACTGTTCTTTTCTATTATTTCTTACTCAAAATATATGTCCAACAACAACATTGTTCTGCACTCAAAGTGGTTATCATGTTTTACTAGTCTTGTTATTATGATTTGCTGTATGTGTCCATATTTAGTATACAATTTTTTTCTGCTATTTTACGAAAGTCACTGTGAGGTTCAGTTTCTTACTAATGTTTTGTAGGATCAACCAGAGCGTGCTGTCCGAGTTTTGGCTAGAATGAAACAGCTAAAACTGCGTCCGGATATGAGGACGTATGAACTGCTCTTTTCATTATTTGGTAATGTGAATGCACCATATGAAGAGGGCAACATGCTATCCCAAGTAGACTGTTGTAAAAGGATTAACGCTATAGAAATGGACATGGTGAGAAATGGTTTTCAGCACAGCCCTATCTCAAGGCGGAATGTGGTTAGTGTGATGACTCAGATGTGATACTATTCAATTAAAAAGCAGCTGGAAAATCCCTTTCGAGGCGGTACTATCAATCTTTACATCGTTATTGTGTGTGTGTTATCCAGCTGAGAGCCCTCGGAGCTGAAGGTATGGTGAATGAGATGATCCGACACCTGCAAAGTGCTGAGAATATGTATCTAGATACGCCTACATACAACATAGTGCTTCATTCACTTCTTCAGGCAAATGAAGTAAGTTTTCATCGTCTAATAGCTCTTTTAAAGTTTTCATTGCAGCAGCGTACATATAGCGCTACAATATTTTCCGTTATTATTATTATTTGAAATGCAGATTAACATGGTGACCAAAATATTCAAACGTATGAGAGCATGTGGCTACCCTGCAGACGCTGCTACCTACACCATAATGATTGATTGTTGCGGCATTATTCGCTCTTATGAATCAGCCTGTGCTCTAGTTTCTCTGATGATCCGTGGCGGATTTTCTCCAAATGCGATTACGTTTACTGCTCTGATGAAGGTACTAACAGATTACAATTTTAAAAGTATTCAGTTCAAGATGAAGAGAATCCTATATTACACACGCGTGTGACAACCAAAAAAAGAAAAGGGTACACACATGCATATATATGTTCTTGAACAACTATTCACAATCAGAACTTCCAGTTTTTCGGTGGAATCTGGCTGCTTAGCGCTGCTCATTTTTTTGTTTCTGGATTACATACAGTGACTTCTATTAACTAAGCTTTGTGTTTATCTTAGATGTTGTTGAATAATGATAATTTCGAGGAGGCACTCAATCTCTTGGACCAAGCTGCATTGGAAGAGATACATCTCGATGTCTTATCATACAACACCATTTTGCGTAAAGCATTTGAGAAGGTAAAGACATTTGTCGTAAGAACGCTGAAAGTAGTGAAAGCGAATAAACTGATTAGTATACAATCTCTTTTCTCTTGCAGGGGATGATTGATGTGATTGAGTACATAGTGGAGCAAATGCACCGAGAGAACGTGAATCCAGATCCAACAACATGCCATTTTGTTTTCACTTGTTACGTGGAAAAAGGGTATCATACGACAGCAATGGAAGCGTTGAATGTCCTGAGCCTAAGAATGCTCAGCGATGAAGTCAAAGAGAGTCTTCAGGAGAAGAAAACAGAGCTTGAGGAAAACTTCGTCATGAGCGAAGATCCTGAAGCCGAAACAAAGATAATCGAGCTGTTCAGTAACTCTCAGGAGCATCTCGCAGCAGCGCTTCTGAATCTAAGATGGTGCTCGATGCTCGGGGCTCGGATTATATGGTCGGAAGAGCAAAGCTCATGGGCCAGAGGACTCTCCAACAAGTATGGTTAATAGGTAGAATGTAAGAGTGTTTCATTTTTCTTCATGAAAAAGCGGTTTTGGTCTTCTTTCTCTTCGCTGTTGATTCTCCGCCAATTTCTCTTTTTGTTTTGTTGTATCATATACAAATTTGTTACGGACGTCACCACTCACCAATCAACCAGTTAGGCGTTTACGAACCACCTAAGAAACAAAGGCGGTTTGAGTTTTTTCTCAACTATATTTTTAATTGTATAACCATCTTTTTACTGCTTTTTAACCGAGCTAAATTTTCAATAATTGGCATAGAAATTTCAGACTGCACCACTTAACAGTGATCTTAAGTCTAATCTTGTTGTCCTCAGTTATAATTGTATTTTGTAACTATGAACTTATTTTGTTTTCTTTTCACGTGTAGTTGTAATGTAAAGTTGGAGTTAAGATGTATAACTAGAGATCAATGTGAATGGTAATTTAGATGTGAAACCGTGTTGACTATGTAATACCCCCAGCTAATCATTTAGCTAGGTGCTCTCTTTTTAAAATTCGTTTTAATGGAAGTTGATTAGTTGAAGTGAGGCTAAAATAAGAAAAGATTATTAGTGTCTCTCATTTATAAAAAAAATAAAGAAAAAACATTGGCTTAGTGTGTGTAAAACAAGTAAAGAAAGGGTGTTAAGTGTTATATGCATATGATATCGAAACTTGATTCGCTTGAAACAAAGAAAGAATAATTACTGTGAAAACATAAAGGACAAATGAAAACGACAGAAACAAAAGTAATAATGTTACAACTTGCTCCTGTTTGCTTTTTGTATTTGCTCATCCAGTACAAAACTACAAAACCTTTGTCACTGATACATGACCCACCGATCCTTGGTTAGATGATCGATCACAAACCATGCTATACTGCTTTTGGTTTAGAATACCAACCCCAACCCATTTTGGGTATACTTCTTATATAAAATACTCAGTTATGTCAAGAAACCTTAGAAGATCTTTCAATTGATTGCTGGGGACATATACTTTTTGGGTATACTTCTTTGTGAAATGAAGATCTTAGAGTGTTATTGCTCGGATAACAATGTTTTCTTTAAGGAAATTTTCAGAACTAATGTTATTTATGCAAATATGATTCCCATAAAAGAAAAAGTTTAAACCCATTTTTAATCGAATATTTTAAAAAAACTTAAAAATCTTATTTGCATAACATTAGTTTGAAAATTAAAAAAAACGTATTAGTGTTGAGTCATGTCACAATTTGGAATCAAAACATGGGACTGAGAGTCTGAGAGTGCAAATTATAAAAAGAAAAGCTTGTATTAAGTTTTTACTTATTAAGTTTTTTTTTGTAATATATACATAGCGAACTTTAATCTAAAAAGTGACTATTTACGGATTTAAAACGAAAATCTGTACAGACATTAAGACATACGGTAATACTAATACCAGTTACTAAATCTCACTGATCATTTATACATTCAAATTTTGATATTTTAAATCAATATTTGTATTTTTTTTAAACTTCTATCTTATTATTAAACCGTGAATACAAAAATGTTTATAAGCCAGCTTGGTGGCAACATAAAATTAGAGTACACTGACATATATTCATGAGATTTTTTGCTAGTTGATCCGATCTGCTGCTTAAATAAATATTCATTAGTGGAGAAGTAAATATTCATTTATTTCCAGCCAAGTAAAAATTTATTTAACACGATATTCATTTATTACTAACTTTGTTTTAAAAAGTGTAAGACCGAAGAAGTATCTAGCTCTATAAACAAAACTCAATTTCTCAACTGGAACGGCGAATATGTGTCACTCGTGATCGAAAGCATGAATTGTGTGAGTCTGAAATAGTAACATTCTCAAACATGTTTTGATTCCAATCTCTCTCTCTCTCCCCTCTCTTCTCTCCTCTCTCTCTCTGGCTCAGAGCGGCGCGGTAGTTGCGCGGCGGCCGCCATGAGTCTCCAGCGGCGGCGCTACCCTTACTACAATCGTCTTCGCCGTCTTCTCCCTCTCGTTTTCGCCGTCTCCTTATCTCTCCTCATTCTCTTCGCTTTTCTCTCCTTCCTTGCTCCACCTCCTGGCGATTCCGATCGCCTTCCACCTCGCGTTCGCTACACATCCGTACTCTCTCTCTCTCTCTATCTCTATTTCTCGGTAAATCCGTTTCTAGAGATTTTGTTCGAGCTTTTGATCCGTCCTGATACGCTGTTTTTGTATTCGCTTTGACGGAGCAGATTAACATTGGAGCCAATGATGCGATCAAATCAGCTGGTTTTCGAGTTCCGGTTAGTGCTTTTGGATCTCTGTTGCGTCTTCATCAATGAGTTTTTTTTTTTTTTAATTTATTTTTTTCTGACCGACAGAGAATTGGAGGCAGATCAGATCGTGATATTTGGCGCTCACGAAATGCTGAATTCTTTTACGGATGCAGCAATGCGACCAGCAAATTCCCAAGTGCGTAAGACTTTATGTAAACTTTTCCTTCTATGTAAACATTGATATTCCGAAAGTATGAAACTTTGATTGGTTGTGAATCAGGCGTTGATTAGTGAATACTAAATCCGATTTCTTGTTTGCAGATGCGAAAGCAGTGACGAGAAATGATCGATACTTGGCAATCGCCACCAGTGGTGGTTTGAACCAACAACGAACTGGAGTGAGTTCCTTTTTTACTTCTCTTGGTTTAATACTTTTATCCCTCATGGATTATCACATTGGAGCTCTATACCAAATTTGTTGACTCGTAAATTAGCTAATGTTCCTCAGTTGCTCCTAATCTCTCTGTTTAGATCTACATCTTAATATATGGCAATTTGTGCTAAGCCGCTTACGAACTTTATCCATCTGCAGATTGTAGATGCAGTTGTTGCGGCAAGAATTCTAAATGCTACTCTTGTTGTTCCCAAGTTAGACCAGAAGTCTTACTGGAAGGATGCTAGGTTTGGCACAGAATAAACATACACTTTTTTATCTTCGAAACTAAAACCAAATGTTATGCGTCTTCGTAACTTTGTGTGCGTTTTTGTGCAGTGAGTTCTCTCATATTTTCGACGTTGATTGGTTTATGTCGTTTCTGTCGGAAGACGTTAGAATTATAAAGCAACTTCCACAGAAAGGAGGGCGTACATGGAGCCCAAGTAGAATGCGTGTACCAAGGAAATGTAACGAGAGATGCTATATCAATCGGGTTTTACCTGTTCTTCACAAAAGGCATGTAAGTTTCCTTCTTCTCTCAACTTACGCATTTGTCCCGAATAATTGTGTTTTGTTAATTGCTAGCATGTTGATGTTTGTTTATGTTTGGAAATTGAGGCATTGTGTACTCACGGAGCAGTTGTTGAACAAGCATCTCGCTATAGGCTGATATGAATTTTGTCTGTATATGCTCCAGGCAGTTCAACTGAACAAATTTGATTACAGACTTTCAAACAAGTTGAGCGACAACTTGCAGAAGCTAAGATGTAGAGTAAATTACCATGCTCTAAAGTTCACTGATCCTATACTGACAATGGGTAATGAATTGGTCCGGCGCATGCGATTGAGGAGCAAACACTTCATTGCTTTACATCTAAGGTAGCACCACCGTTCACCTTAAAATCCTGATATATCTTTGTTTTTTTTTTTCACTTTGTTACGGACTAAGGGAGAATTAACATGTAGCACAGCTGAAACCTTTTAGCATCCCCTCATAGGTAGACTTAGTTGGTTCTTCAAGCATCCTATGGTTAAGGCTCTTATCTTTTTCTTTTGGTAAAATTCAATGCTATTATCTAATAGAGGAAGTTGCATCCTGAAATGAGTGGAATATGATGCATAAACATTTGTATCCTGGATTTCTTGTTGTAGCTCCTTCATATTTGACACTCTACTCAACGAGGAATCTTTATGATATACTAGAAAATGTCTTGACGCAAGCGTTAATGACTTTTTTTTAGGTTTGAACCTGATATGCTTGCATTCTCGGGATGCTATTATGGTGGTGGTGATAAGGAAAAGAGGGAACTTGCAGCAATTAGAAAGAGATGGAAAACATTACATGTAATGCCTGTTCTGTAATGTTTATAGAAATTACTTGCAATTCATTGTATATTAACAAGCTACTAATGACTAATTTTGCAACTTTATTGCAGATTAACAACCCAGAGAAACAAAGGCGACAAGGAAGGTGTCCGCTCACTCCAGAGGAAGTAGGACTGATGCTTAGAGCTTTGGGATATGGCAGTGATGTTCATATATATGTCGCGTCTGGTGAAGTATATGGAGGAGAAGAATCGTTGGCTCCTCTGAAAGCACTATTTCCACACTTCTATTCAAAAGACACTATAGCTACAAAGGAAGAGTTAGAACCTTTTTCGTCATACTCTTCGAGAATGGCTGCGCTGGACTTCCTTGTGTGTGATGAAAGTGACGTATTCGTAACCAACAACAATGGCAATATGGCAAAAATATTGGCTGGGAGGAGGTACTGAAACATCTTCATCCCCTTCTTCATTTAAAATTCGTCTCTTTGATGGAAATGCAACGTGTTTTCGATTTCTTTGCTTGATGGAATTGCAAAGGTTTAAGCTTTTAGTAATATGAATTTGCAGGAGATACTTTGGACATAAACCCACGGTTAGGCCGAATGCAAAAAAGCTTTACAGGTTATTCCTGAACAAAGAGAACACGACTTGGGAGGAATTCACCTCCAGAGTCCGTTCGTTTCAGAGAGGGTTTATGGGAGAACCAAAGGAAGTAAGAGCCGGTAGAGGTGAGTTTCACGAGAACCCATCCACATGCATATGCGAAGATACAGAGGCCAAGGCAAAGGCGCAAATAGAATCTAGAAAACTTGGCAAGAAAAACAAATCGTCAAATAAAGACGCAGCAGCAACAGTAACCAATGATGAACAAACCGAAGAGGATGAGCCAGATTGGTCGGAGCCAGACTATGAGGAAGAACAGAGTGATCTTCAAGACAGAGGATTGTACAATGGGACGAGTTTAGATTACGATGATCCATCTACCTCTGATGAGCCTGAGCTTGAAGAAATGCTATCCGACTAGTTAGATTCACATCACCAAGCGTCATATCGTTACACTGCTTGGACACATGACAGTGAGTTCTTCCAACCTTGGGGTTAAAGCCTTGATGTCAGCATTTCGCATCGAATGTCTCCTGTACATAGAACATAGAGCGACCTTTGTTTCTCAGAAAGAGCCATTTTTGTTTTCAGTCATATTTTTTAGCAATATTCAGAGTCAGGGCTTGACCAGAGATGTAGCTAGAGAAAGGGAAAACAAGAAGCATTTAACTTGTTGGTGATTAGTTGATCCGAGTATATTCTCTATATAAACTGAATTATAGCAACTCTCTCTCTACCTTCATTGACTTTGCACCAAAGTATCTTCACGAGGTTTGTTTTTTTCATCATCATGGGTGTCGTAAGTTTTAAGGCTCTTATCACATGCATATACGGAATTAACATAATATATAAAAAAAATAGCTATTGTAGCTTGAGGGATAGGGATGATCAGAGACATGAGTAACAGTTCTCAACATTTGTACAAGAATAATTTGGTGGTGATTATTATCAATACGTTCAAAATTTGTATAAAATGGATATGAGATTGCAGCTTTTCCTTTGAGCGCTTCTTCGACTGGGTGCATGAACCTATCTTCTCGGCAGGAATGGTTTGACGGATTCGATCACAACCTAAACATGAGCAAACACCAAAATTATAAGATGAACTCTCCAAACTGCTTTGAGATTTTGTAATTGACGCAATGAATGGTTTATTTTCTTAGTACTTTAGGTTGTTATAAGAGTACTTACCCTGCCGTCATATGACAATGATGCAAAAATCCAAGGCTCACGCGAGCTCCAAGCGAGGCCTGTGACAGGCAATCAAATAAATAATTTCAAGCAATGTTTAGTGGAAAAGAATATGGTAACTAAACTCAGTTTGTTGCAAGAGCATTTACCATACACACTGTCTTCGTAGTCAGTATAAGAATTCAGCAACGGGTTCACACGCTGACGCGATACTTCCCCCGAGCTGCACAACAAGGCATTAAAATAAAAAGTTCAAAAGAAAGTTGGGAAAATGCAAATCATTGTGTGCGATGATAAAAAGAGAATTAACCTTTCTGAGGTTTTCTTCTCACTAGATGCGGAAGCAAACCACAAGTTGACAGCTGAGTCTGTTCCAACGCTCTGTGTTTGGTTAAATTAAATCAGAAAACGACACTTCAAACATACATAATGACTACAAAACCCAGAGAACTTAGCTTGACGACATTACAGTGACAAACACAGTTACTATGTAGATTCATCCAATTGTGTTAAAAAGGTAAAGGTAGGAGAAAATGAGTACCAGAATTAGCTCTTCATACTCAGGGTTACACCTGAGAGCCCAAGTCCTGCAAAAATTTTCAGAGTGAACCGTTATACAAGAGTAATTCCAGGTCGAAAGCGTTATGTTTGTGTGCATGTGAAGCAGAATCATGGAAGGAAAGATAGATAATAAAAAAAAAATCCAGAAATGAGCATAGTGCTAAAGTTACCAATGTGTATGACCAGGGAGTTCTAGGACAGGAACCTTCGCCTTCCGGAGATCCCAGACATGTATCCCAGATTCATCATCTGCAGTGACCTACGCAGCCGACAGTTCAATGTACAAAGACAGACATCTGATAACAATTTATAAAGTAGTGGATATTTTACTCCAGAAACAAATTGTCTAGCGCCAGGAAGAAAAACTTCACATATAACAGTTTGTTTCCTCACTGTGGAGTACTGTGATTTTCATTGTTTACATTACTTGAAAAATATTAATGTTGTAATCAACAGAGTGAAATCTTACGAGTATATGTTCTCTCTTGGTGTTGTAATCAACACTACGTACATGGGCACGTTCAATGGAATTAACCTTCCTGTAAATATGCAAACATATCAAACTCAACAGAAAGGTATCTGATTTTGGAAACCAGAACGTAATAATGACAGACTAAAGATTAGATGAAACAAGCTAGCGGGGCATATAGAAATACAGTATATTAACTTTCATGGGGACATAGGAGAGGAACAAATGATGACATACTTCATAGTCCGTAAGTCCCAAAACTGGATAGATGATTCACAAGTCGCTGCAACAGAATTCACATCATGTGGATTCCATGCTCCACCAGTCAAAGAATGCCGCATACCAGCTGACTCCTTAGATAAAACCTGTAACAAGCAGAATGGTATTAAGCGGAAAGTACCTCAAAAGATGGTCTAGAAACACAGGAGTGAAAACTGATTTAAAGGGTTTTCTTCTCTCCACTCTCGTAGTTCATATTACCTCGGAACTTTTTTTGGAGCAGTCTAAACTCCACAAGACAAGGTTTTGTTCGTCCATGCTGATTAACTTGTCAGATTTTCCAGAGGGACACCAAAGAACGCTGTTTCCACAAGAGGGAAAGAGAGTCTTCATGAAAATGAGGATAATAAAGTATCAAGTTCTAGGACTTTTAGACCACCGCACACACTCAGTAGATAGACTGGTGAAACTATAAACCATGAACTCACCAATTAATCTTACCAACATGTGCATCAAGAGAGGCTACAGACTCCAATGTTGATGAATTCGATTGACCATATGGCTCAGGGATTTGCCATATTGCTGCTCCAAATGAGTCGCCTTGAAATGGAAACAACATTATAAGTCTCTGATATTTTCCATTTTCGAGCAGTGGTTCCACCAAAACATGAACTTGGCGGGATGAATCATAGCTCTAGAATCCTCAAATGTAACATACATTCAAGTGCAAACAATTTCTTACTTCTAACTTAGTCAGAATAGCAAATTACCAGTCGAGAAGACAGTAGAGAAAATCCGTTGATCGAAAGGGCAAGAAGCAAGGTCCCATATCTCATTAGGATGCGAAAATAAACCCTCGCATATCAGCTCAGATCCACCCGATGACAGACGAAGCAGATGAACCTAAAAATTATCATCCGATTCAGGAGAAGACGAAACAGATCCAGCGAAAGAAAAAACAAAAATCATTCGCAAGGATCCATCACCTCGTTTTCTTCTTTCAGGCTTAGAGTTCCAGTGAGGAAGCTGGTGTGATCCGTGTCTGCTTTCACATCTGATATACATCTGGCCTGGAAAAAACAACAGATTCTTCCACTGACGAAGCTGGGAATGGAAATTAAAAAAAAAAAGATCTGAACACGAAGACGATCGTGCAGTACCTGGTACTTCAAACCGTAACCAATGCCTGATGCTCCTCCTTGCATTTCTGGCCTCACGCCTGAGCCAAATGTACAAGATTCAGGAAGAAAGTCTCCCAACGCTTTGCCGCTCTCTTGAGTTTGCTAGTTTCGAGCAGATGATCGTAATGGGCCACTATTAAGACATTTAAGCCCAAAAGAGAGATCTCACTTCACTTAAAAGGCTTATCCAAATTGAATAATTAAATAATTATCTAGATGGTCATAAATTATTATTTTTGTGTTAAAAAAGTAGAAATTTACTATAATCTGAAAGAAATGATTAAAAATTATACATATGGAAACAAAATAATAAAACAACATCACAGAAAAATAAAGAAAGAAATCTTATTGGTTTACTAAGCAAAAAAAGAAAAATCTAATCAGAGCACCTATGACAAATTTGGAACCATATTTGATACAATTCAATGACATTTCTAAACATAGTTATATTGATATATGAGGACATTTAAAAAATACAATTGCTCTCATATGAATATTCGAACACACATACGGTACAGCCTATGGAATCTGTATGAACTTCGACGGTGAAAAATACTTTTCTTTTCCTCTTGTTAAATCAGAAAACAAAAATTAACAAAAAAAAAATAGAAAAAATGCTTTTCTTGCCACCCAAACAACCCAACTATTTACTCCATCTCTTTCAAGAATTAATCAATAATTTATTTTACAACATCGTTATATGACAGCATACCCTATAACGTTCACAGTATACACAAACTTATTAAGAGTTAATACGTCTATGAATTGATGAGGAGCTTTGAAATGTATTCAATGACTTTAACTGTTGGAAAGATAATTGTAATAACTTAAGTCCAGTACTTTTAAACATTCTCATTGAGCAACCGAAGAAACGGGAGAAGAAACAAACGATACGAATTCGTTTTGCAACGTAAATTACTTTTTTTTTCCGGCTTTGTTAACGTAAATTACAAATCGGTATTTAACGTCAGAAGATATTCATATTACTTTTAGAGACCAAAATAATTAAAGGAAAAAGAGGGGCAAAAAAAAAGAAGAAGAATTCCCACGCTGAAAGCTTATTTCACCTTCCACCCCAACAAACCAGCGCCTCTCCGGATCAGTTCGAAGTTTTGAGAAAAAAAAAAATTCGAATATATATACGACTGTGTATAGTGTATACATATAAATCTCTCTCGGCAAATGAATTGCGTGTGAAGAATCGAATCGACGGTGGCTGTATTCGAAGATTAGGACTGCGATCACTTACGCCGCCGGCGAATAACCGTCGCTATGTACGTTACCAGGAGAATCTCCGACGTGGATCGCCGTCTTCTCCTCGTCCTCACAATCCCTTCTCTCTCCCTCCTCCTCTTACTCTCTCTCTCTACTCTCACCTTGGATCCTTTCCCCACTCTCGTCCCTCTTCGGAACCTAATCTACACTCACCGTCATACTTTAACCGCCACCACCACCGAAACTCCCGATTTCGCAGCCGAATTATCCGATCCGAACCATAGCGACGTGAATCCGGCGGAAGAGACGGAGAATCCGCGGCGGAGGAAGAAGGAGGAGTTAGTGAATTCGAAAATTGCGGTGTGTTTGGTTGGAGGAGCGAGGCGGTTCGAGCTCACGGGACCGTCGATTATAGAGAAGATCTTAAAGGTTTATCCTAATGCGGATTTGTTTCTGAATAGTCCTCTCGACGAAAATTCTTTTAAGCTTAGTTTGCTCAAGGACGCACCGAGGCTCGCTTGGGTTCGTATCTTCGAGCCTAAGCCCATCAACGAGACTGAACCTATGGTTCGAGTCCTCACACCCATGAATTCGCCTAATGGAATTAAGGTAAATTACCTTTTAAGTTGTTTTATATAATTTGTTAACTAATTAAAATGCTATTTACGCCTATTACGTTATAATAAAATTTCGAAAAATAAAATAAAAGAAAGGATCAGAAAGTGGGCAAGAGGGGTCAGTTTTAGTTGGAGAGGTTTAGGGTTGGTGTAACCGTTTCTTGATCCTTACGTTACTCATATGATGGAATTTTTGTATGTTGGATTTGATTTGGCTTGGTTTGGTATTTGGTGATCTAAATCACCGAATATTGTTTTTTTCTCTCTTTAATGAGCACCAGTTGACAAAAATAATAAAAAAAATCATTTCGAATGGTAATAGATACTGTAACACTAGGATGTAACAATAGCTAGGATGTTTTTTTAGTTGCCTCCTTTTTTATTTGGGGTCTATTATATGAGGTTGAAATCCAGTTTATGATTTATTGGTAATTGTCGTTGTCTCGCAACTCGCAAGGTTGAAATTGACTTGTAGTCCTAGGTTAGTCCGAGACTAAAATTGTCGTCATTGTGTCGCAAACTCACTTGATTCGGGGTCATTAACTTGTAGAGTCCTATTATTCCGGATATTGAAATTGACTGCTTACCTTTTCGGGACCCACTTTTCCCCATAAAGAAGATCTTGATAAATCCGACAGCTTGTAATTTACATACTGTATATAGTTTGTAGAGGAAAAAAAAAGGTACACTAATATGGGATCTTGGTCGTTTTTAAAAATAATATACGGTAATAATGATGTATGAGAGTCCATGCGTGGCGTGATGATGTTAATGCGATTAAAGAAAAAATGGTGATATATCTTAGTATTAGTTAATAGTTAGTTCTCACATTTACATGACTTCACTATTTTTCGTTTTGAATAGTAATTATCTCATATGTGATACACACTTTTAAATTTTATATCTCATGAGAAGTAATTAATTTACACAAATTAGCATTGGTCTCATCTCCTAATCTGCTCAAGTGTATTCCTGATTTTATTATATTCCGTTATTACATACTATCTGATACTACTACTAGTCATGACGGATGTTTTGTGTTTCTCCAGAGAATTAATTTCCTCATCAACTTTCTTCTTAATTGGTGCCAATATGACAGGGCTTGTTACAGTACTTCAATCTCGTAGAAGGTTGCATCACGATGATAAAGGCATACCAAAACGAGAACAACTTCACATACGACTGGGTAATCCGGACCCGTGTTGACGGTTACTGGGCTGACCCGCTCGACCCGGAATACTTCACACCGGGTCAGTACCTAGTCCCACCTGGATCCTCTTACGGTGGTCTCAACGACCGCTTCGGAGTCGGCGATCTCAACACGTCCACGGTGGCTCTCTCTCGCCTCTCCCTCATCCCCGACCTCGACTCGGCCGGGTTAACTCGTCTCAACTCCGAGTCCGCTTTCAAGGCTCAGCTCACAACGCACCGTGTCCCTTACGTCACTAAACCTCTCCCTTTTTGCATCATGTCAGATCGGACCTATGATTTTCCTCCGTCTAGCTACGGAGTTCCCGTCGCTGCACTTTCGAGCCACGGTCCGTTGAACGGTGCCAAGTGCCGCCCTTGCACCGTCGCCTGCAGCGGTTCGTGCGTGGCGGAAGTGATGGGGAAGTTGAATAAAAAGTGGAGCTGGACGGAGTGGGAGAACGGGACGGTGAAGCTGTGCGACGCACATGGTGAATGGGAAGAAGGTTGGGAGAAGATATTTGACGATACCGCCGGCGAAAATTTTGCACGTGCGAGGAAACGAGTTGGAGGTTTGGATTCGAGGAGATGTGTGGAAGAGTTTGAAGAGATGAGAGGAATTACCGTTAAATGGGAAGCTCCCGCCTCCGAACAGATTTGTAGTTTGGGCTTAAGGCCCAATTAGAACAGATCTTGTTTAGGACCAACTTAATTCGCTAACAAATTTTCCATAGTTTTTTTTTTTGTTTTTTAGTTGTTTTTCCTTATTGCTTGGTTTGAGAATCTATTTTCAGGTAAATTTTGATGTTTGAAAAGTTAAGTCGTTTGTTTAAGAAAAAAAAATGGCATCTTTAATATGTAAGCTTTATGAGGACTTTCATATTTTTAAATTTTAGAAAAAACTTTGATGACTAAATGGTTGGTATTGAACTCTGTAAAAACTTGACGTTTCTTTATTATTTTTGATGGATATTATTAGAGATCACAGTTGTTGTTAGATTTCAAAGAAAATAAAATAAATAATTTACTCCGACTGTTACAAATTACAATCATTCAAGTGTACAAGCTTAACTCAAAAACAAAAGCTGAGAAAGAAGAAACCAAATATGAGGACTTAAAACTAGATAATAAAATCATGAAGATAAAAAAGATTTATTTATCAATATGTTGTTAATTTATGAAATTACAGTTTATCTCTTATATATTATTTAAATTTGTGTTTTATCGTAATTTAGGATAGCTTAAGTCTTATATAAGTGTACTATTATTTTTGTAGAACTCAATAACAATTCTTCCTAAACACTTTTGTGTTTTCACTCTCATCAATCCATCACAAAGTTAATATGAATAACTCAAAAAAAAATATCAAAGTATACAAGTACAATTGAAAAATTATCTAGGGCACGTTAATAAGATATGAGCTGACCAGAATATCCTTTTCTGTATTCAGTGCAAACAAAATTTGAAATTATATCGAGATACACACCACATGGAAGAACAACCAAATCTATTCGGAAATTGAACCCATTACAGGATTCGATGTTCAACTTCCATGTAGTGCAGATTTTATACATCTTTGTACGCATCGTCTCATGTAACAGAGTCTCTAACGAATAAATGATTTCTAGTCTTTTACTGCTGGATTATTTAAGACGGGCCATGCAAGTTATGTAACAGCTAACACTTTCTCAAAAAAAAAAAAAAAAAAAAAGTTATTTCACGTGACCTTGCATTTGGCAGATGGATTGGAATCTCTCGGCACATCATGCGAGGGAAGATGCGAATATCTATATCTTGGTCGTCTATTATCTTCGACAAGTACCAATTATGTTTTGTTTGAAATTAGCTAATTTCATGGAGAAGGAGGAGCATGAATTTATTAGTTCAGAAAATTACTAAACTTCACATTAATTGTATCTTAGATAAATAAACAGAAAAAAATAATGTGAAAAAGAAAATATCGGGGTCTATAATAGTATTAATACAAAACTACAAAATCACTAGACTACATGGCATGATAATGAAAGACATGTTATAACACCCATAATTTTTCATATAGTGTAATTTTTCTAAAAAGAAAACTGCTATTCGTACACACATGCGTGCCGTACATATGTATAATGTAAAATCAAATAGATCCCGGGCATTTTATTATAACCTGCAAACAGATCCCGCCCCTTTATATGAAAACAAAGTTAATCCGAAAAAAAAAATTAATTACTTCAATACATATGTAAACAAAAAAAGCTAAACCATGAATGCACAACAGATAAACTTCATTTAAAAAGTTTCTATTAGAAAAGATGGATCATTTTCAATGTTTCGTAGCATGTCGATCTTCATCAAGTATATTGAGATCTAATGGTATCTTCCCTATATAATGACATATATCATGAATCATGAGTTAATTATGACCATCAATCTCAATTATACATTAAGATTCCAAGCATAATTAATCTATATACAGGGGTTCCATCGATCTAACACTTGAATCGAGATATATCTCTAGAATCCTATCACAGAGTCTATGTGGCTCCTCACGTTTTTTTCAAGTCAGTCGCAGAGTTAAATCCAGAAATTAAGTCACATGCTTTAGAAAATCTAATTTTGTTAGCGTTAAGTAAGGCCCTCTTGATGTTTGTGGATCTACGCCGAAACACTCGTTTTAAAAGTCCACACGCTTGCACAACCTAATTATCTAATGCTTAGTTTAAGTAAAATCTCGATTTAAGGGATAGTTTAGATTATATAACTATGTATTCCTTTTTTTCGTGATCGTGGTAGGACAAAAGTGAAGTGTCGTGAACAAGAAAACCGTGATTTTGATCCTTTGATGCATAGTTGGAGCTGCCTTTCTCTGACGCGTACCAGCTCACCCCTCGTGCTTGTTAATTACTAGACACATAATCTATAGTTTAACAGTGTTTTTTATTGTTTTTAATATAATTTAGCAGGAGTTGGTTTTAAAAGACCAGAAGTTAATAAATAGACTATATGTACTCAGAACCCAAAAAAGGACTATATATGTAACTACTGTATACGATTTAAGTATGATATAAGTTTGAAAGTCTTGGTTCAAATTTATTTTGTTGTTATCGTTGGTTAAACTACGTTTTCATGTTATTGGACGTAACAATTTTTTTTTTTCCTTTTGTATGGTGAATTTGTGATCGATATATAGTACCTTAAATATTGAATGTCGTAGATGTCCTGGGTTGTAAATTCTGAGATTTGATTCTACAATATATTACTCCTTCCGTTTTTATTAGTTGTCAGTTTTAGAAAATTTTGTTTGTTTTAAATTAGTTGTCGTTTTCAGTTTTCAATGCAACATTTATTAGTTTTTTATTTTTTAGGATTATTTTTATCATGCAATGTGTTTTATTATTGGTTAAATTGTGTTTAAATAGATAATTAATAATGTTTTATATTGAAAAACTAATACAATTAATATTTTCTTAATCTATGTACATAACCTTAAAACGATAACTAAATAAATCTGGAGGGAGTATCGTTTTGTTTTTCAAATGTTGAGAGGATTCGTTATTAATGTGTGTTTCGGGTTATATGAAAATTTCTCCACGTGTTTGATTGATATTTTTTGTAATTTGATTTAAATCACATCGTCGAATGTATAAAATCTATATCATTAAACTCAAAACCTTATACTCCTCATAGTAGTCAATTCATCATGTTAATGATCACTTATAACCATGTGACAAAAAAAACTGTCTTAACGCGCTTAAACCCCTACCAAATTAATAAGTGTATGGAAGACTCATCGATCAAGTATGTTTATTATAATAAAAATGATGTGATAAAATATAAATAATACAATAGCGATATTAGCGAGTGAGAATCACTCAATTTTAAGAGGAAGTGAAAGCAGTTTTGGATAGGAGGTTTAGCTAGGGTGGCCAGCCCACGTGTGTCCCCTCTCCGCTTGAAATGGAACATATGTTATGTCTCTTAACTCGTCAAATCTGAATAATTAATTGACTATTCACCTTAAAAATTTAGCTATATATGATACACACTAGATAACAATTGCCCTTTCAAATCTACGTAGCTATTGACATAACATGAGTTTGGCTCTTCTTTAGATTATATAATTAAGTGCTTAAGAAAATGTGAAATGTTAGTCGGATGCTGATCTAACGTCTAGACTAGTGGATGTATAATATGTGCATAATAGAGAGTTAATGTTGTAAGAAAAGTAGAAACAGCGAGTTGAGTCCGAGTATGATGTAAAATAGTCAATGGTAGGAACAAACTTATTTCGATGACAGATTGATATATAAACATTTTCTTGGTGGGATTAAGGTGGGTGATCTCCGATTAAGTCGCATATCCGAGAGTAATTAAGGGTTTGCGAGCTTTTAAGATTTTAGAAGAGATATGGTTTTATGTTTGACAATTCAAGAGGATCGTTCAAGAGAGAAAAACAAAAAAATGGGTACTAGACTACTAGTATAGATGATATAACTTTTAAGACTTAAACCGAAATAAATATATAGTTGGGGAATTGAGTTATTCTCAAAAAGTAGCGAAACTCTCCCACGTGCACATCAACTCAAACTTTGGTTGCAAAAACCCCACAGTATGGTCCCCACAACCAAACCACCATTATCGAGCGTGTATATATAAACGCTCTTTTCTTCCTCCTCTTTCAAAATCATTCAAACAAACTATCGCAGTTTCTCTCTCTTCTTCTCTCCTCCAAAGCATGGTTGGAGTTTTCCGGCGATCTCTCTCTTTCCCGAACAAACCTCCACCATCGTCGAAGCCACGTGTCTCTCACCACACCAGATCCATCAGTCTCCCCTGCCGATCCCATCCCTTAATCTCCCACATTAACCACGAGATCTCCCAAATCAAATCCTGGTCCTCCTTCTCCGGCGATACTCACCGCCGCACCACCGTCTGGATCACCGACGGTCTCAGCCTCCTCAACGACGTCCACGAAACGCTCGCCGATATTCTCCACCTCCCGCAATCGCAGGAGTCTCTCCGAAACCGTCCTGTTTTCTTCGAGAATCTTCTAGAAGACCTTCTCCGATTCGTCGACGCCTACGGAATATTCCGTACCTCCATCCTCTGCCTCCGCGAGCACCAGTCCGCCGCTCAGGTCGCTCTCCGCAAAAAAGACGACGAGAGAATCGCATCCTATTTAAAATCTCGCCGATCTCTCGCGCGAGATATCGCGAAGCTGACGTCGTCGATCCGCGAGCCGAAAACGAAATACCAGCACTGCCACGTGGACATTTTGAACGGAGCGTACGGTGACGCAGAGCTTGCGTCAGTTGTAGGTGACGTCATCGAAGCCACTGTTTTGGTTTCCGTTGCTCTTTTTAACGGCGTTTATCTATCTCTACGCTCCAACAAAACGACGCCATTTATAGGGTTTCTAAAGAGGTCGTCAGAGAAGAAAGATAAAATCGATGAAGGAATCGAGGAGCTGAAGCAAGTTGAGGAGAAGAGCTTGGTTGGATTAAGCAAGAAGAAAAATGAAGAAGTGAAGATTCTAACGAAGAAGATGATGGATTTGGAGAATTCGATACGTGAAATCGAATGTGGGAGTGAGAAAGTGTTTAGGGGTTTGATTAGCACTCGGGTCTCACTGCTTAATGCTTTAACACATTAACTAATTAAGCACTCTCATTCTTCTTCTTCATATTTTCCTGTTTCTTTGCGTTTTTTTTGTCCGATTATTTGTATTATTTGTACGAGTTAACTACTACTTGAACGAAAATAGCAAAAACAAACAAATAAAATATACATTACTTGTAATCTGTATATCTCTTAAATCAGAATCAATTCTTTTAAAAATTTCAGGTTTGAAACTGAATAGTAACTCCTTCACAAAGCAGCAAAATGGATATATGAAAATTGAAGAAGAAAAAAAGGATGAATCTTTTTTGCATGCCTCTAATTTGGAAGCGTTTTTTATTTATTTCTGATGTAAACTTAAAAACATAACCAAGCTAAATTATAAATTATTCGTGTTTACGCGGTATTACCAAAATTTGAGTGCATTTTGTTGTTTTTATGTTAGAAACATACCAAAAATTGATCTTTCATTTAATTGATTCTAACAGATTTGATGTTTTTATTTTGAAAAATGTTTAGGAATAAAAATATATTGTTACGCGTTAGAACCAATCAAACCAAGGTCCACTTAATTACTTCCATAACCCATCCCATGGCCATGCATTATCATTTGTTTGGCAGACAACAAAACATTAGACATTAGTACACAAACAGCTTGCATGAACAAACTCACTTGACACATATATTAGCCGGAAATAATTGAGAGAAGATGCAATTAAAGGACATAAGAAGACATATAACTTGTAAGATTTTCACGTTGATGGATTCGTTCTAAAATTTTGTGGCCTCTCTTAAGTTTTAATTAGTAATAACCTAGAAAGCCACCACATGGTTTGTTAGGGAGATGCTTTTCAATTATATATCTTCTTGATCTGATTCGGATTAGCACTTAATTATTTTGATTAACACCGTATTAAACATGGGGTTTGCTGGAAAACATGCCGTTGTTTAGTGCTATTAGTTAAACAATTACTTGGCTAATTATTTCCCCTTTTAGCGGCCGGTACGTATTATTCATAACCAGTTCGATCGACCTTTGAATTCAATAGCCTGACTAATCACACTTTTGACACTAGATCCGGTTAACTATTAATTGTGCTATAATTGGGTTGGTTGCTTTGAAATGCAACTTGGGCGAATTATTATTTTTAATAAATGCTTTACTTAGTTTGGAATAATATTACAACGAGGCAAAAAATTGACAACTCGGATTGGGTCATGACTTCAACCCACCTCCCAACAAGGAAGATAACACAGATGGAAAAGGGATATTGGTCTTCAATGAATGATTAGTATTTGATTAGTTTAGCCATTTAGAATTCAATTAAAAGTTAATAGCACTATTTAGAGAAGAGATAATAATTAGAACACGAACTTTACATGTTCCTAATAATTAAAGACTTCTAATATCTTACCCAATTATTGGTCACTATTTGTTATGCATCAATTATGTATAGTTGGTTATTCTTGTCAATATATATACCAGTTGGTTTTAGTTTAAATGTTAGGTTTTATCCTTTATATCTATAAGCAAAGAGAGAACTTTTGTAAAATGAAGATTTCTTATTAATTTGAAAGCTTGAAAGTTACAATGGTGATACGTTTACATTTATAGATCATTTCGCTAAAACCCTAGAGTGCGTCTAGATCCTTCTAGCAGACACCTGTCACTCTGAGATTTGGTCAACATTTCGCAAGGTATCAAATCTGTTAGAGATTTGAATTTCGTCGTCTTGTATTGCACCCGAGCTTGCCGTTCTTCTTTTTGCAGCTTCTCTGTTTTTGTCGCAGAGTGAAGATAAAGAAGATGACCGTTGTTGACTCTTCTTTGACATGGGCTTCGTCGAGTTGCATAGGCCCAAATCCGTTTCATAACTCATCATCGATTTGGGCTTAATCTGATTAATAAGACCTTCTTGCCGTGGTAGAGTATTTGCTTTGACAGCCCCTCTCAAACTTGGTGTTGGTGGTAAAACTACACTAAGTTTGCTTCGGAGAGAACAAAATGCATCACATGGGAGAGACTTAGTAAAGATGTCAGCTAGCTGCTCCCGAGCTGGAATGTGTTTTACCACAAGAGAACCAAGTGCAACCCGTTCTCTTACATAGTGATGATCTAGCTCAAAATGCTTTGTCCTAGAATGAAAAGTTGGATTAGCAGAGAGCATTACCGCAGAAAGGTTATCACAGTTTAGCTCAGGTGTCGTTGGAAGTGAGACACCGATCTCACGAAGTAAGGAGCTCAGCCAAGTGATTTCAGAGGCAGTCTAAGACATTGTTCTATACTCTGCCTCGGTTGAACTCTTAGACACAGTTGGCTGCTTCTTTGCGGACCAAGATATGATATTGGTACCCAAGAAAGTGCAGAACCCTCCAGTTGAGCGCCGTGTTATCTTACATCCGGCCCAATCACTGTCTGAGTACGCTCTCAGAGTACAATCTGTGGTTTTAGAGAAGTTGATTCCCATTGTAACGGTTCCTTTTACATAGCGTAGAACTCGCTTAAGCAGGGAGAAATCAGATACAGTTGGAGAGTGCATTTTCTGACACACATAGTTAACTGCGTACTGGATATCAGGCCTTGTCAGTGTGAGGTACTGAAGTTTTCCCGCGAGACATCTGAAATATGTGGGATTTGAAAAGAGCTCAGACTGTGAAGCGGTTCTTTCTGGTTGCAAGGGGAGTGGTGTAGGCATTGAGGCACAGTCACTTATTGCTGCTGTTGTGAGGAGATCCTCTGCATACTTCTGCTGAGATAAGAACAGCCCCTCTGAATGGAAGTGGGCTTGAATTCCTAAGAAATAATGCATCTTCCCCATGTCCTTCATTCGAAACTGTTGATGTAAAGAATGGAGAAGTGCAGTCATGATAGATGAGCTATTCCCCGTGATGATCATATCGTCTACGTAGAGTAGGAGGAGAATGACGTCCTTGCCTTTTGTGTAAACAAACAGAGATGGATCTTTCTTGCTACAAGTGAAGCCAAATTCTAGAAGAAAGGTGCTGAACTTGTCGAACCATGCTCTTGGTGACTGTTTCAGACCGTAGAGAGATTTGTGGAGTTTGCAGACATGGTCTGGCCTTGCTTTATCTTCGAAACCAGCTGGCTGTCTCATGTAAACCTCTTCGGTTAAGTCACCATGTAGAAAGGCGTTCTTAACGTCAAGTTGTTTAATGTCCCAGTCCATTATAGTTGCAACATGTAGAACTGATCTTACTGTCTAAGTTCGTACTACTGGACTATACGTTTCAAGATAGTCTACTCCTTCCTTTTGCATGTAACCTTGTGCAACTAAGCGAGCTTTTAGTTTGTCCAATGTTCCATCAGCATGGAGTTTTGTGCGAAAGATCCATTTGCTCCCCAATACGTGCATTCCAGATTCGTGTGGAACAAGAGACCATGTGTTTGTGATTTTGCAGTTGTTCATCTGCTCCTTCATTGCATCATTCCAACCAGAGTGATTCAAAGCCTCTGACACTGTCCTTGGTTCCGGATACAATATCTTATGAGAGAGAAGAGCATATCGTGGATTCGGCCTGAAGATGCCTACCATTGCTCTAGTGATCATTTTGTGACCCGGTAAAGAGACAGGTGAAGGTTGTGATGCAGAGATAGGTGAAGCTGAAGAACCAGCTGATGTTGGTGTCGATGTCTGAGATAAGACTTCAGGCGTAGCAACTGGAGTATCTGGCCTTACACCTGGTGGAATAGAACTGTTGCCTATAGGAAAGGGATCTAAGCCCTCTGTACACCCAGAATTCCTTCCACCAGGGTTAGTAGACACACCACGTTGAGGCACTGAACGAGACTTTGAGACAACAACCAGGGGTGGAAAATCATCTGAGGTGAAGAGGGGAGTGTTAACCGCAGGATCAGGTGCTGCAGACTGAGGTGAAGAGAAAGTTACAGACTGCTGTGGCGATGTGAGACTGAGTTGCCAAGCAGTAAGCAACGGTGTCTTGGGATCAGGGTGAAGATGACGATAAGTAGTGGAGACGGGATACTCATCTTCATCAAATATCACATGCCTGCTAATGTATACCCGACCTGTAGAAGGTAAGAGACACCTATATCCTTTATACTTCTCATTGTAGCCCAAGAAAACGCATTTTAAGGCCTTTGGATCAAACTTGTTGCGACTGTAGTCTCTGAGATATGGATAACAGGAGCAACCGAACACCCTGAGTGATGTGTAGTCAGGCTTCTTCTGAAACAATTTCTCAAAGGGGCTAATGGATGAAGTTAGAGCAGAGGTTGGAAGGAGATTGCTTAAGAAGTTGGTCGTAAAGAAGGCTTTTACCCAAAAACTGAGAGGGACTTTACTCTCGTATAACAGAGATAAACCCAATTCAGTGAGGTGTCTGTGTTTGCGCTCAGCTAACCCATTTTGTTGAGGGGTGTGAGGGCAAGAGATGTGCTGTTGAATGCCAAATTGTTGCAGGTGACTTAAAAATTTTGCACTAGTGTACTCACCGCCTCCATCACACTGGAGAGTACCAATTTTGCAGTTGAGTAAATTTTGCACAAGCTTTTGAAATGCACAGAATGTAGAAAAGAAGTCTGATTTATTTCTCAATGGGTAGAACCAACAAAAACGAGACCAATGATCAACAAAAATTACATAGTATTTGAAGCCTTGACCCGAAACAGTTGGTGCTGCCCCCCAAAGATCAGAATGCACTCTTTCTAAAGGTCTTGAAGCAGAAAAAGAAGAAACTAAGAAAGGTAATCTACTGCTTTTCCCAAGATGACAAGCTTCACAAGTCTTGTTGGTACTCTTGCTTAGGGAGATGCAGCTACTTGATGCGAGAAGATGCACTATTTGTTTATTCGGATGTCCAAGCCTTCTGTGCCACACCTCATCCGTTGCAGAATGTTGTCGAGAAGAAAAGAAAGCTTGAACTGGTTGTTGCTGCAATCGATAAAGACCTTCACTGTTGCTTCCCAGGGTAAGAAGTCTCTTTGTTCTCTTGTCCTTTACAATGACCCCATCACAATCAAACTCAAAAGAACAGGGATAATCTCGTGTGATCTTAGAGACTGATAGCAGACACTTGGTGATAGAAGGAAAAACAAGAACATCTTTTAAAGGGAGCTTACCTGAAGTGGAGGGAAGTGTGGAGGAGCCGGTGTGAGTGATGGGTATGAACTCTCCACTGCCTACCATGACCGTGT